CCAACCCATTTCCAGCTACTCCTTGGCACCCACGCCGTCCGCAGCCGTCCACGCTATTCTCCCCACCCATTTGCCGTCCGCAGCCGTCCGCGCAGCCAAGCTCGCTCATCACCAGCGGCTTCTTCTCCCCACCCATTTCCAGCCACGCCGTTGCACCCACGCGTCCGCAGCCGTCCGCGCAGCTCTCCGCACCCATTTCCCGTCCGCAGCCGTCCGCGCAGCCAAGCTCGCTCATCACCAGCGGCTTCTTCTCCCCACCCATTTCCAGCCACTCCCTGGCACCCACGCCGTCCGCAGCCGTCCGCGCAGTTCTCCGCAGCCATTTCCCGTCCGCAGCCGTCCGCGCAGCCAAGCTTGCTCATCACCAGCGGCTTCTCCCCTTCCAGCCACTCTGTTGCACCCACGCCGTCCGCAGCCGTCCGCGCAATTCTCGGAACCCATTTCCCGTCCGCAGCCCTCCGCGCAGCCAAGCTCGCTCAATCTCGCTCATCCCCAGTGGCTTCTTCTCCCCACCCATTTCCCACGCCGTCCGCAGCCGTCCGCGCACTCCGCACCCATTTCCCGGCCGCAGCCGTCCGCGCAGCCAAGCTTGCTCATCACCAGCGGCTTCTCCCCACCCATTTCCAGCCACTCCGTTGCACCCACGCCGTCCGCAACCGTCCGCGCAATTCTCCGAACCCATTTCCCGTCCGCAGCCGTCCGCGCAGCCAAGCTCGCTCAATCTCGCTCATCCCCAGCGGCTTCTTCTCCCGACCCATTCCCAGCCACTCCCTTGCACCCACGCCGTCCGCAGCCGTCCGCGCAATTCTCCCCATCCATTTGCCGTCCACAGCCGTCGCGCAGCCAAGCTCGCTCATCTCCAGCGGCTTCTTCTCACCAACCATTTCCAGCCACTCCCTTGCACCCACGCCGTCCGCAGCTGTCAGCGCAATTCTCCACACCCATTTGCCGTCCGCAGCCGTTCGCGCAATTCTCCGGACCCATTTTCGTCCGCAGCCGTTCGTGCAGCCAAGCTCGCTCATCACCAGCGCCTTCTTCTCCCCACCCATTTCCAGCCACTTCCTTGCACCCACGCCCTCCGCAGCCGTCCGCGCAATTCTCCGAACCCATTTCCCGTCCGCAGCCGTCCGCGCAGCCAAGCTCGCTCATCACTAGTCACTAGCGGCTTCTTCCCCCCACACATTTCCAGCCGCTCTCTTGCACCCACGCCGTCCGCAGCCGTCCGCGCAATTCTCCGAACCCATTTCCCGTCCGCAGCCCAGCCAAGCTCGCTCATCACCAGCCAGCCACTCCGTTGCACCCACGCCGTCCGCAGCCGTCCGCGCAGTTCTCCGCACCCATTTCCCATCCGCAGCCGTCCGCGCAGCCAAGCTCGCTCATCACCAGCGGCTTCCCCAACCCATTTCCAGCCACTCCGTTGCACCCACGCCGTCCGCCACCGTCCGCGCAGTTCTCCGCACCCATTGCCGTCCGCGCAGCCAAGCTCGCTGATCTCCAGCGGCTTGTATACTCCCCACCCATGTCCAGCCACTCTTTTGCACCCAGGCCGTCCGCAGCCGTCCGCGCAATTCTCCGCAACCATTTCCCGTCCGCAGCCGTCCGCGCAGCCAAGGTCGCTCATCACCAGCGGCTTCTTCTCCCCACCCATTTCCAGCCACTCCGTTGCACCCACGCCGTCCGCAGCCGTCCACGCAGTTCTCCGCACCCATTTGCCGTCCGCAGCCGTCCGCGCAGCCAAGCTCGCTCATCACCAGCCGCTTCTTCTCCCCACCCATTTCCAGCCACTCCGTTGCACCCACGCCGTCCGCAGCCATCCGCGCAGTTCTCCGCACCCATTTGCCGTCCGCAGCCGTCCGCGCATCCAGCCACCCCCTTGCACCCACGCCGTCCGCAGCCGCCCGTGCAGTTCTCCGCACCCATTTGCCGTCCGCAGCCGTCCGCGCAGCCCAGGTCGCTCATCACCAGCGGCTTCTTCTCCCCACCCATTTCCAGCCACCCACTTGCACCCACGCCGTCCGCAGCGGTCCGCGCAGTTCTCCGCACCCATTCCCCGTCCGCAGCCGTCTGCGCAGCCAAGGTCGCTCATCACCAGCGGCTTCTTCTCTCCACCCATTTCCAGCCACCCCCTTGCACCCACGCCGTCCGCAGCCGTCCGCGCAGTTCTCCGCACCCATTTGCCGTCCGCAGCCGTCCGCGCAGCCAAGGTCGCTCATCACCAGCGGCTTCTTCTCCCGACCCATTTCCAGCCACTCCGTTGCACCCACGCCGTCCGCAGCCATCCGCGCAATTCTCCGCACCCATTTGCCGTCCGTAGCCGTCCGCGCAGCCAAGGTCGCTCATCACCAGCCCTTCCTTTCCCATCCTTTCCCTTCCTTTCCCTTCCTTTCCCATCCTTTCCCTTCCTTTCCCTTCCTTTCCCTTCCTTTCCCTTCCTTTCCCTTCCTTTCCCTTCCTTTCCCTTCCTTTTTCCTTCCTTTTTCCTTCCTTTTTCCTTCCTTTCCCTTCCTTTTTCCTTCGTTTCCCTTCCTTTCCCTTCCTTTCCCTTCCTTTCCCTTCCTGTCCCTTCCTTTCCCTTCCTGTCCCTTCCTTTCCCTTCCTTTCCCTTCCTTTCCCTTCCTTTCCCTTCCTTTCCCTTCCTTTCCTTTCCTTTCCTTTCCTTTCCTTTCCTTTCCTTTCCTTTCCCTTGCACCCACGCTGTCCGCACACCACCGTTCGAGCCAGGTCGCTCCCCCACGCGGTTAAACAACTAAACGAGAACCCAAGCATCGAAGATGCTTTTGGGAATAAATATAAATAATATGTCAATAGCATATGAAGAATGACGGTCGGACGATCTGTTCACGCGCGACCGATTTGGTTTGTTATCTTTGCTGAATCAGAAATTTGGTTAGTTGAACAAGAAGTCAACTAACATCCCCCCCACCCCAATATGGTATAGTATCAACAACGTGAACAAATTACATGTAACGCTAATTTCCCCCCACCCCAGTGTGGTGTAGCATCAACAACGTAGGCAAGTTACATGAAATATTAACATCCCCCCCCATCCCAGCGTGGTGTAGTATCAACAACATATCTAGGTTATATGGAAATTTAACATTCCCCCCCCCGTACCATCAATTACAATCAATTGTTCCTGCCCCCCCCCCGGACAGCATTGTAACGAAACAAAAAATATTATAAAAAATAATACAAAATACACATTCAGCAATGTATACTAGCATAAACATCCCGTCGGAGGAAATAATAATTATAAATAATAAAAAATAAATATTAAATAAATAATAAATAAAAAATACAATAATTAATATATTATATGTTCAAAAAAATATATTGTTTTAAATAATATAATATATATTTTTTTTTCAAATATATAATATTATTAGAATTTTTATAATTTTAATTAATTAAAAACATATAATATATATTAATATTTGTTTTTTTAAAAAAAATAATAATTAAAAAAAATATATATATATAAATAAATAATAAAGATATAATATATATATTATAACTAATTAAAAATTTACCATATAAAAATAAAATTATAAAAATAATACCTCATATCCTTATCAAATTTAATTTAATTATCATATTATATTTATATGTTATATTTATTATATAAATAATTAAGTTTCAATTTTTTATTCGGTATCCGTTACCTCCTTCGCTTATTATTTCCATCATAAGAGATAATTTAAGGGAATACCCCGCGTCAAAATACCTCAAAATAATAAAATACTATTCCGACATACCTTAAATTCAAATAAAATAATTATTTCAAGAATTCAATAAAATATATAAAAAATAAAAATAATATCAATCGAAATAATATCGGTATAATTTAGTTTTAATCAAATAAATAAATATAAATAATTATATGTAATTAATTACGCGCAAACGGCCAACAAAAAATTCCTCTTTATATTATAAATTTAAACAATTTTCAATATAATTAAATAAAATCAAAAAAAATCAAAATAATATCTTTGAACATCTTTAAACAAATATCCTTTCAATAACCCACTAGTTAAACATAGTTTTGATTAGTTTCAGATGTGTTTTTTCAATTTCTGGGCTAGTTTGGTGGTTCTAGTCTTAATAGGAATAAATAGGAAAAGGAAAATTGGTTCGATTTTTTTTGCTAATTTCTAGGTTTGTTTTGTTATTATAATAATTCTTTATTTTTTAAGGGGTACCAGGTATTTCCAATATCTCTAGAATTTTTTTTTCTCCCTCGGAAAAGTCCATAAAATGGCACTCAACCTGGCTCTCTCCTATAAATTTTCCCACCTTTGTATACGCCCCCTATTTCTTCCATATTTCTTTTATTTCCTTCCAAAAAACTCCTATTGGCCATAGTGCGAATGGGTGGGAAATGTTTGGGTTTCATTGCCAATTTCTGGACTAATTTGGTGATTAACTGCCCACTTTGGTTTTTGAAGGGTACCAGGCATCTCCAATACCCCTAAAATAATTTCTCCCCTGGGGAAAACCCGTAAAATGGCACTCAACCTGGCCTTTTCCTAGCCATTTTCCTAACATTCCCTATTCATTGCCACCAAAAGAACTCTCGAGAGAAAGTACCGTGAGAGAAAGGTGGTCCGTTTGACACTCGTTGTGCTTGCAAGTACTCTGCAAAAAAAAGTTGGCAGCAATTGCCCAAACCTTAAACAACTGCAATTGGCATTTCCAGCAAAAAAAAATCAGGCAAACACCACCAAGCTAGGAATGGCTTGTGGAAGGGCCAGGCCAAATGTAGGACGTATAGGCTGCTTCGAGATGTTTTAAGATGCTTTTAAGTTAAAGAAAATTATTCCAAAACCTAATTATTCCGGGGTATCTTGACGGGGGAGGATCATGATTTTCAAGGTTCCGACATGCATCATCGTATACCTACCCCTTGAAGAAATTATTCCTTGAAAATTATTCCAAAAAAATATTCCATTAGTTGATACCCTGGAATATTTTTTTAAGGCGTGGGTCATTCTCCATCAATTTGTTTTCCTTAATCACCTTCAAGTCTGTTTCATTAATTACGCTCAACTCATCATTTCCCTCCACCATCACCTCAAGACTTTCCCTTTTCTTCATTTGCGCAGCTTGCTCCAGAGTCCACGGGTAAAATCCCCAGGCCGGTAGCTCGTGTTCGCTGCAGTGCCATCAGCCTCGCCACCGGAACTGGCCGCACCCCCGGGCGCCCCGGACGTCCCGGACGCCTCGCGCTGCTCACGGCCGGCGCGCAGCACGCCGCGGGTGAAGTCGCCGAAGCGATAGGCGCCCGAAGGGTCGGAGCGAGACTCCTAGCACCGAAGTTGCAACCGGTTGACATCAAAAAGAGCGATTACAATGTAAATAACATAAATCACAGCTAAAGCAATTATGCATCAACTCTTGAACCCCCAGCAGCCATCATTGCTGCAAAAAAATGGTTATACTATACTGATGTGTATACATGTGTACATATATACTTATATGTGATGTAAATGTATATCTATATCTATATATATATGTGTAAAGCAATATATATATATAATTGTCTATGTCTATTTATATAAAAAATATATGTCTATGTGTATGCGTGTAAATATCATGTAAATATATCTATATATGTGCAAAAATTGATGTGTGTAAATAGCTATGTGTATATGTATCCATACATGTGCATATGTGTATTTCTATGCCTATCATTGTATATCACATATATTTGTGATATACGCGTATATGTGTGTCCCATGTTTATTGCTCAATACCACCATTTGGGGCGCTCAATCGCCATGCTTCAAAGGTAGCATCCGAAAAAAGCAAGAACCTGTTAATAGCCTTGATGATTGTAAGGCCCAGGTGCATTGCTTTCTCCTAAATATGAATGAGGTATCGCTACAAAAATGACCCTTTACATCTCTCCCACAAACCCCAACTCGATATATATATATATATAAACACGGACACAATCATAAACCACCAGTTGGTGACTTTTAATATCACCCATTTCTGGTTCAAGCCCTGGATGGTTCATAGCGTTGTGCATCCTTCATTACTCCTAGTTGGGTTTGTCTGAAAATATATTGGATCTAAGTCTTTCGTTTTCAGACAAACCCATGTCATAGATGTTGCTTATATATCCTGTTAAATCCGCATTTCCCATTCTGTTCCCATTAAATCCCTGCATGCCAGCTTCTTATATAATGGAGGATGCTGGACCCCGAAAAACCACCGGCCGTCCTTGCCCTCCTCCACCGTGTTGCTGATCACCTCCCGCAGCGCCAGCGTCGCTTGCCCCATGCGCTCCGACACGCGGCGCGCAGCCGTGCTGCCTGCTGCCATGCCAGTGCCTGGGGCCCCAAACCCAGGTGCTACCGAGTCATGGAAAATAGCCCATTGATAAATGGCTAATCGAAAGCCTGCCCACTGGTGACCACTGGTGACCACTGGTGAACACCCAAACAGCATGGAAATATACTTTCGTTCCCCCTATGGTGTAATCAAATATAGGTTTTGATCCATCCCCAAACGATTTACCCAGAAATGGTGATGTTCTATAGAGCTCCCTACCATAAACCATAAAAGACATCACCTTTGAGGCGGCTTACCACCAAAAGTGATCATCTGCTGCTCATGTAGCACCTCCACCAATTATACCAAACAGCTAGAGAGTTTACGAACCTGTGGTTGAGATTGTATGATTCTGAGCCAAGAATCAAAGGAATTATGTGTTGGTTTTAAGGTTGAAGAAGAAATGGCAATTAAACAAAGAATATTCATTAAATAACCGCCTTACTTGGATGCTCATTTAGCCATGGTCAAAATCCGGTTATGTATGACGACCGGATCTCCAAATAGTGTTTAAGTCAGGGATGCACGTCTGCGCAACAGCTAGCCTCCGGCAACCTAACCTACCAGGAACTAGCTGGAAAAATGAAGAGACTGGTGCTGGCCATTGTCAATTGCCAGGTCTAATCAGCACGGAATCAGCAGTTTGGGGCTGTGCTCATCTGCACAATCATTGTCAAGAGTTGATGGTGGTTCTAGCCCCAATTGCAGCTAGGAAACATATTTCCGCCAAGAAATACCGCGGACCCAATTGTTGATGGCTCATATCGACTACTGGTGGCGTTACTATTGGCTTTACCACAGTCTATCCCCAACAATGTGGTAAACCCAAATGATAAACCACCCCATTAACAAACCATGACTGGGGGTCATTTTACAACATCCCATTGCCAGGGCTACTCAAATTTCACCTCCATTGGGATGGTTTAGCGTTGAGGGTTTACCACATCATTATCAATTCCACTATCTCCCAGATGAGATAGTCATCTGCCAAATCATCATCTTACCAGAAGGGGATTATATATATATATATACAGTATATCCCCATATTGGCTGTGCACTAGCCATCATTGTCCATTCTTAACAGCTATTAACCATAGCTAACTATTACTAACCATTTCTACAACCATTTTACAACATCATCATTAATTCACCATTACTCATGGAGATGCTTTGCCCTTGTAAAAATCATCTCCCAGCCGATCCACCTACACCTGCTGGCCCCAAAGGCGCCAGCATGGTGCCACCGATGGTGGCACCCAGCGTGGAGGAGACGACCGCGCTCTCGTATGCGAAGGAGGCAGCACCTCAAGGCGAATGGCTGGTGAATCCTCCGTGTTCCTATGGCTAGGCTATACCAAGTCATTAGATGATGATATGGTTATACCAGAACTGATCTATGATTTATGATTTATGGTTATGCCAATTTTTATGGTTATACTGAGTTATACTGATTCATTATATGTAGGTGTCCTAAGTAATGGGGTATACCCTCAAAACATCGAATCTTTCTACCAGTATTGAAACCCAGGGTGACTTGGGGATTCCCATTTTACGAATCCACCTAACCTATATTATTTTAAATTACTTTACTTCGTGTGATCCCCACCATGACATTTATACATTTTCTTACTGGCAAATCTTCTGGCATTCTATCTGACATATCTTCTGACATTCTATTTGGCATTCTATCTGGCATATGATCTGGCATATCTTCTGGCATATCTTCTGGCATTCTATCTGGCAAATCTTCTGGCATTCTATCTGGCATATCTTCTGGCACTCTATCTGACATATCTTCTGGCATTCTATCTGGCATATCTTCTGGCATATATTCTGACATATCTTCTGGCATTCTATCTGACATATCTTCTGGCATATATTCTGACATATCTTCTTGCATATCTTCTGGCATATCTTCTGGCATATCTTCTTACATATCTATCTGGCATATCTTCTGGCATATTTTCTGGCATTCTATCTGGCAAATCTTCCAGCATTCTATCTGGCATTCTATCTGGCATATCTTCTGGCATATTATCTGGCATTCTATCTGGCATATCTTCTGGCATATATTTGACATATCTTCTGGCATTCTATTGGCATTTCTATCTGGCATATCTTCTGGCATATCTTCTGACATTCTTTCTGACATCTTTCTAACTTCTGCACATTCTTTGTCCCATATCTTCCTACATCCGAGGTCCGGCAGGGAACACTTGGCGTGGATACTCGCGGTTGAGGTCCGGCAGGAAACACTGGGCGTGGATGGTCGTGGTTGAGGTCCGGCAGGGAACACTGGGCGGGGATACCCGCGGTTGAGGTCCGGCAGGGAACACTGGGCGGGGATGGTCGTGGTTGAGGTCCGGCAGGGAACACTGGGCGTGGATGGTCGTGGTTGAGGTCCGGCAGGGCACACTGGGCGTGGATGGTCGTGGTTGAGGTCCGACAGAGAACACTGTGGATCGCGGGTCGCAGTTGGACGAGGAGGACGACGAGGAGGACGACGAGGAGGACGACGAGGAGGACGACGAGGAGGACGAGGAGGAGAGGAGGAGGAGGAGGAGGACGAGGCAGGAGGAGGCAACTGACATAAAATCTAACAACCCTCACCTGGCAGGTGGGGAAATATATCAATATTGATCATTAGACCAAAATTTCAATAATCGATAATTAGACAATAATCTCCATGATTGTGATTTCTGATCTGGAAACCATGAGCATGGAGGAGTACTAGTTAGTGGATGTTAACCGTATACGCATAATCATGTTACGCAGTGCATAATGATGGAAAGTATCAATACTAACTGGCTTACTATTGGACAATGGAAAATTCTTTGCCAACCAATATTGGCACAGGAAGATCAAACCTATACTGTCTATAGATCGTCACAGAATCGTGGTCCACGGGGGAACCAAAAAAACTAGACGACGGATGGCCCGAGAGCGTAGAGGAGCAGAGTCTTCTGTTGTTAGCATGGAAACACGATATTAGAAGGCAATATATTAAAGATGTATAATAGGCAGACGAGAAGAGTAGTATCAAGACAATATACCACAAACACAAGACAATAGTTTGCATCATATCTTTCGTATAGTTTCTTCACACACAGAACTTTTCAGAGACAGACGTTTTTGCACAGAGAGACTTTTACACACAGACGCTTTTACACAAAGAGCTTGTACACACAGAAGCTTTTACACACAGACGCTTTTACACACAGACGCTTTTACACACAGAAGCTTGTACACACAGGCGCTTTTACACACAGACGCTTTTACACACAGAAGCTTTTAAACAAAGAAGCTTTTACACACACCAAGAAGATCCAAGAAGCATAGAAAAGCTTTTACACGCAGACCTTTTGACACATAGAGACTTTTAGACAGACACACACACACACAGAGAGGCTTTTACACACAGATGTTTTCACACACACACACTCTCTTTCACACACAAAGACTTTCACACACAGCGGCTTTTACATACAGACATTTTTACACACAGACGCTTTGACACACACACGCTTTTACACACAGACTTATTTACACACAGACACTTTTACACACAGACACTTTTACACACAGACAGTTTTACACACAGACGCTTTTACACACAGACGTTTTTACACACAGACGCTTTTACACACAGACGCTTGTACACACAGACGCTTTTACACACAGACGCTTTTACACACAGACGCTTTTACACCACACAGTTCGGTCATTCTGAGTGCATTTGCACACACAGACTTATTTACACACACACACGCACACGCTTTTACACGCAGACGCTTTTACACGCAGACGCTTTTACTCGCAAACGCTTTTACACACAGACGCTTTTACACCACAGACGCTTTTACACACAGACGGTTTTACACACAAACGCTTTTACACACAGACAGTTTTACACACAGACGCTTTTACACACAGACGTTTTTACACACAGACGCTTTTACACACAGAAGCTTTTACACACAGAAGCTTTTACACACAGAAGCTTTTACACACAGAAGCTTTTACACACAGAAGCTTTTACACAAACGCTTTTACACACAGACGTTTTTACACGCAGACGCTTTTACACACAGACGCTTTTACACACAGACGTTTTTACACACAGACGCTTTTACACACAGACGCTTGTACACACAGACGCTTTTACACACAGACGCTTTTACACACAGATGCTTGTACACACAGACGCTTTTACACACAGACGCTTTTACACACAGAAGCTTTTACACACAGACGTTTCTACACACAGACGCTTTTACACACTTCGCCGGGCAACTTGGAAATGGCAATTTTACTTCAGTTTTTGGCGATCGAACCTCATTTCGTGCGAAAAGGTTGCGGCAGGAACCCAGAAATCGCAATTTTACCTGAGTTTTTGGCGATCGGCGATCGAACCTCATTTCGTGCGAAAGGGTTGCGACGGGGACCGGGAAATCGCAATTTTACTTCATCGAACCTCATTTCTTGCAAAACGGTTGCGCGGAACGACTTGCAAATCGCAATTTTACCTCAGTTTTTGGCGATCGAACATCATTTCGTGCGAAAGGGTTCACCGGAAACACAAAAATCGCAATTTTACCTCAGTGTTTGGCGATCAAACCTCATTTCGTGCGAAAGCGTTGCGCCGGACGACTTGCAAATCGCAATTTTACCTCAGCGTTTGGCGATCGAACCTCATTTCGTGCGAAAGGGTTCACCAGAAACACGAAAATCACAATTTTACTTCAGTTTTTGGCGATAAAACCTCATTTCGTGCGAAAGGGTTGCGTTTCGTGCCGTCTCGTTGGCACTGCCCCGCGCCTTCAAGAGAGAAATAGAAAAGAAGGAGTGGGCAAGAGGGCAAGAGGACAAGACGAGAAGATGTGAAGATGTGAGGATGTGGAGATGAGCAGATGTGAGGATGAGAAGATGTGAAGATGAGCAGATGTGAAGATGAGCAGATGTGAAGATGAGAAGATGTGAAGATGAGCAGATGTGAAGATGTGAGGATGTGAAGATGAGAAGATGTGAAGATGTAAAGATGTGAAGATAAGAAGATGTGAAGAGGAGAAGATGTGAAGATGAGGAGATGTGAAGATGTGAAGATGAGAAGATGTGAGGATGAGAAGATTTGAAGATGAGGAGATGAGAAGATGAGCAGATGTGAAGATGAGAAGATGTGAAGATGAGCAGATGTGAAGATGTGAGGATGTGAAGATGAGAAGATGTGAAGATGTAAAGATGTGAAGATAACAAGATGTGAAGAGGAGAAGATGTGAAGATGAGGAGATGTGAAGATGTGAAGATGTGAAGATGAGAAGATGTGGAGATGAGAAGATTTGAAGATGAGGAGATGAGCAGATGTGAAGATGAGAAGATGTGAAGATGAGCAGATGTGAAGATGTGAAGATTTGAAGATGAGAAGATGTGAAGATGTAAAGATGTGAAGATGAGAAGATGTGAAGAGGAGAAGATTTGGAGATGAGGAGATGTGAAGAGGAGAAGATGTCGTGAAGATGAGAAGATGTGAGGATGAGAAGATTTGAAGATGAGGAGATGAGAAGATGAGCAGATGTGAAGATGAGAAGATGTGAAGATGAGCAGATGTGAAGATGTGAAGATGAGCAGATGTGAAGATGAGAAGATGTGAAGATGAGAAGATGCGAAGATGTGAAGATGAGATACAGACCCCCACTATTGGAAGAACCCTGCGCTCAGACGCTCTCGGGAAAAACATCAACCCTGCCATGTTATGCCACCAAAAACCATCCATGCCCTACATTAATGGGATGGAAATTTGCACCGTCCCATCCCAACTTGGGGAGTTCTCAGCGCCTGCCACAGAGCCCGCCGCCACCGCCGTCACGTCGCTCCCAGTGCCGCCACCGCCGCGGTCGTCGTAGGTCCCCATGACGCGCTGGCCCCGCTCACGGGCAAGGCTCAGCAAGCCACGAGTCAGATCGCCAAAGCCTGGGCGTTGACGCTGGGGTTTTGTTTGACTTTTGAAATTATGAAGTCATGAGGAATTTCAATGGGTTTACTAAATAGGGGGAAGTAGCATGTTTACGGAATCTCTCGAAAAAGCATTTACCAAATCACAAATGTTGAAGAATTTTACCCAAACAAAGATGCTAAATACAATCCGGGATACGACCAAACTGGGGCCGTGTAAACCAACCTGGGGATTTCAGTAGCAAGTGATTTGGATGCCACCTTTGCACAACAAGTACAGTTGCCAACTTTCCTTTCTCAATATATAAGGTTGGATTTAAGGAAAGGGAGATTCGCCCGACCAAAATGGGAGGGTCAATCAAAGACGGAGACTCGGCCAACTAAAATTGGTGGGGTTAAAAAACAAACCAAAAGGTATAACACGAGAGAAGACAATGAAAGTAATCAACAATGATTTCACTGACTTTTTCATAAGGACAAATATACATATATATACATATACCTGACTTCTATAAAAGCAAATTGGGACACTCATTTGAAATATCAAACTGAAACGTTGGTCTACAATATGGCTGACTAAACACTACTTCTATTTGCGTGCTGTTCCAAAAACTATATATCACCAAACAAGGCGAGAGCACATGACAACATAGATTAGATACCGGATACGAGAACATGGATTAAATACAGGACATGAGACGGTCTCATGAAATACAGGAAAGGAGAACATATACAACCAAAAAACATCGACAAATTAAGCGATTGCTTCACTGGTGCACAAAGGTTTCTGAGCTTCTGAAACCATGGTATAGCTTGACTTGAGTGACCCAACGGAGCAACGCACATATTGGGAGTCCACCTATAAACAGCGCTGTCTGGTAGACTTATTTGACCACTGTTTAATCCAAAATAAACGAAATATAGCAGAATTAAATAGCCATTTTCCAGACAAAATCGATGGACTTCGAATGAAATATCCAAGGCGCGGTAGCCGTCAGAAGCTTCCTCATCAGAGCCTGAGGATCAGGAAAGTCTGCGGAGAGAAGTGATGTCCTGGTCTTATCCAAACCACCTCGTCTATTTTCTGGTTCACCATCCGATAAAATTCCAGTGCCATAAAATGTGGGTCCATCCCCCAATGAAAAGATCCATGAACGATTAATCTCCATTACCCGTAACTAGTGCTCACACGTCATGACGAGAATTTAGATCCAGAAACTAAAATCCACTACTGCAGTACAAAATATCCACCATGTACACATCAATCAATACTTAAAAATGAATTCGTTATTTAAAAATCGATACCTAGATATTTTAATGAACATTCAGATAGATATATATATATACATATATATATAATGATATCCTTCTTGGATAGGAACAAAAATGCCATCCCTGGCCTCGTCGTAGCTCCTGCCCCTTCTGCACCGAGGCCTTAAACGCCTGCGCCACACCCTCTGCCACGCTGCTTGCCACGGCCCCCGTGGCCACGCCGCCGAAACGGAGCATGGCCAGGGAGGACGAGGCGCTGCAGAAGGCCGCGTCGCGCAAGTTCCTTGGAGTTTTTTTTCGTTTTTTTTTTGTTTTGAATTTTTTGTCCTCCACAGTTTCTGGCCGATGTTCTCCTTGTTTCTCCTCTAGTTTCCAAGTTTTCTTCTCTGTGTTCTCCCAGATTCCAGTGATTTGACCAATGAAATCAGATTTTAAAGTTGAACTTGATTTCAAAATCCGGATTAAAATGGTGACTCTAGGACAGTGGGATTTGAAGTATCAATATTACTCTCGCAGGGGTTTATGCAGGAAAATAAGGGATTGACCGAAATGAACAATGGACAATTGGAGGTCTAAACCAACAATAATGGGAACGTAAGCGGAATATAATGGAATATACCCAACAATCTGATATTTGGGTTTCCTTGGGAAAGGGGGGGATTGATGTTTGTGTCCAACTGGGCGGATCGATCTTCAATTTATGGCCGTTTTGAAATGTTCCAATGGTAATCCAGTTGAGGTCAAAGGCAAATCAAATAAGGATCTTCATAATTTACAAAGAAAGAAAGGTAGGGGTTGAACCCGGACAAGTACGTTTTTTTCTGAGCAAAACAATGCCACCAGGCCCTTGACCAACAAAAGAAAAACAACCAGGATGTCAGCCACCAAACTGAAAACTTGCGGCGCAGCAAAATCTTGCCAGATTAACCCAGCCCAAGGGTTTTCATCACCACGAAAAAGGGTAGGCACATGGAACCACAAAACCAGGACATCAACCAGAATGGAGAGATACGGATCCAACTGGAGTGAGGCGTTAGTGATCAAGTAACATCAATACGACTGGTGGGTAATTAGGGCCTATCCCGATCCAGTGCATACATGCAACTCGACAGGGGCCCCGGTTGAAGCAACAAAGATGAATTAAACGCCAGTTTTTAACACAAAATGTGTGCATCCGGATAGTGGTGGCAGCAGCAGCAGAAGCAACAGCAACGACAACAACAGCAACAACAACAAGAACAACAACCAAACAATACAACCAAGAAATTTGATGAAATTTGCTGACGGAGGGTCCTTCCCGCCAGGAATACGTTGCAAAAGAGCTTTGGCAACGCCTCCGAACAGACGTTGCAACCAATGCATTGGATAACCGAAGGTGGTTCGTTAAAGGGTTTTTGACCACTTGATATGGGGTAAAAGAGCCCAGGCCCAGTCATGGTATATGTACCCACTGGTTATATTAAGTACGTTCACCTTTGATAATTCTTCATTTTTCCTTGTTTTCTTCATGTGTTGATAGCCCCTTTCCATGCAGAAAGCCCCACTTCCATCGGACCCAAAATGGCGCCTGGGTGATCTTTCGGGTGTAGTTTGCTTTGAGGCGTTCCAGCAACTCAGCCCAGGTTCCCTGACAGTCCAGCAGCAAGGGGTCAAAGTGCAGGTCGGCTTCCTGACGCGAGACAAGTGGGTCAGGAATCATATGTGCCATGGTCAGCTACTTTTATCTTCTTAAAGGGTTATCACCTTCTCTAACACAAACAAATGGAAATTAACCAACAAAATTATCGGTCTTTATTGTTGATAAATATTGATGCGGTAATGGATTAATGGTGATTCTATATATTCTAATATTTACATATGATTGGGTTTGGCCATTGCCCCATGATACTGGTAATCCTCCAAACTTGGAAAAGGAAATATGTCTCGTTTTCTACGGTGGGGTGATCGCCTCCCAATGTATTTATATATTCCAACTTTGAGCATGGCACAACATATCCCATTTTGTGGGTTGTATGTGGGTTACATGTGTTTCTCATGTCAAAGTAATATCACTTCTGTATGTAAATTGCGAATGTTCCACATCTTCTAGGAGAGATGGCTACTATAGACAAGGTCCCGGTTTCCAAGCAGAACTGCGATAATGTCGGCCCAGGATGTACCAACACACAATGTGTTTTGTCGTATAGTATGTGCATATGTAAATATATTTGTAGTGTTTTTTCTCTGCTTTTTTTGCCCAGTTTTGCCGATACAAAGATTTTTGTGGAGGAATAAGAAATAAGCCGGTCAAAAAGACATTTGACTAGTCGCTTTCCGATCTCAAAGTGTTGAGTTGAAACCCCTGTGAATGGCAAACTTCGTACTAATTCAATTGCAGGAAGATTGCCGAGATTTCTTTCCATCGAAAACTTCTGTGAAGCGTCCGGGGCAATCATCAGTGAGATTAAACTCCAGCATGGGACCAACCGGCTTTGTGTCGTGGCTGCTAATCGAACATGGCAGAGCTGGCCTCCCCCGCAAGTGGGGCAGACTTGCCTAAAATTCGAGGTAAAATCTGAAAAGTCTCTACAGAAACAAAGTCCACAAGCGAGTGAACAGACCCACCCCTTTGGACTTTTGGACATGCAAGCATTGACCGTCAGCTTGGATCAGTTTGGCGCGTACCCCAGGTGCAGCCCAGTATCGGCAATTTTTGCCTGCAAACCCCCGCGTTCCAATGAGATTTGAGTGGCTCTCAAGCTGATGGCGTCAACCGTCATGTGGAAGACGCGGACCTGGTTCTTTCCAAATCAATGCGTTGGTGAATAAGCAGCTAGGATAAGATAAATCTAACAATTTTAGTATCCCCAAAACGGATAGAAATATGAAATATTATTTTTTATTAACACTAAATTAAAAGTAATTCAGCTAAGACGATTTGCATGTGTGTGGTGATTGTGTTAAGTCTGTTGGGTCTGTGCTCAGCATATATAGTATCCTGTTTCTCCACATGACTTGGAAAAGAAGGACAATGAGCTCTGCCAAGTTGATGCTGAAGAATTTGTTATGTCTTCTTTGGGCCTCCTTCCAGATGTCAATGGGTATGTTCATGATTTGGGACCTACCATTTTTGTCACTCATCATACTTCCCGTTAAATATCACAATATATATATATATATATTGCTATATAGTTCAATGATGCGCATCCGACATTTTCAGGCACACCGCCAACATATCCCAAAATCATAGTGCTGGCTAAATCCCATTGCTCGTAATATCCGCTGATTATATGCCTATTATTAATCCCATAATCTCCCTAGAAAATGGCCGTTTCGTCCCGTCTCAACCATCTCATCTGGTTTATAATTGTCAGTAATCCGATGATCTAAGGGGTTCAATTAGCGGTTTTGAGAAATAAACAAGTAAATGAACAAACAACCATATGATACCCAAAAATGAGTTGAATATTTGACATATATTCCGACAATCCTTTCTGACATAAATTCTAATTCTGCTAGTCTTTCTTGACATCTTATCTGACATACATTATATGCTGACTTATCTCCCATGTATTCTCACAGTCTACCTGGCATACATTCTGACATTCTATCTGGCATTTTATCGGACATAGCGTTCTGGTCCGGCGAGCCCCAAACTGCTGTTGAGTTCGCGATACTGTTCGGATCCGGTAAGGCTCCAATAAGTGACTGCCTAAGCGAGGCTGGCAAGGAAGCTCGTGAGACGGAAGGAAGAAGGAAGGAACAAGGAAGGAAAAAGGAAGGAAGGAGTTGGCGGGATGTTTTGTTATAATCTAAAGACCCTGGCAGGTGGGGAGAAACTTGTCCACTCATACCATTGACAAAAAAAATATGTTTGTCCCATCCCCATCCATTTCCATGCTTTTCGGAATCTCTTCCCATCCGATCACCTCTTCCTCCGGCATCAGCAGCAGCGTCAGCGGCACCTGCCGCTGCTGCAGTTCCAGTAGCAGCGCCTCCGCAGGCGGCTGCAGGCCACACAGGCGCCAGCCGCAACGGAGACCCAGGCGTACAGCATCTTCGGAGCTGTCAACGATCTTGGTGTCCTACTGAATATAAAATGGGGTTCCAATGGGAACATCAGTGAAAACATCTATAAATGCGAGAAAACATAGGATATCATTGGTTTTTTTGAGAAGGAAGACACTTGGAGGATCAGTAGGGATTTGAGAACCGAGGCTATTTACCAGTCACTGAGAAGGATGATCCCCCAAGGAGCCTTCAAAATTGCCAACGAATATGCTTGGTTTCCGCATCCTCACACATCATCACAACCCCGTGCGTCGGCTTATCAAACCTTCAAGCATGCGCATTGATCAACAAAAACACAGGCGCCTGAGGCTCCCTGCACAGAAACTGATTCGATTGTACCATATCTAGCCCAGGTACTCATTCTATAACCAATAAAACCTCACATTTTTCTGCCATGAACAGGAGCCACACTCGAGCCCACAGTCCTGAGCGCAAAATCCAAAAGGCCTCTCTTCCAGCAAAACGGGCTCGATGAAAACCAACGTTTCCAAAAAGTCTAAGATGTAGTCAACAGCAATCCTGGAAGGGTCAACTCAGGGTCCACTCGGGCTGCAGGCAAGATGCCCAGAACATGTCCACGTTTGACCATCCGAAAAAAATCGATGAAAGGGCATTGGTTTACCAATAATTTCGCTATTAAACTTGAATAACTTCGATATGGCCAGCAGTGGGGGCTGGAACTTGAGTGTGGATAGACAAGGCTATCATGACCTCCAAATTACAATCTTCCAGCTCCAAGAATCCTCTTCCGAACGCCAAACATAGCATGTTCTCTCCCCGAAACCATCAAAATTATAGGACCGGATAACCCCACATGTTACCAACTTCTCTAGACTTAGACTGAGCATAGAAAAGCAAGAAGGGAAGAGGAAGTATAAGAGTGATGGAGGGGTGATGGTGGGTGAGTTTTTGTGTATGTGTGTATGTATGCGCATGCACAGGTGAGTGAATGAGTAAGTGAGTGAGTGAGTGAGTGAGTGGCTGGGTGGGTGGGTGGGTGGGTGGGTGAGTGAGTGAGTGAGTGAGTGATGGTGTGAGTGAGGTGGGTGAGTGAAGGTGAGTGGGTGAGTGAGTGAGTGAGTGAGTGGGTGAGTGAGTGGGTGGGTGAGTGAGTGAGTGAGTGTGAGTGAGGTGAGTGAGTGTGAGTGAGGAGGAGTGTGTGTGTGTGTGAGTGAGTGAGTGAGTGAGTGAGGGTGTGAAGGTGACTGGGTGTGAGTGAGTGATGGAGTGATTGAGTGAGTGATGTGAGTGCGTGAGTGGGTATGAGTGATTTCAGTGAATGAGTCAGTGATTCAAAAGAAGTAAAAGTGAATGAGTGAGTGTGAATGAGTGTGAGCACAGTGTCCCACACCTGCCACGCAAAAGCCACCAGCAATGCACATTGTCCCACGCCTGCCACGCAAAAGAGGCGGAGCCCGAGGGACGCCAGAGCGTACATCCGACCCCTTGGCAGTGCACATTGTCCCACGCCTGCCACGCAAAAGAGGCGGAGCCCGAGGGACGCCAGGGCGTACATCCGACCCCTTGGCAGCGCACATTGTCCCACGCCTGCCGCGCAAAAGAGGCGGAGCCCGAGGGACGCCAGGGCGTACATCCGACCCCTTGGCTGCTCACATTGTCCCACGCCTGCCACGCAAAAAGACGCGGAGCCCGAGGGACGCCAGGGCGTACATCCGACCCCGTGGCAGTGCACATTGTCCCACGCCTGCCACGCAAAAGACGCGGAGCCCGAGGGACGCCAGGGCGTACATCCGACCCCTTGGCAGTGCACATTGTCCCACGCCTGCCACGCAAAAGACGCGGAGCCCGAGGGACGCCAGGGCGTACATCCGACCCCTTGGCAGTGCACATTGTCCCACGCCTGCCACGCAAAAGAGGCGGAGACCAAGGGACGCCAGGGCGTACATCCGACCCCTTGGCGGTGCACATTGTCCACGCCTGCCACGCAAAAGCGGAGACCAAGGGACGCCAGGGCGTACATCCGACCCCTTGGCAGTGCACATTGTCCCACGCCTGCCACGCAAAAGCGGCGGAGACCCAAGGGACGCCAGGGCGTACATCCGACCCCTTGGCAGTGCACATTGTCCCACGCCTGCCACGCAAAAGAGGCGGAGCCCAGGGACGCCAGGGCGTACATCCGACCCCTTGGCAGTGCACATTGTCCCACGCCTGCCACGCAAAAGAGGCGGAGCCCGAGGGACGCCAGGGCGTACATCCGACCCCTTGGCAGTGCACATTGTCCCACGCCTGCCACGCAAAAGAGGCGGAGCCCGAGGGACGCCAGGGCGTACATCCGACCCCTTGGCAGTGCACATTGTCCCACGCCTGCCACGCAAAAGAGGCGGAGCCCGAGGGACGCCAGGGCGTACATCCGACCCCTTGGCAGTGCACATTGTCCCACGCCTGCCACGCAAAAGAGGCGGAGCCCGAGGGACGCCAGGGCGTACATCCGACCCCTTGGCAGTGCACATTGTCCCACGCCTGCCACGCAAAAGAGGCGGAGCCCGAGGGACGCCAGGGCGTACATCCGACCCCTTAGCAGTGCACATTGTCCCACGCCTGCCACGCAAAAGAGGCGGAGCCCGAGGGACGCCAGGGCGTACATCCGACCCCTTGGCAGTGCACATTGTCCCACGCCTGCCACGCAAAAGCAGCGGAGCCCAAGTGAGTGAGTGAGTGAGTGAGTGAGTGAGTGAGTGAGTGAGTGAGGGGTAAGTGTGTGAGTGAGTGAGTGAGTGAGTGAGTGAGTGAGTGAGTGTGAGTGAGGGGACGGGAGGCGCGAGGCGCGAGGCGGCGGGAGGCGGATACAGAACTAAAAACAAAAACCCCACACGTCAATGTGGGGAAAAAGACAAAGTCCAGCCAAGACTCTTACATCGCAGCAAGAAACTTTCAGTAGTATTCACCTCCATCTTTGGACATCTCAAAGTCACATGGCACTTCTCAGCCAGTTCCACTGACCCACTAGCAGCATCACAGCTGAGGGCAGGTTCCTCATGGCTCGGATCCTGGCAACGTAGTGACTGCAGGGAGCCATCCATTCGGGTCCCGCCCTGTCCGGAGGCTCGGAGAAGCGAGACTTCCACTGAGGCCACACCTTCCAAAAGCTGAACCTGTGCAGGAACTTTGGCAACCTCATCAAAAAGAATTGCGCCAATGACAAATTGGGAGACCAACAACTACAAATCTTGATTTTTACCATTAAGAATGCAAATTGGTGTTTTCTGTCAAATGTATCTTTATCTAATTCTGGGACCAAAGCGTACCAAAGCTACAACTGGTTGGTGGACTGAGGTTATTTATTTTTTCTCCCTAAAGTTCATGGCCGAAAGGTTCCAGACCTGTGCTTACTTAGACCATCCCAGATGGTCAACTGAGAGACGCCGTGTTCCGTGTTGGGACTGTCCTATTCATCAAGGGACTGTTTGAAGGAATGCTTAGGGTAAATGCCGTTTTCACCAGTCATTTTTGGTGGTTCCCCAAGATGTTTCCTTCAACTCTGGGAACGTAGACGTTCCCAAGGGTCCATCCCAATAGAAAGTATCCTCATGCATCAGCCACGAAGATGCCCATTCTGGGAAGATAGACCGCCCAACTTAGGAAGTGGCCGGTATAACTTTTGACAAGAATACTAATTGCCAACCCAGATGCATTCAGGATACTCCGCTAAAAGAGAAACATGTCAATCATGGAAGACCCGTTCCCGGTCAGACAATATTTTTTAAGCAGTTCTTCAAAATCCACATCCGGCAGCAGGTTTGAAGTTATTGAACCCTCAGCTGTCCTGCATGTCGCAATGCTCGCAGGAAGCACTCCAGCTGTTTAGCTCCGAGAATCCATCCTGGATGCGATGCTGGGAAGTCCCCCCAATTCTCCCGGAAAAGTTCTTTTTAACCTTCCCACAAGAAGCTTCCTAAACAAAAAGACCCTGGGGCTCAGCTCGAAAACCTTCCAACCTTACAGCTCTTCTGAACATGTGACTCTGGAACCTTGAAACCTTGAAACGTAAATGTGCAGACCAGTGGAACCTCCGGAACTTTGAAAATATGAAAAAGCACCCAAGAATGCTGGAAGGTTGGAACCCTAAAAGCCGAAAAATCTTGCAACCCCTTATAACTGCGTAGAAAAACGCAACCATCCCAGGCGGTGCATTCAAGCACTCGAAGGAATATATGTTGTCGGAGACCCAAGCATGCGCTGTTGGGAAAGCAAGTTGGCTGGGGTTCTATCATCCTTTCTTTGGTGCAACAGCCATTTGCCAAGAGTCATAGCTGGCTTTCAGGGTGGTGACTCGGACCTCTTTCTGAAAGCCCCTGAGTGGAAAGGGTCGTAGGCGACCCCAAGGCCCCTATGAGACCTAGGTTTCCCCGCAAAAAAGGGATGCATTCATACCCTACCCCAATCTGCATCTGTGAATCGCCCGTCCCTGGCGATCAAAGCCATGCAACCTTGTTGAACATCAATGACCAAAATCTGTGTCCCTTGGCGTCGTAAGTTTTGACCCCCGGATTTTCCACCAAGTAACACTTCCAGGTCTCTCACTTTCAGCTCCAGCTCTGGACATTCAAATTCCAAAGCACCTGGCTAGGGCTGGCCATTTTTAGCGCCAGAAACGGAAGAACCCCAGCAATTGGGAACAGAAACTGAAACTATTTCCTCATTGAGCTGGTCAAGAATTTTGGTGTTCTCCGGATTCAGATTTTGATCAACCACCCAAATGCTGCTGGTTGCAACCCAAATACTCTTGAGTTACCACCCCTTCCAATCACATCTTGGCTGCTTCCTGGTCTTTGAGCTAGAACATGCTAGAACTATTTTGTTACCCCATCTTCAATTCAGATGTTAGATTTTCTTCCCAAGAAATGACCTGTAGATAATTTGGGATCAGTTCCATCACATCATCACTTCCTCAAGTTGAGCTGCGGCCTCTCCACCCACTAACATCTGTCGATTCCAGGTGGGCCGAGAAGTAGTTGATTAGGCACTTGGCACTGCGCACCATGGACACCAAGTCCTCCCGGCCGTGAAATATGGAGAATGCGTCTGGAAGAATGGGGAGCCAAACCGTGAAACCAATCAAAAAATGGAGACTTCGACAACCAAAAAATGACCCTATATTTGTTCATCTAGACCCGTCCTCGACGTCGCAGTGGCATTCCATGCGCGGTTCCGCGCGCAACTTCAGCGGCAGCGATGCTCCACAGGTGGCTGTGAGTGCTGTGGGCTGCAGAATGTCCTCCTTGGCGTCTAACCTAAGGCTAGGCTGGTGCCGGAATCTCGCAACGTACATTCGGAACTGTGGGCTGCAGCCGAAAAAATGCTTGGGATAATATCCTGTATATATATATATATATATATGTAGTATATGTATAGGTATATGTATCTGTAAACTCTATACCCATTTATGCCCTATTCCACTTACTTCAGGGATTGTCTCAATGTTTGCTAGTTGTGAGGCGCCATTTGATCATCAAGTTAATTCGAATGGTAGATTTCACATTCCCGCTCCAGCTCAAAGGTACGTGTCTCCCTCAAAAAAAAAAGGTGTTGCCCTAGATTTAGTATATCATATGGTTGGGATTGCATAGGTGTATATATATATATGATGAAGCTCAAAGCTACCTTGCTGGCTCACTGCCTCCTTGCTAGCTCAAAGCTCAAAGCTACCTTGCTGGCTCAGTGCCACGTAGCTGGCTCAGTGCCACGTAGCTGGCTCAGTGCCACGTAGCTGGCTCAGCGCCTCGTAGCTGGCTCAGCGCCACGTAGCTGGCTCATTTTTTTTAGCAAAAAAAAAAAAAAAAACTCGCAGAAATTGAGCCGGCTACATGCCCTTGAGCCGGCTCGCCAATGCGTCATGAACCCGGCCAATACATAGTTAGTATTCGTTTTGATGCTCTCACATTCGTCCGCCAGCTCAACGTGACGTAGCTGGCTCAATTTTTTTGGCGTTGTTTTTTTTCCTTTTTTTTTTCGTTGAAAAAATTGAGCCAGCTCGATGCCATTGAGCTAGCTCGATGCCCCTGAGCTAGAGCGATGTGTTTGAGCGAGCTCGATGGTGCTGAGCCAGCTCGTTGCAGTTGAGCGAGCTCGCAGAAACTTCCCAATGTGTTAAATTGCCAGGTTCAGTCCCCACTGATTACTTTAGTACTAGATATGGTACCTCTGAAAAAGCCCAAGGTGACTGTCAAAACATACCCCTGATGAAATTGAGCCAGCTACATGTTTTGAGCTAGCTCGAAAAAATGGAAGATTGTGGATTCCACCATTCAATTAATTCCCAAATGTCCAGCAAATTTTGGTGATATGATTAAGAAACGTTTTGACTCTTTGGAATGGGTTAGAATTCTTGACCCCCTGTTGATCATCTTTGAAGCATTCACCAGCTTCGGAAATGTCAAATGTTCGACCGCCAGTTTGGTTCAGAATCAGCTCCAGGCTTAAGGATTGTGAGGGTTTGGCAATGGATGCCCTGGGTTGGATGTTCCATCAAAATCGGTGGCCCAACCATGCAGAATGGTTCCCGGCACAAATCGTCCGAGGCAGCCCGAGTTGGAAACGCCCAAAGCGTCTTCCGCTCGGTTGATACCAGGCATCAGGGTCGGTTTTGGAAAACATATTTGGTGGGTTTTAGCCCAATCCCCAAAACTATCTTTCAGTCACCGAGAGTTCATCATCCTACAAAAGGGTTGGAGTGTTTAGCATCACCAACCAAGTTTGAACGGGATGAACTGGCTATGCCTCTTGCTAGAATCAACCCCCTCATGAACAACCCTGAGAATTTGCACACAAACTTGAATGCGTCTGAAAGTTCTGTATGTCCCCCAAATGCTAGATTGTTTGATGGGAAAATGATGTTCCAAACAATGAAATTTGCTGGGGGTTCCCTAAAAAGTTGTCAAAGCCACTTCGCATATCGAGCAACTTCAAAGTCACCACCTGCTGCAGCGTTCCAACGGCTTCCTCCCAAGATCCCTTGATGCCGGTACTTTCCAACACCACTGGACCATAATGCCATGGTTCTCCACCTGCCGGTATTCAAACATCGGCACTCAAGCATGACAATGGAAAATCCAATGCGTTTCAAAGAAAATTGTCGATATACATAGAGATAGACATAGATATATAAATATGGTATTGTTATGATGGAAATGGATGTAAATGGTGGATTTCCGATCTCAGATTACGCGATGGCCACTCCAAGTTGGCTTCATCAGTTTCATCCACTTTCTTAGTCCTTCTTGAGGGTACCTTCAAGGCTCACCGGCTATTAGCAATCAACCACACGGGATGAACTGAACCTTGCTCAGTTGGTGGGTTTTGTCTCAAAATACGTGCAATGTGTCTTTATCATGTTCCCCTAACAGCAGTAAGGGTTCCAGGGTTCCAGCGTTCGGGTTCCCTTCCGGTCTTGGGCTCCGCAAACAACCGACGTACCACTTCCAGAGATTGAAACCTAACAGTCATTGCTCTTGCAAATGAAATTGCTGGAAATAGCAGGCTCCAAATGGTTAACACCCCAACAATCACTGCTGTAAATACATCATCCAACTGTTGTCTCAATGTTATCCCATTTCTTTCCGAGAAAACCACAGAGCCCACCTACCACCACGGCTAGCTGCAGCATCTCCAGCTCCATCCGCCACAGCACCGCAGGGTCCGCCACGTCCGCCACGTCTTGCGGTCGCAGCGTCGTCAGCCAGGCGACACCCCGCTGCAGGGCAGGGCGAAGATGTAACCGCAGGCGGTCAAGGCACAGTTTCAGCCTGAGCTGGGGGTTTGGCTCAATGGCGAAGCACCGGTAACACGGCGAAATCTCGTGAAATCTCACGAATTTCACGAAATATTATGTAAATATGTGAAATTTTCTGTTTGGATGCATTCCTTTTTTGAATGGTTCTAGCTGATGGAAATAGTCCCCATTGTATCATGTAATTGCAAATCATGGTACTCCCGAAATAAAAGAAGTACTCCGCGGTGACATGCTTTGATACTCCACAGAATGGTAGCTGAAATGGAAAGAGACCACCTCTTCTTCGGCTTGTTCCAACTCCCTGTGATTGGTTGGGGTAGAGTTGGAAGATGGGGACATGTAGAATAGAAGCGTATAGAAGTTGCAAGAACATACACGAAGTGGTCTTTTGTCTGGCCAACCGGCAGGTCTGGCTTCAGCCTTAAAAATTAAGACCAAACAGCTTCTACCCGATTCTACCCAATGTTGGATTTGACTCACCATCCGAGGCCCTTAATGCGGTACTAGTACCTCTAAAGTGTCACTGAATCATTGGGGAAATCAAGCCCCTGCCGCCAAAGTGCTCTCCCTTGGCCTCCCTCCTAGTGATAGTGAGGGTGGCTGGCACATCGGCACCCTCAAATCTGACCACTGAAAGCTGATCTGCAGATTTTGACAATTCCAGGACACCGAACTCTAAGAGTTCGCCATGGAAATTCCAATCATCCAGCTCAACAATATCCAGCTGCAGCATGAAACCCGCAGAAAATTGCAACGAACTGTCCATGGCAAGCAAGGTGACCTTGGGAAGCATCAACGAAACTTCAAGTTTCTCCCTGGCTGCGTCCGCCCCTGCCAGTCCATTTCCAGCTCCATCTTCAAGCAGAATGGCCCTGTCGCTTTCCGAAACTCCCTCAGGCAACTCCTCCCCCAACTCGCTGTTGGGCGGGCCACGCCATTTGTCCCTCAACCACCTGGACCAGCTCTGAACTGCCACATCCTCACACTCCAAGAACTCATCCTCTTCCCTCGCATCTGCAAAGTCATCACTTTTGATTCGCTCACCTTTCGCTTGCTGAGCCAACTGCAGGCAGCAGCGGAGCTGTTCCCTTCTCCACTGCACCTGCATGTGTTGACCTTCCAACTGCAGCTGCAACCCCTTCCAATCCACAAAGCGTCGACCGGAAATTCGTGTAGCCCAGCAGCTGGGGGAGGCATTCGACACCACAAAGGCCTCAGGTGGCACATCCGCCAGCTGAACCTCTGGATCTGCATAATAGGCATAAGCACTCAGCGTCATCTCCACCCTTTGCCGCAAACCACCCTCCGAAACCGCTGGGTGAATGCTGAAGCTGTCGAAGATCAGACCTGCAGTGGCTTTCAGCTGGTTGCCCTGGCAGCCCTCCAGACGAATGTGGGCACCGGTGATGCGAAGCTCCAACTGATCCATGATTTTCCGTTTCAGCCTCTCCACATAGTTTCTTTCCGATGGGGCAGTCACCGAAGCTGTTCCGGAAGAGCTTTCCGATGCAGAAGAGCAGTCCTCAATGTCCTGAGCCATGTCTGAAACTGACCCTTGGTGTTCTTCAGTTCTTCCCCGTTGGTTGAAACATTTTTCGCATTTCAAAGATCATAATGGTCCATATGGCCCAAGAGTCCACACTAATTATGGGCCTATGGGTGAAAACTTTCGCAACTTGGATGACTTGGATGACTTGGATCACTTGCATCAAAACAAATCGAGTCACCAGCTGGATCTTCAAATCGTTCACCTCCACCTGCAGGGCTTCCGTCAACAGCCTACGCCAGGACCAGCTGGCGACCACCCGCCCCGCGCGGCCAGAGACGCGTAGGCGACGTGCAACGACGCGGGGACGCAGTGCCACCGCAGAAAGGTGCAGCTCACCGGAGAAAATGTCCACGGACTGGCAACGGCCAGCTTTGAAAAGTCGATATACAGTAACCACAAAGATCTTATGAAATGAAGTGAACATCAATTTGGGAGAGCTTGGTTTTGTGGCAGGTGGATGCGGGGAATTTTGGGATGGAAGCACCAAACTTGGTGATTTTGCGACTAAAAGATTTTAAAAGATAAGAATTAATCCACAAATATGGGAGAAGATGGGGGTTCAACCATGATGATATCCCCAAAAAACTTCCAGCAATGCTGGATAGTTGCGAATGTCTTCACATTGCGGGGCCATGATGTCGTGGCTATGGAAAGTGATAGTGACCTTGCCAATATCCCTTGATGTCCAACTTGAAATGAAATGTAAGAAGGGATAAGAAAGCAATTAATCCTGACAGGGTTATCCCAAGATGATACCAAGGGGGCCAAGTCAGTCATTGCTGTCATCGCTATCATAACTCCTCAAAATTCTCCTCATCATGACGGTGGGTATTCGCAGATCCCGATTTAGAGGGGTCAACCTGTAGAAATAGGCTGAAAATTCAAAATGAAGATGGAAAAACAACTGAGTGAAACCCATGAAGTTGAAAGGTTTTGAATTTGCGCGAGGACGTTGAAATACATACTGCTGTGGAAAAACAAAGGCCACTACAAAAACAAGTTGTGGGAGGGTTCCTGTTTATATTGTATTCCAAAACACAAACCTAGCAGGGTGCAATAATTTTACACGCAATTATTTGTGCTCCAGGAATAATAGGAAATAATGGTTCGCTGTGACAAATTCCACCATTCCTAAACACGGATTTCACAAAAGGTTTGTACTCATTGCTTTCTCGTGACTCGCAACCCACTGTTGAGAAGACCGACCACCAGAAGCTCGGGAAATTCACAATAACAGAATGTACCGAAAACCAATACACCAACAAAACTCGACCAGTTGCATGCAACAATCACATTTTACCGCAAAAATACATCGCCAAGGTTCCTGACTGGACACATCGAAATAGTCTGCGACGCTCCGTTGCAACAACGGCCCCAAGATTCTTGAAGCAGCCATGGTCCAAACATGCCAAGATCGACATGCACATGAACTGACCAAAACTGGCACTGAATAGATTTCCTCCATGAAATTGGAAAACCATTGAAACAACGAATGATCAGAGATGCAAGCGCAATTTTCGAAGATGTCATTTCACGGTTTTATAAAGTAACCAGGTCATCAGGTTATCACTCACAGCAAGTTTGTTCTCAGGAATAACGGCCTATTCAAACTCTGTGTGCGTCCCATGCTTTTTTGTTCCTGCTTGAAGAAGGTCCTGCTCTTACGACACCTACGACACCATGTGTCATGTCTGCTTGTGCCACCCTATAACTCAAACCGCCAACAGCCGCTCAGCTGCAAACGGCGACAATTATTGTCTGCTGTTGGCAAAACAAACTTGGTCCAACTTGATGTTTGAACATAACTTTAGTCACCTTTGATTCGAAGTGAAATCATTTTGGAAAAACACTCGCCTCTGTGACAACAGGTTGTCAAGTACGACCATTTTTACTCTCTGAGCCAAAATGCAAAGCAATGGTTCCCCGGATCCCTGCGAAGCGGTCACAGGAATTTCCGTGATAAGTTTGCAGCAGTGCAAATTCAGCCAAAAAAGGTGCCTGAGCATACGCTGCCAACGAGTGTCTTTGTTGAGAGAGTTGGCATGTTGAAACAGTCACCACATCATTTTTATTCCATGCCAAGTACCTGGCATGGCTAGCATGTGGGGGTCTGGCATCCATCAATCATTAGGAAATACTATGATGTTCCCCGCGACTTGCCAGCGCATCAAGGACACAATCAGTATGATGTCATGTGTTTCTAAAGGAAACATGTTTGAAACTTGGGGGCCCCTAACATCCCAAATGTTGTTTGCGAAATCGGGTATCGAGAACTTCGGGCATCCCCAAATCATCAACTGCCAAACCCTGCTGCCAAATATTCTGCATTCAGGGAGCAAAGGCATTAAAAACATACTTGGTATGTTACACTGTGCTTCTGCGCTTCAAAGCTTCCCAATGCATCTGGACCCCAAGGATATTTCTTCTACTTCGGGCACAATCCAGACCCAGTGCCCAAACCGCAAACTTGGGTGGACGGCAGCCTTTTCCTTCGAGTTCTTCCACCTTGATCCATCTGATCCGCCTTGATCGACCCTAAAGACCGCAATGGCGGAACCAGCTCACCCTGGCCGTGCAATAAAGCAGCGAAAGCAGTCCCCTCTGGAGTACGGGAGGATTTCAGAATTGTATGACCGATCAGTGTTAGTGTTGTACGTATCCTTGGGTAAAATCAAGATATCCCCAGAATAAAACTGTAGTAATTGATCGCAGAAAGAAAGCCAAATGGTAAATGAACACCAGTAGAGTTGCAAGCAAGTGTTTTCGACACCCACACCTCCAAGCAATCGCACTTCTTGACAAAAATCGCAAAACATCTCAGTACGGCATGTCACGACTTCACCTCATGGTGTCGGACGGCCGCCACGCCGGTCACATGGAGATCCTCATCGAATTGCATCACATCGGTTCCACGACCTTCTCTTCCAGGAATGAGACATTCAAAGGATGCCACCACCACCTGGAGCTACGAAAAACGCAAGGATTCAAGCCCTGGCGAAGATTGGCGAAGGATGAAACATGCTGTGCTTCAAAACAACGGACAAAGAAAGGTATGTCACCTGGAACAAATATTTGAAAGAATATCCCTCCGGGGCGGACGTTGCGCCACCCGCAGTTTCACTAGGGGTTTACTTGCTTTTGGGTCGGTTTAAGGTCTGTTTATAGGGCTGGTTGATGATCTACTCATGCTTGGTCTAGGGTTTCTTTAGTTTTTTTGACTTATTGAAGCTATTTAAGGATGCTTAGGGTCTATTTTGGGCTGCTTTAAGCGATCTGATCCAAGCTTTATTAAAATGGTTGATTTAGGGTTGGTTTAGGGTTTCTTTCGATTTTATTTAGGATTGGGTCAACTTAGGATTGTTGAAGGGTTTTCTGGTGTGTTTAGAGCCTAGGGTTTTGTTTTACTGCAAGGATTCAGACACTGCAAGTTAGAGTGAATCTGTTCAAGACACGGTTCAAAAGTGATTTTGCATTGCCTGAAGAAATGCAACGAAAAGCGGGCACTATCAATATTTTGCGAAATACACGTGCCCCTGCAACACAGTAGATCGCAGTCAAGCATGAAATTGTGTCGATTTCGTGCAAACGCCACCTAGCCAAATAATAGAGATATACACTATTATATATATATATTACCTGATCATGCCTGCATGTTGTGTGAACCTATGTCGAATGGAAAATGTGTGGCCAACGTCGCTTAAGCTGCAAAATGAGCCTGCAAACTGCAAACGCAGGAATACTCTACGAAATTGCCAGTTTCATGAAGCAAAGCGATAGTACACCTCTAGAAGGTCTCCTGAAAATCAAAAAAAAGTAAGAAAAATTGTGGGAAAATCGAAAAAATGCCAAGCCAAAAGGTAGGACCACTCGGTTATGTAGGTCCACATCAAGAATGGCATCAACCTCATAATTCTTCTCCATCTTCAAGAAGCTCTTCTTGAAAGCCAAGACCTCTCAAGCAAATGCATCAAATTTCGAGCCCGGACCAGCTACTAAGGGTTCATCCGGGTTGTATTACCTTGCTTGTTAGTTCGAAGCCTTGGGTAAACACATTCCCAAATCATATTTATTGCCACAATCTTGGGGACCCCAGCCAGGTATTGGATGCAAGGGCTTGGACAATTGGGGAAGGGATCAACAATTTTGGTCAACCGCCTGGCAAAACCCTCTTCCCCCGTTGGGAAAACTCACGAGTTTTCAGGTTTTTTCTCCCGTGCATTGCTTCATGTCTTCCGAAAGTGTCGTTCTTGTTGCTCCGTCCCCAGGCCACCAACTTGCCAGAGAATTTGCAACTTGTTCCAAAGCAGATTTCTCAAAACCAAACTGCTGCTTTCCCAAAAAAAAACTCATATCATTTCTGGGCCAGCACTTTTCCTTTTTCGGAGAAAACATCCCACACCTCCGTCGCCCCGACTGCACCAAACATCTGAGCATTGGGGGCAACCAGCTGCTGATGCACCGCAAGGTCGCCCTCGCAATCAGCTTTCAACCACCGGAGAGCCTGGATGTCAGTTGATTTCAGATGGTTCATAGAAGATTTGAAAATCAATGGATGATCAGGCGAAAAATGGGGGATTGAGATTTACCAGGAAGAATGGGTTGTTTGAGGTTGATCCTATGAAACACAAAAAATGTGAAAACGTATGAGATATGTCACCAGTACCAGCTGCAACTGGAATGGAGGAATCAGCTATAGCAACTATGGATGTGAGATGGTAATTTGATAACGGCCAACTAATAAAACTGGGGACGTTATAGATTCATAGATAGCTGGAAACAAGATGAAGCCCACGAACCCGAATGCTCACACGTATGTTAATGGTACAGATGTCAAAACACATGGTTATGCAGTGAAACACAATACCTTTCTGCAATAGTTTATTTGGAGTAGAGTGTGGAGTGTGGAGTGTAAAGTGCAAAGTGTGGAGTGTAAAGTGTAGAGTGCGGAGTATGGAGTGTAAAGTGTAGAGTGTGGAGTGTAAAGTGTGGAGTGTGGAGTGTAGAGTGTAGAGTGTGGAGTGAGGAGTGAGGAGTGTAAAGTGCAAAGTGTGAAGTGTGGAGTGTCAAGTGAGGAGTGTAAAGTGTGGAGTGAGGAGTGTGGAATGTCAAGTGAGGAGTGTAAAGTGTGGAGTGAGGAGTGGAAAGTGTAGAGTGTGGTGTGTAGAGTGGAGTGTGGAGTGTAAAGTGTGGAGTGTAGAGTGTGGAGTGCGGAGTGTAAAGTGTGGAGTGTGGAGTGTAAAGTGTGGAGTGTGGAGTGTTGAGTGGAAAGTGTGGAGTGTAAAGTGTGGAGTGTAAAGTGTTGAGTGAGGAGTGTAAAGTGTGGAGTGTGGAGTGTTGAGTGGAAAGTGTGGAGTGGAAAGTGTGGAGTGTAAAGTGTGGAGTGTAAAGTGTGGAGTGTAAAGTGTTGAGTGAGGAGTGTAAAGTGTGGAGTGTGGAGTGAGGAGTGTAAAGTGTGGAGTGTAAAGTGAGGAGTGTAAAGTGTGGAGTGTGGAGTGAGGAGTGTAAAGTGTGGAGTGTGGAGTGTAAAGTGTGGAGTGGGGAGTGTAAAGTGTGGAGTGTGGAGTGTAAAGTGTGGAGTGCAAAGTGTGGAGTGTAAAGCGTGGAGTGTGGAGTGGAAAGTGTAGAGTGTGGTGTGTAGAGTGTGGAGTGTGGAGTGTAAAGTGTGGAGTGTAAAGTGTGGAGTGTAAAGTGTGGAGTGAGGAGTGTAAAGTGTGGAGTGAGGAGTGAGGAGTGTAAAGTGTGGAGTGTGGAGTGTAAAGTGTGGAGTGTTGAGTGGAAAGTGTGGAGTGTGAAGTGTGAAGTGTAAAGTGTGCAGTGAGGAGTGTAAAGTGCAAAGTGTGGAGCGAGGAGTGTAAAGTGTGGAGTGTAAAGTTTGGAGTGTGGAGTGAGGAGTGTAAAGTGTGGAGTGTGGAGTGTGGAGCGTAAAGTGTAGAGTGTGGAGTCTGGAGTGGAAAGTGTAGAGTGTGGTGTGTAGAGTGTGGAGTGTGGAGTGTAAAGTGAGGAGTGTAAAGTGTGGAGTGTGGAGTGAGGAAGCGCCACGCCTGCCACGCAAAACGACATGACAACCTGCTTGGAAACATTCGAAAAGGACATGTTTTCCAGCTTCCGCCATAGACACAGCGACGCCACAGGAAAACCAGAGACTCGAGACGAGACACGTGGGCGCAAAAAAACGAGCATTTCGTGCGAGACTTCCTCCAAGCTTGATATTTTCGACACGGTATCAAACAGGTTGGAATGTCACAAAGTGCCACGCCTGCCACGCAAAACGACATGACAACCTGCTTGGACACATTCGAATCGGAGAGGTTTTCCAGCTTCCCCCATAGACACGGCGACGCCACAGGAAAACCAGCGACTCGACACAAGACACGTGGATGCAGAAAAACCAGCATTTCGTACGAGACTTCCTCCAATTTTCACAGTTGGCAACATGACAAAAGGACAAGTTTTGCAGCTTCCCCCATAGACACGGCGAGGCCACAGGAAAACCAGAGACTCGAGACGAGACAGGTGGGAGCACCAAAACGACCATTTCGTGCGAGACTTCCTCCAATTTTCATACTTTGCAGCTCCAAAATCGACGTTTTCCTACGAGTTTTCCTTAGAACCTGAAAATTTGTAACATCAAAATCGATGTTTCGTGCGAGGCTTCCGTCAATTTTCAGCACATGTGAGAAAATGCCACGCCTGCCACGGAATTTGCACCTTGTCACCACTTGACGCAGCCCTGCCAATGCGATTTACAAAAAACACGCAAAAGGACACGTCTAAAGTGCTGCGCCTGCCACGAAAAATGACGATGGACACGTCCAAAGTGCTGCGCCTGCCACGAAAACTGCAACACATCTTCTGAAAACGTCACAAAAGTATTGCGCCTGCCACGCAAAACGACTTTCGACACGTTGCAGAACACGTCTGAATGTCACGAAGTGCCACGCCTGCCACGCGAAACGAAGCAACGAGACGTCTGAAACCTCCAAAAAGGACCACCTCTGTAAAACTTCCCATAGGCACGGCCATACGGTCCTCACGCGAACGGTTGCGAACGGTTGCGAACGGTTGCGGACGGTTGCGACCACAAACGCAACGTCGAGCGAACACACCCTCAGCCCCCAGACCCCCAGAGTGAAACGGGAACCCTTGCTACGCATTCGGGAAAGGACACGTCTAAAGTGCTGCGCCTGCCACGAAAAATGACGATGGACACGCCCAAAGTGCTGCGCCTGCCACGAAAACTGCAACACATCTTCTGAAAACGTCGCAAAAGTATTGCGCCTGCCACGCGAAACGACTTTCGACGCGTTGCAGAACACGTCTGAATGTCACGAAGTGCCACGCCTGCCACGCGAAACGAAGCAACCAGACGTCTGAAACCTCCAAAAAGGACCACCTCTGTAAAACTTCCCATAGGCACGGCCATACGGTCCTCACGCGAACGGTTGCGAACGGTCGCGAACGGTTGCGAACGGTTGCGGACGGTTGCGACCACAAACGCAACGTCGAGCGAACACACCCTCAGCCCCCAGACCCCCAGAGTGAAACGGGAACCCTTGCTACGCATTCGGGAAAAGATAGAAATATTTTAATATTAAGATAGAACCAACATAGAACTAAGATACAAAATGGGAAAATATAAAGATGGGAAAAAGATAGAAAGAAAGATAGATTGGTAGATACAACATTACATGACATGACATGAAATTGCAGGACAGTACGGTACATTACAGTGCATCACAGTACATTAACAGTACTTTACGGTACATTACAGTACATTGGATAGATTAGATAGATTAGGTAGAATAAAAAGAACAGAAAGAATAAATAGGATAGATAGGTAGGTACATACATTGCATTGCATTGCGTTGAGTTGCTTTACGTTCCATTCCATTCCATTGTGGTGCATTGGTTTAAGTTACGTTACATTACAGTAAATTGCATTACACACATACATTACATATGTAGACGCGTAGATATACTGTAAATAAATAAATAATTATATATATATATGATATTATATATGTATCTAGATTGCATGACTGGGATTCGTACATCGACGGGGATCCACATCTCAGATGATCCGTGCAGCAAACAATGCAATGGGGATCTCATACAAGCCGGCCCCTTTCTCAAACTGGGAATATCCCTAAAACATTGTACAACTTTGTACAAAGTTTGTACAACATGGTACAACATTGTACACCTGGGTCACGGCAATGGCTGTGGGCAACTTACACAAAGTTGGCTGCACATCCAAACAGAAGTGGACTGCAAGATTCTTCAATTCACCGCACCAAAAAGTTGCGGCATTTTTGGCAACCGTAAGGATACCCATCATCATCCAAATAGTTGCGTAGAAGTACTCACCTGCAAATTGCAACCTTTTTGGGATAAGGATCACTGGTTTTGTAACCCTCTGAAATACATTGCATCGGACGGGCGAGAAGGCACAACCCACTTATTTTTCAGCATCTATTTCTAGTGGAAACCCTCTGTTTGCTGCATTGTTGGTTAAACCCCCATGTCTTATCCTATGCCGTTGGTTGGGTATATGTTCTTGGTTATCAATCCGCCCAGACCAATTCACCCCATCTGGCCTTACCCAGCATGCTGGTGGGTTCGTCGCAATCATTCACCTGCAGCCCAAGACCCTGCTGCACAAAGAGGCGATTCCCACCCACACCAAGGTTGAATCAAAGTTCCATGAACGATTCTTTTTGTGACTGTGAATGCAATACCACAAATATCGCACGATTTTTGCTGTACTATATGCAAGAAATTATTTGTTCGGTTCATATGCGACAAAACCACCATGTCCCCAGCAAATCCGCTGATCCAACCAGCCGAGAAATCTCAAACAAAAAACAAAGGGGTGTTTCATTTTCTGCAGCCTAAAATTTCTGAGTGAAGTGTTTCGGATTAGTTCTGAACAAACTCCACCACCAAGTTTTACCATCACCAACCACAAAAATGAAAGTTCAAATTCACTGACCCCACGTTCAAATGCAATTGCCAATTCCATTTCATTTTTGTTGCAAAAAACTGCGGATCATCCCACCAGCCTTCCAGGTGAGATCTTCAGGTGCCCACGTGGCAAAACCACCATCTGAGTAGCTGCCCAACACAGCGGGCGGTTCCCGCGACGTCACGCGCAGCATCCGGAGCGGCGTTGTGCTCCGAAGGGCCACTTCAGCGGCTACCAGGAGTTCTATGGCAGCAATGGCCATGGTGACCAAAAATAAATGCGCTTGATGAGTTGATGGATTGATGGTGATGAGGATAATAATGTGGATGTGGATGTTGAAGTTGCTGTTGATTTTGACTTAGTTGATAATCGAGCGCCAACAGAATATGTGAGGATAACCATAGGCTTATAGCTTGGATTGAACGCATAATTTGGTTTTATTGTCGTGGAAAAATTGCCCGCTATTGCGTCACCGGGGGAAATTGTGTTTTAGACATAAACTCACACCACCACTTATCATTTCAAAAAAATGTGTTGGTGCTGCTGTTTGGTAGCCACATTGTTTTGTATTTGCACGTATGTTTGTGTCCTGTCAACTGCTTGATCCACGTCGCAGTGCAGCAAACGGCGCATATATATTCTTTGTTCGACACGGAAAGCCCTGCTGAATATACTCATAGTTTCCATACAACTGAAACGACTCAATTAGATTCCGTATTGTAGAACCCAATAGTATATAGTTGGTCTTGGACCTGTCGCTACATAGGTATTTGAACAGATTTCAATGGGTGATGTGGGGAAACACAAGGTCTCTGCACACCGATGTCGGGGAAACATTATCCTTTGGCATTCGGGAAAATAATCTTATCTTTTTTTGGCAATTAAATTATCAATTGAAGCTGCAACGCCACTTTTGCCCTCAAACCAGCAGAAGGGTCGACAGGCCAGCAGCACAAAAGCCAAGGAAAACGCCGGAAACATCTGCCCACAGTGTCGCCTGACAGAGCGAACTTTGTCTGGCAACAGCTGCGCATTCTGTGGAAACGGTGAAAGCTGGGTCTCGGCGTTGCCGCGCCTCTGGAGCCAGCACGTCCTGCAAGCAGCCCCGCTGTGAATTGCAACATGAAATCTGGGAACGGCCGCTGAACTCCTGGTCAGCTTCCCTTTCCAGGTCTGCCCGCCATGACAAAACATCTTCTGGAAGAGGGCGGCACTCGCTTCGCTTGCGCTCCTCAGTCAGCACCAGAAGAGTTGCATGGCGTGTTTTTGCAAGTGGTACGAGCACGTTTGTTTGTAGGCGTGCGAGGGGGTCCTCCACCGCCATGCAGGCGGCTAACGCCATTGAACGGTGAAAGCCTCACAGGTCAAACAAGTAATTATTTCCAGGCATGGCAGGTGAGGTGCGTCTGGATGTTCTTTTCAAGCGGGGAAAGCCTGCGATGCTGTCTCGTGTGTCAGTCGTGCCAGCCTTGGCCAGGTGAAGTGCATTGGCGGCGAAGAAGACTATGAAATCTATGAACCTAAACCAACATGCAAACAAATGCTCATGGTCCCTCAGGAGCAAGCCGTGCCAGTTGCTAACCTGAGGCTGAAAGAAAGCTTTCGCAACTGGAACCCTGAAATTAAATGCCTAATGCAAGAGGCTGGCAGGAATCATCTGAGCAATGCTACCGGTATGAGGACAAGTCTCGAAGGTATGCCCGCGCAAGTGACAAGTCTGCAACCTGAGTTGTATGAGGCGCTATGTATGCTTCACTCCGGAACTGTTTCTGGGCCCGCTTGTCTGCTTGTCCGTCACTAAAAACTTAATTTGATGTGCCGCTTGAGGACCCGGCCAGCACAGGGGCCATGAGCCAAGAGACTGGGATCGGAATACCTTGCACTGGTAAGAATTAAAGTACCGGATAGCAACCCCACATGTCAACTTCTTCCAATAATTTCAAACAGGTGTGAAAGTGAGATGGGAAAGGCAGGAAAAATAACGGAGATGCTGGAGGACCGGTTGTGTGCAAGAGTTGTACGTGAAAGTGAGGTGTATGAACGTGTTGTATGTGAAAGAGGTGTGTGTGTGTGTGTGCATGTGTGTGCAAGAGTTGTGTGTGCAAGAAAGAGTTGTGTGTGTGAAACAGTTGTGTGTGAAGCAGTTGTATGTCACAGAGTTGTGTGTGAAAGAGCTGCGTGTGTCAGAGTTGTGTTTGGCAACGTTGTGTGAAAGAGTTGTGTGACAATGTTGCGCCAGGAGGACAGGAGGAGGACGTGGCGGCGGCCAGGTACAGAGCGGAAAAACAAGAACCTCACACAATGATGTGGGGAACACAACCAGCATTCAATGTCACCACAGAGAATCACCAAGCCTGTTCCTGGTTTTGAAAGCTGCGCATAAAGGCAACGTCACAAAAATCGGAAGCCGTCTAGAGGAAAGATAGCCACACCTGAACCCACCATGATTTAGCACCAGATGGCACTAGACCCTTAACCCAAGTCCTTTTGGTTCCTCTCCTTTCCTGCTACATCATGTGTCACCCCAGTCACCTGGCCAAATCGCCCAGCGTGGATGCCGCAGGGCGCAGAAGGCGCCCAGTGCCACTAAGCCACCGCTGGTGGAGCTCAAACCTGCAAAGACACCGGAGATAGTGGAGCAAGTACACCACAAACTTGAACAAACTTTATGATTTTGCCCATGATGCATAGCTAGTCAGGCTTGGTAGGCAACAACAGACGCATGTAATCGCACTTTGTGTGTTGTGCATGCCCCCTGCAAGAAGAAGAGTCATACCCTTAATGCCTTCATGTTGCGAGCCCACATAGTAATGATGCACAGTCAGAGCCATTGCCTTGCAAGACCGGAAAAAAATCCTCTGTTCGGAAAGAGATTGGCTGGGAAGAAAAACCAAGTCATTGGGGATCACTCTGCATTTACCTTGCAAATATGAGGCTGTCAAATCACTGCAGCATCAGCGTCCCTTCCAGGCATCTGGCATTGCTCAAGATGGTCGTAGTGCCAACAAGCAGCAGCAGAAACCGTGCACCATACAGCCGTTCCAACCTCGATTACAAGTTGTCGCCACAACGGGAACCCTTCGCTGCACCACACACTCCACCAATAGGACAAAGACTTTGAATCGCATGAGGCCAATGGCAGACCCAACCAATCCTTCCCCGAGAAGTTCATCCACATGGGCCATGCATTCACCACCAGCCTTTTAGCCAAGCAACAAGGTCCCCCCAAACAGCAACAGGGCTGCATCCGACAGGATCCGGGCCGGCTGCTCCCCGGCACGCAGCAAAGAGGCCAGGAAGAGGCGGTGGAACTCATGGACCTGGCGAAGCGCAATGAATTGGCTTTCTTGCCCCTGCAACGTGTTTCCAGTTGATGTACCCTCTGGTAAACTAACATAGCTATGGAAAATCACCATTTTTAATAGGTAAATCAACTATAAATGGGGCATTTTCAATAGCTACCTTAAATTACCAGAGGGTACATGGAACATCATTGAAGCCAATCCGTCCGAGTCAAAGCACGTGACGAAGGCATGTTTGCACTCAGTGAATGTGCCTGCAGTGGCCAGGTGGCTGAGCAAGCAGCTAAACCTCATGGCTGCCAGCACCACCAAAACACACTGGAAGTGATGCTGTCTCGAATTCCAAGGCAGTTTTTCAAATAATATCTATGTAAGATCTATGCAAGGCCTACACTATGTGCACTCGCAAATATGCATGGTCAAAATCACAAACAGGTTTGGGCTCTGCAAGAATGCCCTTCCCATGGTGCTGACATTCAAAGCTGAAATTCTATTGACGCATTGGGCTCATTTATGATAAGCACCACCAATTTTTCGTGGGCCCAGAATCGTGCTATTTCCTTGCCATGGGGCGCTTTGTGAATTGCTCCAACTTTTCTTGCAGCTCCTCGAGGGAATTGGACCTCCGCACCTTCCAGTTTCATGGTGAAGTCTACCGTGCTTCTAATGCTCGTCAAGGAAGGTCACAGCAGCACTACTTCGTATGAAATGAAAACAAATGCGCCGCCAAGCCCAGAAAGAAAGTCAACACAACGCGACTGAAATAGAGCGGTGGCAACACAATTTGGAACTCGCTTTCCTTTCCACAAGCCGCCTAACCACCCACATGAGCAATTTTGTGCACATGACCCATCTTGGCAAACAAATTACTGGTGATAAAACTTTTCTGCATTTGCAAGAAGAGCCCAATCGCTCATCAAACTTCAACGCGTCCTTTCCATTCCTTTCTTAACATGCTGTCCCCGGTCCCCATTGTTGTCCCTGACCTGTTGCCACAAGGCCGCTGCCGCCATAGTAGCAGCACTTGAGGCCAAGAACAGTGATACCGAGGCCCAGGGAGTGCGACGGTCTTCAGGATACGCGAAGAGTTGCAAAGAACTGGCGCTCTGCTGCCAGTCCTGCAAGGCTTTGGCGCAACCCGGGAACCAAAAACGAAAGAAAGGCTAGCACTCGAATGCTACAAGCCTAGACTGAATGACGCAAATGAAGTGTCCGGATGGTGAAAAAAGGCTTGCGACCTGAAATGGATTGCTAGCTTCCTTCTCCAGCAAAACGGTTTTGATACATGAACACACATAAGGAAGCCCGAACACACTTTTGAAACCCAATCCCAGAGAAATCCATTGAACCCAACCGGCCCAATGTCTGGTTCCACCTTTCCAACAGGAGGTTTCTTAGCATGGCCTTAACCGGTGCGTCCTGCCGTTCCCACACAGCACTTTGTCTGTTCAAAGGTTTGGGCACAGCTTTTTGTGGCTCCTGAAGTCACCAAGGGCATCGGCATCAACAGAACTGGCTACTGAGAACCATGTCCATTAAGCAGTGGACTAAAGTACAAATCTTGTTGCTGCGGCCATTTCGGTGGTACAAGGATTGTTGAAGGTGTACCCCAATGTTCATTATGAAACCATGATACATCTCCAATAGCTGGGCATAATCATTGTTTCCCAGCCTCAAATTTTCACTCAACTTGAAGGGCTGGAGGCCTGAGCAATTTGAACCCTGGAACCTTGCAACGATGATACCTAGTGGAAGAGGTTGGATTAGGCTCCTACCCTGCTGTATCAGTGCTGAATTGGAAATTGAAGCATAGAGAGCGGGCTGGGCTGCGCACGCTTTGCTAGAGTCGGATTGGACTTGGAACCCTGCTGCTTTCACTTGAAAACATTGGAAGCTTGATGAACCCTTGGAACGCGCGAACCTCTCTTAGCCAAGGCTCATAGGCATTCTGCTGTTGGGAAAAACGATAATAGCATCAACAATAATATTATATACATAAAAAGCCAAAGGGTAGTTCATGTCAGAGCATGCTTGGCACTATGACCTATTCCCATGACTACCCGTGCCAAAAAAGCTTTGCTAAACAGCTATCCCAGCAGTCATCACCAATCGTATCGTCACCTCCGTTGAGACCAGCACCTACCAAGTCATCTACTGTCCAGCACAATTTCCACGCTCCTCCGCAGGTCTCGGACGGCCGCGCCGGGCTTCAAGCTCCTGAAGTGGTTGTTCCCAGGAGAAGCAAATACAATTCAGCTACTCAATTTTTCAGTCTCAACTACAATCTGCAGCCACTGCCCAGCTGCGAAATGGTCACATGAGGTGACGGCTGGCTAACGTTGTGTGTTATGATTTTCTCTCAGAGCGCGGCGTTTGCAGCACATCAACTGATTTCAGGTTTGAAAGTTCCGAACGGGAACTCTTGTTCATGGACATCTCCTTGACCTTTTCCATCCCTCCAAACCAGCAAGCCCAGCATGGTCTCCTTATTCCACCATTCATCGGTAGATGCGCCTCTGAAAATTGTGTCCACAGCGGCCCAAACCGTGTTATCCAGCTGATAGCTGGATAAGATATTGTTCTGGATTCATTCCACAACATGTTGGGACTGCCACAGTTGGAAGAACCAATCCTTGTGCACACTGCCACTTCCGAGCCATCTTTCCCCTTGCCTCTCCGCGCGAGCTGCCAGCATCGAGCTCTGGAGCACCTCAATGAACCCATGCAGTGCCGTGGGGCAAATATTGCAGTTGTGGGTTACTCCTAAACAAACCAAGGCCTTTTTCGACTTGGAGAAGCTGAATTCAAAAATGTTTTGTAGATATCTTTGTGGTGAGAAGCGACAGCGACATTGTGACATGTGCTGAGTCACCGGTCATGTTGGTCATCCCCAAAAAATGACAAGCAAACATGCAACCAAATGACAGCCTTCCTTGCCGCAGCAGCATCATAGCATCTTGGATTGGGCCCCTTCTGGATTGATGCCGTTGGTTCCCCTCTGATTGGTTCTGTGATGTGGTGGAATCATGGTTGGCTTCGTTGGGGCCTGTTGCTTACGTCTTTCACTGTCTGGACATACCGGCAAACCCCAAAGATTCAGCTCAATACACAAGTGAGACACTGAATTGGTAGATCCATTCAGATTCAGTGACAACGATTGTTAGAAGTTTTTCGCTTGCCTTTTCTTGCTTCTAAATTGGCATGTTTTACTTCTTGTCGAGCAGCTGCACCTTCTCAATAAAGTTTTGTGAGAGGGGAGGGACAACGCAGTCATTCCCGTTCAAAAAGCTTGACACCAAGGCTATTCCGACGGTCGTGAGACAAAACCAGGATTGGCAGTACTGAATCATGGTCTCTTTGGCTGCAGCTTCGGCCGCGCTTTTTGAAGCTATGCCAAATGAACGGCGATCACGATATGGCTCCAATACTCATCCATCGTTGATGAGGCCATCGCAGTGTCCCTCGGTAGAGGGGATATAATTCCTTGGAAGGGCTAGCTTTGATAAAATTCTCAAATAAGACTCTTGCTTCAGCAAGTACAAGTAGAGGTGATTGTACTCCAACCGTTTCAGTCTCTGTGTTGAATCTTGGTTTGAAACCACCAACCAATATGATATTTGTTGTAATATTTGTTGTATATCTATATATATATATAATATATAACCATAACATCCCATTGACCACAATTGAATCACTATAGATCCATAGTAGCCCATTTACCCAGTCATTAAAATCCGTTAAGGCGCACTATTTCGACCTATCCTCACCTCGCCATTAGAGGTCACCGTCACCACTGAGACCGCGGCTCGCTGGCACCGCTGGAGCAGTAGACAATACTTCCAACCTGAGATCTTTCAGATGACGCGAAGCCATCAGTTTCCCTAGAACAAAAAAGAATAATGTTCCCTTTATTGTTGGAGTAAAGAATCAGTAAAGAACCTCCACATTTGCCATCGTCCTTTTTGAATGGAATAGATCACAATAGATCCCAAACCATCTTCAGACAAGTAGCTCTGGAAGCTTTCTCTAAGGCACCTGGTGGCGTTTTCTATGAAAATCCTTGATGATCTACTTTTTTGCAGAGTTCCAGTGTTCCATTTCCAAATGGGATTGGCTGAAGCTGCGAAAAGATGCCCGGCTGCACCTTGCACCAGGCACAATGCCCAGTACTCCGTGGTCAATGGCAACAGAAAGGACACCACCAAATAGCCTTGGCTGCGCCCAACTTTTTGATGTTGAAATACAAGGCACCAGCTTCAAAGATCCAACATCCCGAAAACCGCAAAAAAAAACAGAGATACCACGACTCTGCCGTTCAGAAATCTCTCCTGACCTTGATCCTAGTGACTTTCAAGGATACAAAGCACTTGGGAGTTCCAACATCAATGGAAAGATTATAGCATAAGGGGTTGAAGGATCAAGGAGCCGTTGCGCGAAGTCACCATGGCCTTGGACAGTCTCTGTCAGTATCATTGTCAGTCGGAAAACTCATTCCTCACCAAAAATCACCACTAGCATACTGCAACATGCTGCCAGGGCTCTCCTAGCGTGATGGCTCTTTCATAGCCCTTCAAACTCGGCTTGTACCAACCTTGCAGCTCATATTGCAGGGATACAAGGAGCTATTGCTAATAGCAATGCCAAAACAGGTTCGAAGTCCAGGAACCGCATGAATGCTACGATTTGAAACCCGGGAAAAGCACACCACTTTCATTCTGAATCCCAAAAATGGGTCTCACCAAACCACTTCATCCGCCCTTGTGACATACAAAATTCATCCCAGCAACGTCCGAATTGACCCCGCTGGTGCTTCAAGTACCGTTCGAAGCCTTAGAATCTTAGAAGCGCTTCAGGCAGCAAATTCCACAGTTAGATGTGTACTATGATGCTTTGTGGTGTGAAAATGCAAGACACATTCAGTCTACCCAGTGAGAAACACCTCCACCTTACAGTATCTTAACGAAGGAAAAACCTCTGACCTTGCGCGCCAAAACCCCAGAAATTGAACTAGAACATGGATATCTATTGATGACTGGCGATGCAGGACACATGTGCCACATTGATCAAGCACTGCTTGAATAGGAAAAAGTGAATCTGAAACTTGCAACCCTGACAAGGGCCCTGGCGGATGCGGACGTTCAACGATACGCAGTTGAAGCGGATGCCACTTTCAGCCTCAAACTGAAAGGCTGTTTCTTCTAGAAGGCAAGTTAATTCCTTTAAACTTGAAAAATCACAGGTAGCTTTGAAGGGCTAGCGGCTAGCAAGTTGACCAAAATCTCATGTATCCGAACCAAAAGTGAAAAATCTACAGCTGTGCTTCAACATCGTTGGCTCTTGGATCGCGGGGCATCAAGTAAGAAAGGCAACTTTGCCGGCTTCACATCTAAAGTTAAACACCCAAGACCAAAGCAATCCGTGCAGACTTAGACTTTCAATTTCTTGAATCTTCCTTCCTTTGAAATCGACAAGGCAACATGGCTAATCTTTTTTACTATTCTCAAAAACATGTCCTATATCTCATTTCCTTCATCCAAGATGGCCAACAACGTAACCTGCGAAACCCTCACCAGAAAGAACTTACGGTTTTCTCATGATTTGAAAGCTGTATCAGTTGGTGGTGTCATCATGAATTCATACATCCAAGAATCATCCATGAACCAACATCGAAATGAATCATCCATGGTTCAGTTCGCTTATCCCGAAGACAACAGAAATGATGTGAACGAATCCTCATTTCCAATTATTTCTGGATCCTTTTCCCATGCTTTTCCCATGCTTTTCCCATTTGAATGTCGTTCAAAAAATGGCCCAACGAAATCACCAGCCGCGTCGCCATGTTCCGCAGCTCACTGTGCAGGTCGCCCCGGTGCAACACCGTGACTTTCTCCTCGAGACCTGGTAAAAGGTGGGAAATGACTAGGGGTTTTCTGATTTGGGTGGGATAGACACCTTCAATTCGACAGTTTAAACTGTTCTGATATATTATGATATATATATATGTATATTATATATATATATATATTGGACATTATTAAATTATTGGACGATTTTGGAACATATCTAATATATCAGTATATTGGCAAATAGTATTTATCAGTATCTATAATGAATCAGAAGATTTTGGTATATTGGTATCTATATATTGTTAATATCAATATATTGGCAACCTGGACTGGTATTCAAGTTTGCACCTTCACCAAATTGCGGTTCACACGGGAACCTCGTGCTACAGGCCTCCTGGATGGTGACATATACTTTTCTATGCTGGTGGTGGCAGTTGAAATACGAAAGACAATAATCATCACCAACCAGGATAGGGAGTTGAACCAACAAAGATGTGGATATCTCAAAAATTGGCGGAAAGAATCACAATCTTTTTCGATAGCCCCCGTAAGGTTAAATTAAAATGCTCGCTATGATTGGGGAAGAAATGGGAAAAATACCGGGTTCGTTGCAGAAAATCTATGAACATTTTCTCCGCGCGTGGATTGAATGCAGTATCTACACTGACTGAGCAGTTAGTTGCATCTGTGACTCTGTGTGAGCTCATTTCCTATGTCGGCTCAGCACTTTTACGACTTAATGTGAGTAAAAACAATGTCACAAACCACCCACGACTGGGAATAGTAAGTTTATACCACCTATAAACATGATCATGACTGACAAAAACCGTGTGTTTATGGCATATTTTTTACCATTTTACCATATTTTACCTAGAAAAAACCATGAATTTCCAGCCAAGTGACCATTCAACGCTGCATTCTCCCGGCACAACTTGGCCAAGCCCAAGGAGTCCTCCAGCAGCACCACCTCCTGGGCGCTAGCTGCGGCGCAACGGAGGCCCCACTGGCCACACTGGGCCCAGGCGTCCAAGACGGTGCCGGCGCCAAAGGCTTGGGCCAACGGGGCGCGTAGCGCCTCCAGGCTGTAGTTCCAATGTCCTGCGTCTTAGGATGGAAATGATGGGAAAGAATGATACAAGGTGGTGCCCCCCAGTTATAAGTTGGTTTATAATCCCATTAACTATAGATATATCTACCATAAGTCCTAGTTGTTTGATATGATTTACCCTCTGGTTATTTAACATAGCCATGGAAAGATCCACCATTTTTAAGAACGGTAAACCATCTATTTCTATCGGCCATTTTCCATGGCTATGTTAAATAACCAGAGGGTATTTTCGAATAATAAATCCACTAAGTAAAAAATAGAGTGGTCCAAAACCGCAGCTGAATGATTGGGGTGAACCAAGCACCATGAAATATTAGATCTGGAACAATTGGGGGCTTGTGAAATCGACAGTCATGGCGGCAATAACATACACGAGTTCAATGATCAAAACCAATTCCAGCAAGCTGAGTAATAGTTGGTATACGTTGGTATAGCCAGATGTTAACCCCCCAAAATGATGAAAATCACCACGACCAATTCCCGGTCCTGGCACTAAACCCTGCAGCACATCCACATCAAAGGAGGCCAAAGGTTCCACCACGCGGACCTGTGCCGTGGGGTGTGCCGTCAAAATTCACAAAGATCCAGCTGTCATGACATTGTTGGAACAGATCTATCTCAAGGTGGTGATAACCCAGGAAATGGATGGAAATTGCATCTTCTCTTATCAAACTGTCGTAGACATGTCACCCACCACTTTCCAAGTCGGCATCCACCAGGACACACCTTGGATGCATCGCCACGAGTGATGCTGGTGGTGAACTCAGAGCCCTCCTGGGCCCATTTTTCCTTCTTGGCGGTCATCCGATGCACTGTCCTCGGTGCCATGCATGGATGGGGCGCTTGGAGCTCTTTAGCCGTTCTTGGTTTGGACACCTTCCAAAAGCCCGAGCAAAACCCAAGTTCTTTGAGTCACAGCCGATTATAGAATCCCAAGACCGCATTCTTGGATGATGATCCCTGTTAGAAATGGTTCGCAACCGTGATTAGCAGGTCCCTCAATTCGGGGCCCTTCCTTAGAACCTTGTTACAAGCATGTAGATAAGGTGGCCAAACCTCTTTTACCCACGCTTGTTGCTTGAACCTCAATCTTCATTGCTGGTTACAGTAACCTCTGGTAATTTAACATAGCTATTGAAAATGGTCATTTATAGTGAGTTTTCCCATTAAAAATGGTGATTTCCAATAGTTACGTTAGTTTACCAGAGGGTAACCTCGATGGTGGTTTTCAACCACTGATTCTATCCCAGTCATCCCAGTCCCAGTAGCAGCTGCTTCAACTTGCCGATCCAACGTGTCAGTTCCTCCTGAACGCCACTGTGGGAATGGGCTAGGATACATCACATTGGAAAAAGATACAACATCTGAAAGGGAAGCGAACTCATTTATCCAAATTTCTCCACAGTTATGGCCATGACTATCAGTTATAACCTATGGGATTATACATTCTATAAATGGGGTTAGTTCAGTACTTATAACTGGTAAAGGGCCATATTTCTCCATCTATATATATGTTCATTGCTGTGCAAGGGACAGGAAGGTTTGTTTGACACATTTGCAATGCATTGCGAGGAACAGCCACTGATGGATTGATGAAGTAACAAACCCAAAACGCAATGTCAAAGGTCCTCAACATGATGGAAGACTTTTGGAAGAGCCTCCCGTTCCATGGCTTGGTAAAAACCAATGTTTTACGTTTTGCTTCAAACATGTTCCAAGACATTAGTTGGTTTCAACATGCTTCAATCATTTAATCGTGAATTTCGCACTTCTTCTCCCCCAGTTCCCCAGTTCTCTGCCGTCCTGCACCAAGAGTTCCAACTTCACTGAACCAACGACTTCGAAGGTCACCACGGCACTGGATCCGAAACGGTCCACCAGGACACCTGGGCCATGGATGGCCATGGAACATCCGACCCCAAAGATCCAGCATCCAGTCACCATGTTGATTTTTTCCCCCCTTCCCCCCCAAAAAAAAACGACATTTTTATCATCATTATTTTCCCACCAAAAAAAAAGAGCCTATTTTGGTGATTCCGAAACAACAACCGATTGGGGAGAACCGGGAGCCCACCTGGCAAGCCATCTTGATCTCCATTGAAGGCCCGGCAATAGGCAGCGCCTTCGCCGTGTCGCCGCTGGCGCTGGGCGAAGGCAGACTTCAACCGCGCAGACAGCAGCTCCTGGCAGTTGGTTGTCAGTTGTTGTAGCTACGATTTGCCGGTTGAAATATCAATCATATCCACATTGATACCCTCTGGTAAACTAGCATAACTATGGAAAATCACAATTTTTAATGGGAGAACTCACTATAAATGGCCATGTTCAATCGTTATGTTAAATTATCAGAGGGTATCCACATTGATATCCACATATCATATATACTGATATCCATACTGATGTCCATTGTTGATGTCCCTACTTGAGAACCAATGACCAGGTATCTGATTTGAATTACTAATTGGTATCAATAAATATTGGTGAAGTACTCATCTTCTCCACATCTTTGGACTGTCCTGCGTGACCTCTGTACCACTGGCTACACCCTCCATACGACGCAGCACGATGGAAGCTTGCCTGATGCCATTGCTTTGGGACAAACATGGGATAGTTTCGTTGGATTTTACACAGACATGGATACACAAACGATAAACGATGATTGATGGTTGATTCATAGGGGTGGACTTCGACTAAGTGGATAGCGAGATTGTTACGGGGGTTATATCCCAACTTTTTGGTGGTTATTTCACCATGGTTCTACCCCTTCATAACCCCAACTGCAGCGTCCACGGAAAGCCGGAAAATCATCATCTAAACCAATCTTGTTGAACGATTCATAGAAGTTTAAAGGCCTTAAATGGGGAAACCATGTTCGAAAAAGACCCATGCGTTGCCGGTCAGGTTTCTAGAGAGTTGCGGATCCCCGTCATGTACCATGTGAATTCCTTCGCAAAAGTGCATGTTTTCGCGCAATATCCATGCCAACCAGATCTGAAAATACCTTCCATTTCCAGATCAGAACCAAAGACACCAGCACCAAAGTTGAAGAAAAAGAACATGCAGCCGGAACAAAGCAGCATCAAAGTACACAACTTAAGTTGGGCTATCTATATTTCCAGCCAGCTTCCTTAAACCTGGCTATTTTTTCTAAGAACACGTAGTTTCAGTTTCTTCCCAGCCTGTTGAGGATGCCAACTCCCATGGGGCGACCATTGTGGCCTGAAATGTCTACCTCGGCGAAACCAGAGGTTTTGGTGACTCTGAACTACCCTCCGGTAAATTGAGCAGTGTTCAAAACCCCTCTGTTATTCCATTTAATCCTGGTAGGTTAAGAACGGGATTCCCCGTTCTTGGATTATGAAATAATCCCCAAGATATTGGGTAGTATAATCTCCTATGATCATCAAGCAACAGGCGTTTTGAACACTGCTCAATTCATGTAGACCCTGAACATGGCCAATTTTTGGGTGGACACTGGACACTAGTCGTCCACCCGCCAATTAAGGCAGGTTTGATGTAAGTTGGGGGGATGGTAGTCAATACCACCAACCACCAAGCAGTATGATGTCAATCCCCATCTTGAAGAGCTCCCTCCTCTGACTACATCCCATATCTCATCCCGGCCAAAAAACACGAGTTCACCCCATGGACCAAGTCTACTCTGAACTAACTGGGCTTATCACAAGCCACCAACTGAGATGAACCATCAAGTAACACTATTAACCAGTATTAACCACTGTTTAACCTATTTAACCACTAATTAACCACTATTTAGCCACTATTTAGCCAACATTTAACCACTATTTAGCCACTATTTAGCCAACATTTAACCACTATTTAGCCACTATTTAGCCAACATTTAACCACTATTTAGCCACTATTTAGCCAACATTTAACCACTATTAAACCAATGATTCACCATTTATTGAAGCTGTTGAAGCCATGGTACCAGCGTCCCGGCGGCCACACCATTCAGCTGGGAGATGTTCTGCACTTCGTCGTCGTAGATCCAGGGGTGGCCCATGTCCAACAGCAACTGCCGGGGAAGCTCCTGGCGCCGGTGCTGTTGATCCTGGGCCGCAGATTCATCAGTACTGTGGTTACCCTCTGGTAATTTAACATAGCTATTGAAAATGACCATTTATAGTGGATTTTCCCATTAAACATGGTGATTTTCCATAGTTATGTTTGTTTACCAGAGGGTAAAACAATGCCATAAACATAAACCATCCCCCAGTCATCACCATTTTTATAGGTGGTATATCCGCCTGTGAGAGGCTGCCTGTGATGTTCGTAGAAACTTGCTGTAGGACTTTTTGTTTGAAAACCAATATAACCAATGGCGTCATCCCGACCATGTGGCCACGTCGCCATTGTCTGCTCTTCATGGTTAAATTGAGTTCCCCCAAAGTTGGATGCTTCCCAAAATGCCCCCAGCATCTGTGCATTTGAGGTCAGTAAACGGACCCATAAGCCCATCACCGGTGATATTCCATATCAGGGTCTCCGGAGTTTCCGGCTTTTGATTCACGGCTGCTGAAAAATAACCATTTTCCATAACGGTTAAATCTCATCTATGTGATACCCTCCGGAAACTTAACGAAGCTATGGAAAATGGTCCGTTCATAGATGATTTACATGGATTACATAACAAAAATGGTGATTCTGCATAGATATGTTAAATTGCGGGAAGTTATTTCCGAACAACAAATGATTTGCCGACCTTGTTTTGCCTTCAAATCCCTGGTTGGTAGTCCTCTTTCAGCTGTGCAACCGGCCGCGGAGCAGCACCTGAGCCACGTGGTTCGCCACGTGGAGACAATCAGATACTTGGGGCAAGAAACACGTGGATCATGGCCAAGATTTATTGAGTATAGCCACGCATCTGTATATTCACGAATCTATGCGTATGTATGCATGCATGCATGCATGTATGTATCTATCTATCCATCCATCCATCCATGCATCCATGTCATCCATGTATGTGTGATTATGTGTGTGCATGGGCAAAAAACATCTATATTCACGTGGGTCATGGAAATATTCATAGATAGGTATCTAGACACACGTATTGCAAAGGTAACCAATGGCCTAATAGGAGCTAATTGCCTACTGGCAATTTATGCGTATTTGTCATACAAAAAATGATGTAGACAACCTTGGTTTAATTAGTTTAATTTGATTTTTGATCCAAGAGGCTGCCCAATCAACTTCAATCAACTGGTTCAACCCTCATAGTACCCAAAGCCACCATCACCACTACCACCACCACCATCATCACCTTCAGTTTATCTCCGCACATAGCTTTGTTTGATATACAGACTGGTGCTTCATTTTTTTTGACTGCAAAAACGACAGACTTCACCGATTGCAGCGCCAAGTGTCGTGTTACCATATTGCGTAGCCATTTCCTGCATATGATCCAGCACGGCTCGATGTAGCATATAGCGCTATTCCATCCCACAAAGCCATATTTATCATATTTCACCAGCGAGCTTTTCTAGCATCAAGTACCCATGTCATCCCATGTCCCACGGCGAAAACACCATCCTTGTGACGCTGTCCCATGGTTTCAGCCGGCAGCACATGACTCCATGGCCCACGGTGAGTGTTCAGCGAGTGACGAAATCGTGCTGAGATCACCCGCCATGATCTGCTGTGGAATTATGCAGTGATGGCCCGAGTTATACCAGTTATATGTACTGAAATAAGCTCATTTATGGAATGTATAATCCCAGTGAAATAACCAGTTTTAACCGTTATAACCTGCATTGTTTGATAAGTTATATTTGATAAATGACCATAACTATGGGTCTGTTGACTCGTGATTCGCGATGAGGCAACCCTCAGCTTCATAGGTTTGCAACTGGGTGTAACTGGAGGAGACTTCAGCGTCGGTCAATCTCTATTCGATTTGGTGCAATTCATGCCGGGCTCCTAGACTTCAGCATTCCAAACATATGTCGTTAGCCATCAGCATCGGAAAGTTTTGGAGCAATTTTGAACGAACCCGTCCACCCTTCATTTATCTTCAATTGGTCTGTTGTTAGGTGTGGTCCTTGAATATTCTGCTTATACGTCTCATGCTGGTCGTCGATTTCCGATCTACGTCGAGTCAGCGGCCTTATCTTTGAAGGCGCCTGGGGGGCAAAGTGAGGCGGTGTAAATTTCCAGCAAGCCACGACTACCGGAGGATAAGTCCAATCAAACACCATTTTTGTTGGTGAAATCCCATTCAATCACCATCTTTGACAGGTAAATCCCAATAAAATCCAATAAAGCCATTGTTTACCCATATTTTTTGGGGCCCAAAAAAGCGGGTCGTTGAGGTGACACCCTTTTTCTACTGGCCCAAATGAGGTCCTGACGGTCGTCAGCCTGCTTTGCTGCCAGCTAAGATGGCAGAATCAGAGTATGGTCAGCCGCAATGATTGCGCCACTAGAAAATTAGAACTGTAGGAGGATTTTAATGGTGATGTAACGGGATTCAATGGGATCTAGTTGGATAGGTCGGTGAACATAACTCCAATAACTATGGTTTATGGCAATTAAAACTACATACTGTATAGTTAATGGGGTTATCAACCAACTTATAACTGGGGGCCTCACATTAATTATGATGATTTTGACATTTTCGATACTGGTGGTTTAACGTTCTTCAAATGCATGGAATAATTGGTTTCAAAAGGAACACCATGTTCTGGAGAGGCAACGGCAAGTATAGTTATCCCCTTTTTTGAATGGTTTCAATAGCGCCATGAGAGCAAATACCAACCTGTCAAGAATCGACCAACCAATGATGACCACATCAGATTCAACCACATGATGAGATTTCCGGTATCTCATCAGCTCTGTTCGAACATTTCGCATGAATTCTCTTCATCATTAGCTGCTCAGAGTTGAGTGATTGGAGTGAAGGTGATGTCAGTCACAATCGGCAGGTGATCTGACACACTGCCTCGGGCGCAAGGTCCGGTTGACATCAGCCCATTAAGGACCAAAAGGTCACAGGGTTGACTTCCACTGTCTAGTTCTGGATGGGGAGGTGTGGGATATCTTTCCATTGTACCATAAAGTGTCTAAGTTTGCAACCAGGGTAAATAGGAAAAATGATTGCTGATGTTCGTCAAAGAAAACATCGTCAGAATTCTCAGCCGTTTCAAAAGAAAAGATGGTCGCGGGATGAACTTGAAAATGAACATGAAATTTGAAACAGCGTTTAAAACAACTTTCCAAATCTGTCTAATTGTATGTTACTTTTGGTTTAACCCGAACGTCTTGCTACATCTTGCCACCTCTTGCTGGCTTCCACTGATCGTGACAAAATCTGTAACTCTGGGATGCTGCCCTTGGCGTCGACATCTGACACAATTTTGAGCTGGTACGTTCTATTAAGTTTGTATCCCTATTTTACCCCCATCGTATCCCCATATCTTCATTATCATTTTCCAAGGCCGATTCTTTTAGATGACTAATGGGGATCATGGAGATTTTTCACCAAAAAACAATGCTTCCCATTAAACCAGGAAGTTTCTCATGCCCCATAATAACCCATCAGCAATGGTATTTTGTTCATGGCCCGCATGTTTATCACATATCCATCATAGATGGTTTTATCCCATTAAATTCCATAAATGGGTGATATTCGATTCCATTCATTGATCAACCAATCAAAGAAACCACCATTGTTGCTGATATTTCCCATTCAAACCACCATTTATCATATTTATCCCAGTATAACAACAGGTTTAACCACAATTCACCACATATTTCCCATTAAAACCACCATTTATCCCAGGATAACCACAGGTTTAACCACAATTCATGTTTTTTTTTCCCACCAAACCCAACTTTCCATCTCCTCGGCTCAAGTGGCTATTGACAATGTACACGCCATCGACACCCACGCGCCGCTTGGCGCTGGAGCGAACGTAGGGATAATCCACCGTGGTGCCCGTCCAATGCGTAAAGGGCGGCGCCTGGAGATGGTCTGAGAAATGCTGGCCACTTGAGGGTGCAAACAAATGTTTCACACACACATATATATATATATATATACCATAGGATCCATGGTGCTGGTATATATATGCTAAAATTGGGGGTATATTGATGGTAAATGCTACCATATATACCAAACATGGAGCATATGGGTATATGTTATTATATCATATATGTATGTGTGTATACACACATGATAGACACACTATTCAGACATGCCTACAGATGTACATGACATGATTTTTGCACACATGCCGCCGTCTTAAGGTGCTCCCTGGTGGATCTACTGGGACATCCGCTGATCTGCTGACCAGGCCTTGCTAACGGGCCAATTCCGTTTCTTCGCCATGTCATAGGCACCTGAGGACCCGGTCTGTTGAACCAGCAATCTGTTAAATTTATAATGTGTAATACACAAATAGAATATGCTGAAACAATTACTATGCAGATAGAATATTATATTATATATATATGCTACATACTATACATGTTTTTTCCCAAATGTACCATTAGTATCCATTAGTGACAAACTCACTGCAGTCTCATCCTAGACTTTTCGCAAGCAAACTCTGCCAAAGTGGAACAGCCATGGTCAGGGACCGTTGTGGACTGCAGTGAGCTGCACGACTCCATGGAGGCTTTGACGGGAAAACGATCTATGAATGGGGGGTTTTCAATTGCCATGCCCCGAGGGTAATCCCAAATAGGGGACCAAATATCCTTGAAACCACCTGTCAGTTCACCACTCAACTTTGCAATTCAAATCTTCAAAATCATCCCCAAATGGTGGGACGATGTCAATTCTGCAGTTGACATCCAGAAATTCTTGGACTGGATTGAAGCCAGCAGCGGTCACCATGGCATTCAATGATCGTCATTACCCTTCGATGGCTCTGCACCCTGGAGGTCCGCCACCGCGCAGCTCCTCCCAAAACTGGTCACACAACCATCTGGAGCCATACAGCCATTGCAGATTCCATAAAAGTGAAATATTGGGTGGAGAAGAAGTAGGAGAAGAAGTAGGAGTAGAAGTAGGAGGAGTAGAAGTAGTAGCAGTAGTAGCAGCAGGAGCAGCAGTGACGACGTTGTCACAATGGTCATGCAACAAAAGACCATTGTTTTCCTGCCTTTATCGCAGCTTTATCCTTTGATGTGCGAAGAACCACAATGACCCTCTCTGTTTCATGAGTATCCACATGTATGCATTAAATATTTTTGAGGAAAATCAGCATTGTCATGCCCTGCAACGATTGGTTCTTACTAGTGATCAGTTAAAAGTGGACTAGGCAAACTCCCTCCCCCCTTCCTTCGGGTACACATGTGCAACACCCAGCTTTTCGAGGCAAACCCAAACGCAAGAGGATTTTCTTTTGCTAGATTTTCCAACAAACTAAGTAGGATTCCCCAGGGGTACAGTTGAGTCATTAAAAAAACTATCATTAATAATCGTAATAAAACAAAGAATAACATTAATGATAACCATAATAATAATAAAGATAACTTATATTAATAATGGTGACAATAATGATGATAATAATAGTGACAAAACAAGTAATAAATCCCCACTTCATCAGGTAGTTTCTAACCTCCATTTTTTCAATCACCCATCCACCAAGCTTTGCTGCCACCGGCGCATCTGAAGCCTGCTTCTTCGAAGAGCTCCGCCACACCATCATCTTCGGGCTCGCCCACGGAGAACACACCTGGGCCCCCAAAATGGCTGTATGGCTCCAGGTGGAGAGGGATTAGTCTATTTTAGAAGGACCATTGGTTGAAAATAGACCTATCCATTAATTAGACTATCATTAATCCATGTTAGTCTAAAAAAATTGGGGAGAATGATGATCTACCAATGGATAGTCATGGATAGTCTATTTTCAACCCAGATCTTGGAGCATGAAGAGCTATCAGAATCACTTTTGGATGTCTATCCTACAGATGATAAGCACGACCTGATGACAAGGTCTGCACCTTGATGATCAAAGATGCTGTCCACAGGATAAGATTCTGCCAAAGCAGACCACTGAACCAACATATTACACACACATAGACTTGTGCCACAATGAAATTCCAAACTGGCCTGAATTTCAAGGTTGTTGGTAATCTCTATCGTACTTCTTTCCAAAACCGATGTGGGTTGTTGCGTGCTTTCTTTCCCCATTTTTGTTTGGACCCACCCATCTTCCAACGTCTCAGCCCCACCCAACCGGCGTTCGGACCTTTGGCAATCACCGCCCACTCCTCCGGGTCGTAGTCTTGACGTCTGGCCTGGTGTCATGTTCCGCGGTTTCGGATGGGCCCCGGGTCGATTGAAAATTGAAAAGGCGGGGTAAAACGATATCAATCCGGTACAATCCAAGGGATCTAACGACAGCAGATTTATTGTTGGAAGAATTACACTGTCGTGCCATGGTAGCTTTCAAAAAGGCTGTTGGCTAAAGAACGGAACATGAGTCAGCAATGAAGCAAGGAGGCAACAAAGAATGTTTTTTTTTGAGAAAGGGTGGTCTTTATACATGGAGCGAAGCTTTTCAATAAACACAAGGGGGGCTTGAACAAAGGTAAAGCAAACATGAGTGGTATATCCCTCATGTGTGCTGCTTAACCAACATGACAAGCGGGGGAGAAATTTTGCTTTAAACACTGGCTACCTAGCTCAAACTTGGCCGGGATAACACCAGCTACCTGAAGGGACTAGGAACAACATGTATGTCAATCAGTATATCCAGCCATCGCAAACTGACTAGCATCAAACGAAGATGGGACAAACAAATCAACAATGGACGGGAACATGACCATCGCCAATGGGCGAATTCGATCCAACGGCAGCGATGCCTGGTTGAAATCCGTAGCCACCAAGACGGGACCGACCGATGCCTCTGCCACATGTTGCCTTGGTCTTCGTCGCGGTGTTATGTCCTTGTATCCATGAAGGATATGATGGTGATATCATGGGAATATGATGGGGATATAATGCGCAATGCAGATGGTTGAAAGCCGTATCCCGTATCCAGACTTTGTTGATAACATACACACGCACACAAAACAAAAATGCTGAAGCCTTTGTTCAATCCTGCTACACTGTTGGTCAGTTCTTCCCGTTGATGATTTTTTGCACACCTCGATCGTTTTGGCGTCTCTGGGTATGGGTCAAACTTGATGCCACTAAACATGGAACCTGTATTAAACAAAGTTCCGCGACTGCAGTTTTGGTTCTATATAGGACCCATCTCATTCATCTCATATTGTTGCTTAATGGCTTCCCAGTATATCCTTCTTTGAATTCATGATTATTAATAAACTGGGTGGGAGCAACCCTGATATATTGTTGCTTATTCCATTAAGTAAGTATTCCGTTACATTCGATTTTTTCTAACATATTTCGTTGGTTCAATTTCCCTATTATCCTCTGGATATTTAACATAGCTCTGGAAAATGCCCCATTGATGATGATGTACGGACTGTTTCAATCCTGTTAGTCCAGTCTCTTCAACTGTTAAAACTACCGCAGGGTATATTAATATCATTTACTTAACATTCCTATCCGTATCAATATCAATCTTCCGTGTTTTCGACCACGCACAGGCCTTTAAACAAAAACCTGCACCTGACCTTCAAACCACGACGCAGCCCAGGTGCAACAGGACTTTGGCCTCGGCTTGCCGTACGCCTTGCTTCGACTCGGCTCCAAGGGTGAAGTTCTGCGCGGTGAAAGGGAGATGTGAACGGGGGACTTTTTGGAGATTCCTGGTGGTTTTAAAAGAGATTTTTTGGCTTTTCTGGGGGATTTTATGGGAGATTCTAGTGGACTGCTCAGGTTTGAAGCGGAAAAATGAGCCGTTTTTAAAAAAGTTTGGTTTCTCCTCCGGCCATTTGGAGGGGAAATTGAATAGCTAGAAAACCATGATTCCATGAGATTGAGATTTTTCAATTGGGTACAAATGACATGGGATGTCAGGAACTTCGTGGTGGGCTTCAAATCAGGTTCGGGATTCTCATCCTTCTCCTTGTCAAATTTGGCAGTTTCTGATATATCAAAAGCCTCCAAGATAGCTTCGCTTGGGGTGCAGTTTGGATGCCTCTATCGAGGCAATTTGTGATGAACGACTTCTATAGCGATTAATGATTATATAACTATTTCTTATAGTCATTATATAATCACCATTATAATCATCATTAATCACCATTAATCATCATTAACCACCATGAATCACCATTAATCACATTGGGGTTCCAATCTTACCGGCTTCGAATCCTTCTGAACACCAAGCCGTAGCCACCTCGCGCCCCCTTGCCTGATGATGAAAATGTGTGGCATAAACGGAGATAACCTGAATCAGCGGCACCGTGGCAATGAAGCCTGTGACCCTAGAGAACGCGGTGAATTTGCATGTGATAGTGATATTCTTGTCACATTGCTTTCTGACCTGCAGACATTCTGAGTCCAAGCTAATCACCAACGATCGTTTCCGCGTACAAGTGATATTGCTTTCACCCCTTGTCTGTGGGTACTATCCAAGATTTTGCTTGTACCAGCTCCAGTTGGTTTGCCGTTTCCTTTTTACCCCCGTTTATTTTGGGTCTACACTTCATTGGCTTTACACTTCATTGATCTCCCCAGTGGCTTCAGTCCATCCCCATATGGGTCAGTTTGGTCAGGTCTTCAGTCAAGCCAACAAGAATGATATAGAACGACCCACTAAAAGCCAAATTGCCTGTGTTTTATTTGTTCATTTACAATGTAACGTATGTCCAATTCTTCTGGGGGAATTCGCATGAACCCCGACCATTCACCAATCAGTCTACCATCATCTCTTGGCTGTAACATCATTCGAGTTGGTTAAATTGACAGAATGTGGGTAAAACAATCATCAACCATCCCCCAGTCATCACCATTTTTATAGGTGGGATTCGTTCAAACCATTCCCAGTCATGGGTGGTAAGCATTGCATTGTTTTACCATCCGGTCAGGTCACGTCACACATAAACATCTTGATGGCTTTTCGTCACTAAACCCCCAAGATCTCCATCTATGTCTGTGAAATCATCATAATGTTGATGAATTTTGGATATCATCCTCGATATTACCCACATGTTCAGTAGATTCATAGTGAACATATAATGAAACATACAATCTCCCGAAACAAGGTCATTTGGAGATTTTTGATGTTTGGTTTTACATGGGTTTTACAACCCTTTGTTTCGGTCAAGTCCATGACCCACCATGACTCACCCAAAGTCTCGCGGCGTTGTCGTCGCTGGTGTCGTCTTTGGCACCAAAGTGCAGCACCGCACGCACCGCGGCACGCTCCTCCTCCATGCGGAAGCGATAGGCATGCCTGGAGGAATCCATGGGAAATCCCTGGTGTGAAAAGACAAAGGCTTTCCTGCTTTGCTTTCGGGGGAATAGAAAGGGATATAAGAATCACATACTCACACACACATATTATATGTATGTATTATGTATATATAAATATATATATATAGTGTGTGTATATACATATATAGTGTATATAAATATATACATATACAATTATATAGATACATATATACATATGCACTATATATATTATATATATATGATTATATATGTATTATACCAATTGTGGACCCAAGAAGTTTCATGACCTTTCTATCCGATTCTGATCATATGAACTGTACTTTTGGGATCGAACTGGAGTGTACCTTCTGACCCACAAGGATCAGACAGGGGGGTCAAACATCCAACAAAAACACACCTCCTGGGAATCAAACACAATAAACATCGACCATTTGATTGGTCAGATGCACGAAAATCCATGAGTATCATTTTTTTTCTGAGAGAATATCCCGTTTTACCGTTATAGCTAGCTTGCCTTCATGATAAGTAGGTCTTTGAATCAGCTTTTACTTCGAGGCCCACCGAGAAATCGGTGACTTTCCATTTCCTGCCCACGGGGAAAGCAGTGCCAAATACAAAGCAGTAAGCCTCAAAATGGATCAGGGAGTAAGGTCATCAATTTGGTTGTTTTCAATCATTTTATATCAACATGTTCCATCATATTCCAATTATAATCCCACTACAAGGCCATGTAGAGATGATCAGCCGATTTTCTGTGGCTTGAAGCTTCATCACTCGGCCAAGTGGCTGAAGGTCCAGTTGAACATGCCTTGGATAGCAAGATTTTGTTTTGGCCATGAAAAATGAAAGCTTTGAGTCAGAAAAACCAAGGGCATGAAAATGCACAATTGGTAATATTGCTGGGGTGAAGAGAAAAGCTTGCCATACATCTATACAGCTTCAACATCAAATTCCTTGTGGGTTTTCCTGTATTTTTTTCAGGGAAAGCGCTAGCCAGATTGAAGCCAATATGAAAATCCTAACCCCCAAATATTCCAATGTTTGCAACCTAAAAAGGCCAAATACCAGTCAAAAAAAACATAGTTCAATAGACAATATAGTTTCGCCTTGATTTCCAGATGGAACCAACTAAAAAAAAACCAACCGCAACCTTCTAAGAGCAGCTCCAGACAGGTGCGGTGTGGGCGTTTACCCTCTGGTAAACTAACATAGCTATCGGAAATGGCCATTTATAGTGGATTTTCCCATTAAAAATGGTGATTTTCCATAGCTATGTTAGTTTACCAGAGGGTAACTCTTTTATATCCCATATCCTAATCGTGTGCCCTATTTTCCAAACAGTGCAAGGAATCATTCATGTTCTCATTGCAGGGGAAATTCTGATTTTGGATTTCCATTGGCTTTCTCGAATCTGCCACCAGCCTGGATCTTCTCAACATTGGCTCACCCTCGAAACCCAACAAGACTAGTGGGACATGATATTCCAAACTATCAACTTGCCTGCAAATTAATCCATCAAAACCTACTATTCAACAGCAATAGTACCAAAACAAAACCAGTCATAGATGTTTGCTATCCTCTCAACATATCTGCACACCACATGAAAATGGCAAAAAAACTTTGCCAGCAAGCGGCTGAAATTCTCTCACATGAAGATTGGTACATAGCAAGGTTTGGCTGAAACACTCCGTTCGCAGCTGGGTGGTGTACCTGCAGATCGGCCTCATTCTCATCACCTTTTCCACCAAAAACCCAGAAGAAAACATCAACTTCTAGCTTAACATTCGCCCTCTACCGTTGAGTTTACACAGAAGTCCTGTGAAGTTTCCCAATCTATATAGATGTTTTTGCTGGCAACAAAAATATCCTCATCATATGGGCTATTCCCATATCTGATAATTTCTGATGCTTCACTTCACATCCCCATTTTTTCTCTGTGGAATCCCATTTTTCCAGCTTAGTCTGCAAAATAGGCAACAGCCCCTAACTCCGTTGGTTCATCATGGTTCATCATTATACCTCTTTCAATGGACCGTTTGGGTTTGTCTGAAAATCCATTTGCCAAATCCATTGCTTCATCATCATGTTCTGAAAAGTCCCCCTTGTCCCTTGTGGGGTATGCACCATTTTTCCCATTTTTTCCCATCCCCAGCCCCAGCCCGGTCCCACCCCAGAAACCCCGGTGGTTTCCGGTGGCGCAGCGGCGCACCCCATGCGTTTCAGCGAGGTCTCCAAGCGCCTCATCTCGCGCACGGGGAAGGTGGACCTCCATGGCTCCCACCACCAGGTCTGGGCGGGGCCGGTGGGCGCCTGCCATGGGCGAAGCCGTGGAGCCATGGGCATGGGGTCCCGGGTAGGTGTTAAAGGTGTTCAACTATGGGAATAAACATGGGAAATAACTAAAGGAAAAACAAACAATGGGAAATCAACTTTTGCAGCCTGATACTCTGAGTGCCGCGCGCGAAACTCAGCAAGGCAACGAAAGCACAATTAATCAGCGAAAGCAGGAAACGATCTGAGGACAGAAAAGGGAATATCAATGGACCGACAGGACACACCAGGACCTCTACCAGAGGGAGACCCACCAGAATAGCCAATTTGAGCAGAAGAATGAACACTTAGGAAAGTGACTTTGTGAATAGAGACGGGTTTGAACAACCCAACAAAACCACTCAACCTCCCAAAATGGAGGTCGCGGAGATTCATGCAATGATGATATGAAGTAAATTTTCCGGCCTTTGCAGAAACGGCGAAAACGGGTCTTGAATAGATTCAAAAAATGTTGAAGTTTCTTGCCGTCAACCCACTCGGGCAAATCAGGATAACAACCCACAAAGTCAAAAAACACCAAGACCCATGGAACTTTGGGCCCTTGCTGATTGACCAGAAACTCTACACAGACATCCTGGGTGTACCTAGACAAAGCCTGGAAGTACTCACCAGAATTATTCTGCAACCTAGACCTAGCATTGCGCTGGTCAGAAAAAAAAGACATGGGGTTGAACAATGACAGAGGAGAAAGAATCCCGAAAAGTTTGATAAACGTTCCAGAGTCTGTCGGAGTCATTCGGGCGAACGGTCCCGTTTTCACACTTGGTCAAGAATTCACTGTTACACTGCTCAGGAAAAAGGTGTGAAGGGGTTGGATCACTCGGAGGTTGGTCTGACGGGCACAAAAATTGGCACGCACATCGTTCACCCAGCGTAGCAATGATATGGCATTGCCATGACACAGCCACTGTGATCAACTTACGGTAAGGTTCGAGCTTGGCTCTAAACGCATCTCTAGCTACAGCCCTAGCGGCTGCATCCACCATGCTATTTCCATACGTAAGATATGGATCCTGACTAGACTTTGCCGTACAATGGGCCTTTACTTTTTTGATATGCACCCTACCAGGACGAGATTTCGCAACGGAGCAAACCAAATTCCAGCAATCCCTGTTGTCCAACTTGTGAATCCATTCATGGGAAATCAACTTTTTTGGAATCCAAATGGGAAATTACTGTCAATAGGAATAATCATGGGAAAAGAACGAAGTGGTTATACTTGTAAGGATCATCACACTTCATATTTGGTATGGATTATAGCCCTGGATGTGGATGGGGACGATCTACCGATGGGAAAACAGATCGGGAAACCAATGCAATTTTGATGATTTCTATGGGTAACAGCATCATTTTTGGGTTTGGGGGATGGGGTATACCATCCTTTTCTAGCAGAAAAAGCGGGAAAATGATGATACAGCGCTGTATTTTTTTTGGTAGCCTAAGACAACGCCAGATGGATGGGGATGGGGTGGGGGGAACTTGTCTGAGATTTGTGAAACTGGGATGAGAAGAGGAGTCTCTCAAAAAAAAACTTGGATTTTTTTTGTTCTTGTTGGATCTCATTAAGGCACACTTTTGCACGAAACATGCAGTAGGAACCGATTTTGGAAGTGTTGATGAGGACGCAACTGGATGTGCAACCAGGAAATGGAGAATTCGATCCTTGACCTGTATCATCATTGGGAAATTGCATAAATTAAGATGGAAACTTCAGACACACACAAGATTAGGTATACACACGCACATAACTAGTACCCTCTGGTAAACTAACAGTTTGCGAACTGGAAAACCCGAATTTTTAATAGCTAACTCAACGATTTCTATGGTCTATGGCCATTTTCAATAGCAAACTGTTAGTCATGACCAGATGCTACTGCAACATCTTGCGCCTCTTGAAAGAGAAGGATGTCAGCTGTGCTTCTCTCCTTGGTGTTCCAAGAATTTGGCCGCTTGCCATGGTTGACATTTGACGCTGCAATAAACCATAGGGTTAGATTTAGATACTGCTTCAATTGGGTAAAATGGCAACTAACATTGAGCAAATGATTCACTCCTTGTTCCGGTTGAGATGATTCGCTGGTTTGACGTCTTGTCTATATACACAGGTCCAAAGATGATGAACCAGTGAAGCACCATGAAATAGTAGGGTATCCAACTCTTGTTTATCTACACAGCTAATCTCGCAGACGCCATCAGAACAGCTAATAAAAATATTCATGAACATCTACCGTTCATCGGTTGCTTTACTCAGTAAGCCTCCCCCATTTTCACCCAAACATCCAGCAACAATCCTTCACAATCATCCAATTTGTGTGTATCATCATTTTAGTTGATCAATGTCCTCAAATAGTTGCTGGTTTGTGAAAATAACCAACCAATCAACCACAAAGAAACATCTCTTGCTACATGTTGAAAAAAAAACAACAACATCCATCATTTTCCCGACATACAAAAATGACCATCATGAAATATGCTTTGATCCCCCATTTTCACTTCCCCCCTTCTTGTGCTGTGGCACAGTCAATCTTTGATAGTCCACAAAAAATTGTCATCTTTTGCTGGTTGGCTGGCGATTTTCCATTTTTTTGGCAAAAAACTATAGAGGATTAGTTTCCACCCCTCCAGCTGGTTGGGGATGATTATATTCCCATGACAAAACCCATCATTTCTATGATATTCCCATCATAATATTCCAGTTGGTTGGGGACGTGGGACCCAGGTACCCTAAAAAATAGCTGGTGAGTTAGCATTTCTTCCCGAAATTTGGTACGTTCATAAGTTTTTGACCCATCCCCATATGTAGCTTTCTTAAATATCTTAAAATGGTGGATCCCCAAATCACCCGAACTTTCAATCCTAAAATGGTCGAAGTTGGATTCGGGGGTACCCCCATACCCTTAGAAAACCTCGGGGATGGCCCTGGGAGCCGCCCAGCATCCACGATCTTCAGAATCTCCGTGGCCGTCTGCGCGCTTTGCCCATCGACGCCGCATAAGCAGTTCAGGTTCCACTGGATGATCCTGCGGCTTTTTCGGCGCCCTTTGTGGAGTGCCATCAAAGAATGGGGATTTCCCATGGGGATTTAAGATTTAACTAACATGGTGAATGTATGGGATTTAACCAACAAAAGGACATTTTTTTTATGGGATTTTATGGGATTTTATGGGATTTAACTAACACGAGTGGAGATTTATCCGATTACATATATGTACTGGGATACAATGTGATATCACCCACAGTATGTGGGACAATGCAGGGAGCAATCATCAACCTACGTTCAATGGATATGGGCCAAAAACTGGAGATTTAGCCAGCCGTAATAGGGACGTGATGGGATATCTAGTCATCAAAAGAGGGATTTAGCCATAGGAGATGGACCAGAAATGGGGTATGTACCCGAAATCTTGGGGTTTCCGCTTCAGCGGAGGATCCCCAGATGCTTGGTTTTTCCATTGGCACTTGTTAAGTTTGGACACTTTTGGGGTGCGCCATTGTAGGACACCCTTGTTATATATGGGGAACTTCATGAATGTTTTGGCGAGCCTATCTTCAAAGAAACCTATATTTGGGGACCAACAGCTACGAAATGGGGATGTTGCAGCACAATAGATTGGGGTGAGAACAAATGATGACTGGATATCAAACAACACATATAAAACTATTGACTCACAAATATAAGGATGCACAATTCCTCCTAAAGATCAGTATATAGCAAGAAACAGATGGTTCAACTGCCATTTTTCATGGTTCCTATTGTTTTCCTGCTCAAACTCTGGGACTCCAAATCGTTTTTTTTTCTGAAGGATCTGCTAGATCTGGGTTCCCTGGAGGGCCCCAAATGATGGAGTTCCGGAAAATTTGCCAAATTGGCGGAACAAACCCGATCCAAGTTAAATTGTACATGAAATATCCCTATCATAGCATCTCCACATCAAATTCTTGATCCTTTTTTTATACCTTTACTTCTCCATATCATGATTTTGCGGTGGATTATCCCATTATCCGAACTTTATTCCATGATTATTCCATTGTTTAACCCTTAATCCATAATCATGGCCAGTATCATCCTATCACTACAAGGTGGTGCCCCCCAAGTTATAAGTTGGTTTATAATCCCATTAACTATAGATATATCACCTATAAACCATAGTTATTGGAGTTATAAACCAACTTAGCTATCTAGGGGGCACCATCCCATCACTATCCCACTCTCTCATGATTCTCCAGCCTCAGCATCTGATGATCGTCGCCGCTGGTCTCCGCCCGCGGCAGCGGCGAGGGGATCACCGTCCGCAGCTGCTCGACGTAGAGCTTCCGCATCTCCGCGGCCTGACGGGGAAGGACGAACGGACGGACCCAACCATGGGAACCGGGGGTTCACCATGAAGGAAAAAACATATAGATAGGGGATATATATACAGTATATATATTTATAGATGTATGTATATATATATATATATCATGATATATCTATAATATAAATATATATATATAGAGATATCATGATATATCTATAATATGGGGATCAGTGATGATAATTTTTATTTTGAAAATAGTGATAATTGGCCAAATAGTGGGGATGACATTATCATGGAAATAGAATGGAGATATAATGGGAAAATAGAATGGGGAACCACCATATCATGCATGTCTGTAATGGAATGGGAATTGCTCTGGTTCTGGTTGTGGTGCTGATTATGAGTATGGTGTGTATCATCATGGTTCGTTCATGTGAGAAATTGGCGAAAAGACCAAAAAACATAGAATTGAACCAACCGTGGTGATGTGATGTCTAGAGAATTAAAATCAATTCCCAAAATGGGACGATTCACTGCCTGAGCTAGATTCATGTAGTTTTTTTCGGTGATTCGTCTGGATGATTGATCGCAAATACCGAACTGTCACCCATGATTTGCTGGGACATCAATCAAACAGGGTTTTCCTCAAACCTTGAAAAAAGCGTCATGTATCTGGCTTGGTCGCAACTGAGGTTTCAGAAAGTCTTCGGGTCCATTCGAAGATGATCCTTAAGTGATATGAGTCAGCTACTTTTCTAAAGTGATGGCTAGTGATTGGCAAAGGGGACTTTAAACCAACAATCATGGGTACGGAACCAGCAAGAATTGCGGATAGCATCGACCAACGTGGAAATATTCGACCAATTGTGGATCTTCAGGGAAGCAGTAAATATTGACACCTCGATGGAACGTGAAAAACAGGAGCCCTTTTTGTATGACTATTGCCTCGCAAGATATGATGCTCAAATCCATTTGTTTTGGGGCTCCATGCCAGTTCATCTTTGGCATTCTCTGGCATGCTACTGACAGGTATAAAATGACAGTAGGGCCAGTAGTAGGATGTAACCAGCAAAGAATAGGGGTATAATTAACACATGCTTGGAAGGTGTAAACAACATTGATGGGGATTTGATGTGGGCATGTTTCATTGATTTAGAGATGACATGTGACAACTATGGGAATGAATTCATGCAGAATCTCAATATATCGACACACACACACAGCAATGCGAGGATCCAAACAAAAAATGAGGGCTAAAAAAACAGGGCATCACCAACAATATTGACGAAGTTAACATTGTGGTTAACCCGCAGATAATTCCTGGTTCTTATCAACCAATAGCACATCTTAAGGATCGACATCACGGAAATTCGGCAGAAATTCGTGGTTTTCATACTTCGGCACTTACCACTGGATTCCTGTAGATATTTCAGCATTAAAAAAAGTGGGATATGAGATGTGGGATAGATAGATGTGGGATATTCATTGTTTATATAACCATATAACATCATATAACCACATCCCAATCAACAACAGCTATTAATGTGGGATATGCCCGATCCATTGGGATGCACATCGATGGGGAAAGACGGCGCCTGCCCGATGAGTTTTGGATCCTCTTTGGCCCTTTGCAGATACCAACTCCTTACTGGCACCTAGCCGAGCTGTGCCCAAAAAGGGGCAATGGAAAGAACTAACAAAAACTGTGAACACATGTGTTTATATATAATATATATATAATGTGTGTGTATATATATATACACATTTATGATGGTATACGTAGGTAGGATTTGGTATGACTATGCATATCGAGATCTATATAACAAATTATACCGGTATGAAAAGGTGTACGTGTCGCAGGAGAGGAACACCTTCGGAAGCTTGGGCAGAAGCTTCTGAAACCGGTGGTCATATTTCTTTTGCTGAGGAATCTTGACAGAATGGATATCCCTCCAGTAAACAAGAAAAAAGATGGAAAACGATGGCCAATGTAGTTCGATGACCAGATCACCCCAAAGGAGGATGGAATTTCGAGATATCTGCAACGAGGATGAAACACACATCGCTAAGTGGGTGCACTTAACCAGGTGAATTCTTTGGTTCATGGTAGATAATTCTAACTAGGTAATAAGTTTATATTCTACTAGTACCCGAAGAACCTAACGTTCGCCCATGATGACATAATATATCTCAATTTTCCCACGGTTTTACCACATGTTTCATCTGCGGTGCTAACCGCCTTGCAGGGATGGACGGTACACTAGGTGTGGCCCCTCGCCACGCGTACGACATGAAATTTGCTTCATGGCTCGTTTCACAATAATTTGCGGCAACAACCCTTCGCAGACTTCGTGGGGGTCCGTGGAAAAGAAGGGCCGTTTCGTGCGAGAAAACACAGGCTGGCAAACGTCCGGATCTGTGTGAACTAGTACCTATTCAATCTATAATCTATACATTCGTCTATTCAATCTATAATCTATAGATCTATAACCTATTCAATCTAATTTATGTTTGGAATATGCAATAGGCATATCTTTGGTGCTTGAGCATCGGGAGTCAGCATCCCAGGATGGAGAACCACTTCATCCATAGCCCAAAGAAATGTTGAGAAGTGATAAGTCTAACTGTGGTATGATAAGTCTAACTGTGGTATCATACTGTTGATAAGAAGAACTGATTCTAACTGTGATACTGTGCTATGCCATATATATGGATAATATATCCATATATGGTCCAGTTGACAAAGATACAAAGGACTTATAATGTTATAAGTTGATGAATCACTGAATCATCATTAGTCGGTCAATGATGCCAACTATGATGTCACAAATCCATAAAATTAAAGCGCTGAACCAAGTGGATCCTGAGCCAGTTAAGACACTGGTTGATCTACCCATTTCAGTTTTTTTTTGAACAAGTCCCTTAGAATTTTCAATTTATATATAGGTTATTGGTGATGCTTCATATATTGAAGTTCATATTTTTTTTTATATTATATAAGGGAATCTCACAATCTCTTAGTGCATATTTCCATAATAATTTCCAATTTATCAGAACATCCATGGATAGTAACTATCCAATAGATACATCTTACTATGATTGTTCCATATTTTTCAGCTCATGGATTACTGGTAATCAAACATGGCAGCAGATTCACCATGACATGAAAATCATCCCCTGTCCCGGAGAACTTTTTCAGAACACCTCCTCTACGGCGCGTTCATTCAAGTCCATCTGGCATCCGTGATGGCATCGGGAATCCATCAGAGTACATACAAGGGCATATAAAGATGTGTATACATATATATACATACATATATATATAAGATGTGTATATTATGTGTATATGTATATATATATATATAAGCAAACGTCAAGGGGGGATACATGACTACTACATTAGAATACCGTTTGATTACAATTGGATAATTACTGGGATGCGCGCCTAAAAATAAACTCCATTTTGGGGTATGGTCTTTGATACACACCAATACGATAAAATTTGGTGAATAGAGTATGGTTTATGAATTTGTTCACTCTATCACTTGATATTAGTTGTTATGTATTTGTTTTGAATATATGTACAGTACATATCTCTATACCTATCAAACATACATTTGAATGAACAATAATCTCTCAGTTTATGACAAATGATGAACCAACATCTTGTTGGGGTTATGGAGTTGATTCCAGGCTAGAAGTTGTGGGGATATCCAAGCGACGAAGATGGGGATATCCAAGCAGAAATGATGGGAGATCAGCGGTGATGTACCCTCTGGTAAACTAACATAGCTATGAAAAATGGCACATTTATAGATGGTATACCTCTTAACAATGATGATTTTCTATAGCTATGTTAAATTGCCAGAGGGTAAGTATTCAAGGGATAGCGTCAACAACATCGCTATGATATAACTCTGGCACTAAAAAACATCGTCTGTTTCTATCTTCACTGTTGTTCGGTACTGTATATTCACAACCCAATCATGGCTGGTGAAATTCCGATCCTTTAATTGCTAACAAACCGCAAGTGCATGGGCTACATATTCCAACATTTGCTGGTTTCGGTGAAGAAATCCAGACACCAAATCCCTGGCAGCCTGACTTCTACTTCGGTAAATCCTCCCAGCAGCCGACCCCATGGCGCCAGATGTTGAGGAAGACTGGCTGTGTGTTGAAAAACGCTGCGGCTGTTGTGGAAACACAGCAACTGCGCATAGCGCTAGCTTGGCGTTGAGCGATTGGATACTGATCGTTGAGGGGTCACGTCTAATTAGTCTAATTTTACCACTTCGGGAGATCATCGGCTGGCGAAAGTGGTGGCTTCTGCTCAACTTCCATTGTGGCTTGGCACATCAACTTGGCGAAACCGCAACCTGGAGGTTCCTGGACTGTCTTGAAGCCTTGAAGCTAAACATCGGCAAAGCAGACCACGTAGAAGTGTGTGGGGCAAACCTTGAGGACCTCAAGCTGTTGCAAATAGGTTTGGGTACCCCAAACATCGCATGGTTTATCATCATTTTCCCTGTATAACCCAGGAAATTGGCCGAAACATCCCTTCTGAAACTGCGAAAAAACTCTACAGCTGTCCAAGTCCGCAGAGTCAGCGCCGGCATCGAGGGCTGGAATGATCTTATGGCCATGGTTTTTTGGCCCAGCTAGCACCAATGAACTGCTTCAGATTTAAGATGTCCAACATGTCCATGTTTGTTGATATCTGATATACCTGATATCGCTGAGATTTCCGTGTTTATTTCCAAAGCTTGTTCTTATTGGTTAAGCATTTCATGTGGGTCAAATCCCCAACTCTTTGTCGATGTGCCAGTTGCAATAAGCAGTGGACCAGGACCAGGACCCATGATTTCCAGAGGCTGATAGCTTGGGATAAACTGAACTTACTGGCGCTTGATGGGAATGGGATGATGGTTACTGTGGATCATTCCCACATTTGTATACTAAGAAAATCTCCTCAAACAACATAGAAACACTGAGCCGCAGTCGTCGAATCTCATCTTTTCTCACAACTTCATTGCAGCATTCTGCGCCACGGCTCGCGCCTGAACAGGGCTCCAGCTTAGCGGCGGGTGGTCCAAAGACCATACCAAATCTATGGGGAAAATCATGGGTTCATGGCCAAAATGTGCATCATTTGAATCTCCCCAGCTCCAAGATGTCAAAGATCCAAAACCACAGGATCACTGCTTTTTGGGGACAACATATTGGATTGGATTGGCGGTGAATGAAGTTCACTAAGCCACAAAAGCGAGTTTTTGTACAGCGCAACCTTTACACTGAGCGTGCCGTTGCAAAAAAACACTGCTCTTGATCCGCTCGTCATACCAAGCAGCCCTCGCTGAAAAAGGTGGACTTCTCTGCCGCCATGTTCGACCTTTCCCATGCGTGTCTGCCTGGTTCTGCAACGCATAGTATCTGACTGGTGGTTTGAACCCCACAAAATATTACCCTCTGGTATACTAACATAGCTATGGAAAATCACCATTATCAATGGGTAAATCAACTTTGAATCACCATTTTCAATAGCTATGTTTGTTTACCAGATGGTAATTGCTTCGGATCATCGTTCCAGGTAAAATGGACATGAAGCTACCCATTTGAAACCACCAGCCAGAAAATCGCAATGGAACACGTGGAATTTTGAAGAAATTTCGCATCACACCCAGCCGGGATCCACCATTTTACCCATCCCAAGTATCGACCATTGGGGGCTCTTATGATCCCAAGTAGGGGATTGGTACAACCCTGGGATTATTATAATATACCATTATACTGATACTGGTTGGTGGTATACCTACCCCTCTGAAAAATAATTATTAGTCAATGGGAAGGATGACATCCCATATATGAAATGGAAAATAAAAGCCATGTTCCAAACCACCAACCAGTTATCCATTATTATACAACAAAAAAAATGGGGATGGTGACTATTGCGGATCCCACATCACTCCGAGTCTATGCAGCTGCACCGCGCAAAACTACACTGCCAGCACGCATGAATAAGCGCAAGACGCACAACGCGTAACCCGCCGACGAACAGCTCAGCTGGATATACCACACGCGCACAAATCTTGCAGGAGGAACTTCGGAACTTGGAATCCAGTTGGTTTTGTCGTTTGATTGGTGGTTTCCGCCTGAAAAGTCATCACACTTGGAATTGCAGCAAAACTTTAAACCACAAACCAGCTTTCCAGCTTTCCAGCTTTCACAGCGCTTTGAGAAGGGGGGTTCGGGGCCCGACTTGGTTTCACTTGGAGGATAATCTCACGGATCGTGGCGAAGAAACATGGTGAAGAAGTCCCCGAAGTCGGGGGTTTCCTAGTTATAGGTCAATTCGAGGTGGGATTATCAGTTCCGATTCGCGTGCTGATCCAAGTAGTTTTTCCACATTTCCACCCACCTCCCACGTCACCTTTTTCCGCTGCTGTTATTTTTTCTCGACTGCCGACCCCACGCCTGTGAAAGTCAGCGAAGATATCACCCAAGGACCAAAGAACATCCCAATGTTTTCTTTTTCAGACTCTCTCAGATGACTCAGATTACACAATTTAGTAACTAGGACTTGTGCAAATATCTTCTCCAAATCTGCTCGAACTTCGACGTGAATTTACGATCTTCAAGCAGCCGTCCCATTGGGCCTTCTGTTTTACCCTCCAACAGAAACCCATAACTTACGCTATTTTCAGGATCAAACTCTGAATTCTGGGGACATGGGTAACCAAAGGTCATGGATGATCATGGTTAAACACCCACTGGTGAATGGGTAACCACAGCCATGGGTTTTTAGCCACTGGTGAATGGGTAACAATGGGTAACCCACAGCCAAAGATTCCAACCGCTAAAAACCCTCGATGATCCTTCAGGTTCATACCCTCGACTCCGCCTGCCGCAGAGTCGCTGGACGACGCCTGTGTGGCTTTTTGTTGGGGTCCATGGAGTCCATGGAGTCCATGGCAGAAATCCGGAAAGCATGGTGGACAGCTGTTACTGTGATTCATAGCAGTTCCAATCTGTCCCAAACATATGAAAATCAAAGTCACTTGGGACTTTGACTAAGCAAATAGGATTTGAAAGTCAGTTCATCCCATTTTGCGTACCACCATCATTGGAATTAACGGGATAAAAAATGATAAACACCTGCTCCACTACGATGCATAAATTTGGAAACTTAGCAGAAAACATGTGCATGGACCATCATGATCAATTGATGGAATATATCTGGACACCCAATTTAGCAAAAAAAATAGGGATATCCACTTGTTGCCAGTCTTTTAATCCCACTACTGATAAGGATATCATCAATCAACAAACAGGTGCATTTCAAACAATAATTACAGGGGAACACATGACTATACCGGCAACGTCTTCAACCAGTAGAATAGCTAGCTTAACACATCCTGGAACATTGCTACACCGCCCTTTTTGAGGTACAGAATCTCTTCCTCTCTACAACATGTACATTGGAAAGTACGACATGGTGACTATGCGGAGATCGGGATATCCAAGACATTCACGTGTCAAGAAGCAGGTTTGTTGAGCTGAACAACGGTGGTGTTCTTTACACCGCCCAAAAAGTTGGTGAAGTTGGTAAAATTCCACAGTGATAAATGCATATTTTTATCAAGCTATTTGGGGGGTCCAAATAGCTCATGTAACATGACAATTTCTGTTGGTGAGGGAGGAATCCACCCAGATGGATCAAAGGATCAGAGGTCTGGCACCTTAACATGTGCGAAAACATGTGCAAATAGATGGGATCTCCATCCTCATGCTGTCACAAATTGCTCAAAAAACATTCCACGCGCCGACCCATGTCTCACTCCTCGGTCACAGCCAACGCCGAACAACTGGCGTGACATCGCTGCCCGAATCTTCCGAGCCGCGGACAAGGCACAAGGCAATGCGGGTGATTCTTTGTGCTTAGCTATCGTAAACATCAATGGAGATAGAGATCATCCCTCCAAATAGGATGGTTTCTATTTTTGACACATTTGAAAGGATCAATGAGTTCCTGGCTTGTTTTCAAAAGAGGCCAGCCGCAGTCGGTTGTAGCTTGGTGGACGCGCCAAACACTAGGCCTGCGGCTGCGATAGGTTTCTCGTTCATTCCATCTTGCAACTCACTCAGTACCTGGGTTATTCTCTTCATAGTTCAGGCTTCAGAATGAATAGAATTGGGTGCCAAACAGTACGATTGCAAACAAGTCGTTGACTCAGTCATTTCATCAAACCCACCCTCCAGTGAACAAACAGATAGAAAATCCATACTTGTAAGGAACATGGTCTATAAATGGGGGATATCTTCCAGCCATGAATTTCATCTACTCATCTCCTGTGTGGCCCAGGTCAGTGACGTGATGACGCTCCCTTTCCCGCCATCATACGCCGCGCTGCGTTCGCCGCAACCCAGATCTACTGGGAAGCTTCGCCTTTGATCGCTGTGGTTTTTTTTGTCATTTTGGATGGCAGTAATGCCTACTTTGCGGGGTTTCATCTTGCATTGATTCATCAAATATGGAGAAAATTTTCAACTTTTTCTCTGCTCCCAGCTGCCGCGGCTCACTCGGCTGTCCAGATCCTACCCGTTGGAGGGTTGGGAGTTGTGTGACTACCGGTTGGAGGAATCCCTATATGACGATCTGCCGGACAGAAACAGTCTGCCCAAGTACGGTAACCAACCGGACAATCAAAGAAGTGTTGGGGAAAAGGGATACCCCACAAACAAAGTCAACGAATGGAACGGTTCACCACATGGTATTACGTATTGTATATTTATGTAGCAGCTCAAATGCACCCCTGCATTCAATACATGTTTTTTTGTTGAGTGTCGATTTTGGCGCATCAATTTGGCCCACAACTGCTTGGCGACATTCGACTTTTCTTGGTTGTATCCGCCGTTTTGCTGCTGCATTGGTTGAAACTCCCATTATTGTGGGTTCAAATCCCAATCTTATCTTAAGTTCAATTACCCTGTTTTGTTGATCAATATTAACCGTTCTTTGCCTGGTATCAGGTTGGCTTGGTCGCGTGTTAGTTGTTAGCCCACAATTTTTGCTGGCCAATCACCCCCTTTTGTTGTTTTGTAGGCAAAGAAACCCTTTCCGAAACCCTTTCCCTGTTTCTCATGTTTGCGCAACAGATTAAATAACCCAATTCCTCCTAGTTACACCCCTGCCAAGAAAAACACATGGTCATAACTACTCCCATCCACCATTGAATATTCCCCCCAATCTGGGTCCCCTTATCATTGGATCCGGGTCTAAACCAAGGCTTCATCTGAATGGGACAATTCCCATCTCATCATTTTATCCTCATATCCCGATATCTATGGCTGTTTCCTGAAATAGGAGTACGTCCAAAAATTGTTTTCCTTAAACTGGATCAATTTTCAGATTTTTTTGGGTTTTTTTGGGCAATTAAAATTGTAGGATCTCATCGCGTATGTAACCCAAATCCACCATCCCCAAAAGCACAAAAAAAGAACCATAAATGTTAAAGTTTCCACAATACATCGCCATTATACCACCATGTTTGTTGCTTAACTCCCACTAAACCACCATGAAAACATATTAAAGTGGTTAAAACAATAATAAACCATCCCGCAAATCACCATCAATAGGTGCTATAAACCATCAACAATGGGGTGGTTTAAAACGTTGTTTTAGCCTCATTAAAAATATCTATAAATCCCATAGGTTCCCATGAATTTCCCATTCCATTCCATGTTTTTTTCCATGAAAATCATGAAATCACCGTGATTGGCCCGGGCCTTCTATCGCTCGCCGTGCGAGTAGCGGCACTTATCGCCTCGGATCGTCGAAAGAACATGGTGATTTATCCTCCAGTGATGACGGCTATGGGAATCTTCAACGAATGGATACGAATGGATAAGCAATGAGATTGAACAATGGGCTAAGGATTTTAGTTCGGAAAACTGGCGAAATTTAACAAGCGGTAAGTCGTCATTTTCTAGACATATAGAACTTAAGCGAGAAGAATTGAACTTCACCATCTTAAGAAAATGAGGCTTTGACCCACCAACATGGTGAGTCCATGGTGATTCCAGAATGCTTCGCTAAGCCTGTTACACGTTTTTAGCAGAAAACAGATGAGGATCTCCAGATGAGGATCGATTTAGCACCAAAAACAGTTGTGTTTCGCCATTCCAACGCACGTGTTTATTAATTGAGGCGTTGGAGATCCCGTACTAAAGCTATATAATAATAATGATATATATATATATATAGACTCCTCCATTTAGGAAGTCTTGTGATTCCTCAAACCAAATCAAAGTCATTGCCAAGGAACCTTCCATATTGTGTATGCTCACCTACATGTTTCATCCTGTTTCGGTGTGGGGCTCCACATCGGAAAACGAAGATTGACCCAGAGCCCCATTGAACTTTTGTGACTTTTTTTTTTGGCATGATACCCTCCGGACATTCAACATGGAACATAATTATAATGATAATGATTATGAACCAAAATCGAACTCTCAACAGATACAAGTTCCTAGAATATGAGCAGCATCAAAGCCCGAGGTCCCTGCTGCTCACATCTTTTGATGGCTGGTGACCCAGTGTGTGGCAATAGGGGGATACTACCAACAAACACCAACAAACAAAACAGTTTTTTGCCCATCATCTACATGTTCAATCCAACCCAGGATTTAAAATCTTCGTTTCTATGAATTTTCAGCCTTGAGTACAACCAAAAACTCCAAGTATTCCCTATTCCGATCAACTTCATAGCACCAAAAAGATAGAAAACGTGATTTGTCACTATATTCACCAACTTCTATTCATATTCACCAACGATTTGTCACTATATTTTGGTAGGACTTTACCAACTTCTATGGTTCCTTGGGCGTTTTTCAATCGCCGAGTGGCCGCGTTTACATTCGCCCCTCCGGAAGTCTCCACCTTCCATGCTCGGGTGGCCGGTGGACATAGTTGATATTGGTGGGATACAACTATGGGACATAGTTGATGTAACTAACATGTATATATCTGGTTGGTGGTTGAGCCACCCCACTGAAAAATATGAAAGTCAGTTGGGATGATGACATTCCCAACTGAATGGACAAATAAACATGTTCCAAACCACCAACCATATATATGTATACAGTATAAATATTTGTAATTAGATATACGTAGTAGATGTATAACCATATAACTATAATATACATATTGAAACTCAAGCAACGACTATAATAGTTGATGATACACTTTGCTGGTGATCCTCCCTGTTTTCCATATCTGATGGGACCCTCTGATTCGCAAGGTCGATTTAGGGGCAAAATGTGAGCCATGCCCGGGGTCAACCGGGTCAACTGCAACAGGTGGGGTTACTAAGGTGTGCTATTGAATTTCACCATCGAATCACCATCGAAGATCATCATCGTTCGGTTCATGCTGGATCTTCCAGCAAGACATTCACCGGAGAGTCCCTGCATGACCATTCGTGTTTCCCCCATAGTTGTTTGTCATATATGCTTGTTATTATTGTTATAACGATGATATTTGCAAAACTGTTGGTTCATTTCCCCAAAATCAATCATCACAGAAGCATCGAACCTTCAATTCTCGATCATAACGTCTGAGATCCCGAACACATTTCCCGGAAGCCGGTCTTGCCCTTGTTGGGGCAATCTCGGGCCAAATGCCCTGTCCTAAGTTTGGTCGCTAGAGAAATCCACAGATGTTCATGAAACCAAATTTACCCGTAATCAAACATGGCTAGCTGAGAAATCCCCTATGAATGTCATGAATGTCGTGAAGTCGGGATGAATCTCGACCTGTAAGGTGGCGACTCCCCACATGCGTAGCATTCATTGCCCACGCCGCCACCACCACCGCGACCACGACCACGGCCATTTTCGGCTCCTTGCACACAAGATTTGAGCTGCAAAACACGAGAAAATATGGGGGATGGACTCGATAAAAGTGATCCAAGCAAGTGAAACCAGACTTGTTCCAGTGAATGGCGTGGAACTCCATTCCTTCATGGGGCGGACTGATCTCAGCTGATGGCTTAACCCGCAGCTTTGTGCCCGTTGACCCAACTTCAGCAGCAAATCGGTGGAATCTGATCTCCCCCATTCCATGCCTCGAGATCGCGATCTGGCCTTCCTTGGGAGCTGGCGATGTCGGCATTTTCCGCCAGGTTAGACTCCTATTCCCATGAATCATGCATGGATATCCATGGATCATGACAGCTTTTTGCCTGGGGATTCCGGATTCCATCATCGTTTTGGCATGTTTTGGCGAAATGAGAAGGATCTGAACCTGAAAGAAGTGTCAATTCTGAACTATTCAACCAGGGTTGATGAATCGAGGGTTTGCATCAAATGGGCTGAAGAGCCATTTCTATATAATGAGTGTGTTGCAATGATGAAAATGGCACAAAAAACATATCTTTGGACCATCCTCGCGAAAAAAACAAACATAAACTGCAATCCAACATACACCATTGCTGGATTCCTATGAACATTTATATCTTCCAAAGGAAAATCATGGGCCTTTACGCACAAAAAATCGCAAGGGTAAGGCTTTTTCCATCTGACACTTTTTCCCTGAGTATTCCATTAGTGTCAAAGCCTCGATGCCAGAGTTTCTGAGGCAGTGAATTTGGCAGTTTCTAGGTTGAAATTTCATCACCTGTCTTAAACTTCCTCAAATGAGCATGCAAACTTCCTCAAAAGTGCCATAGAAGTACGTTCAAAGTTGCAGACATTCACGATGTACTTTTATGGACATGTCCTGAACACAGCTTTCCCAAAAGGGCGGCAAGACTTCGAAATTGCTGGCTTACTTGCGGCTCACTTCTTGCCTCCTTTGTACGGCTTTCTCATATTTGTCATATGGGAAACACAACATTTGACAAACATGCCCACCTACAACAGTCAGATTTTGCTACACCATATATATTTTCTCATTTACTTTTCCAAATTGCCAATATTTTTCCCACGAAAAAACATGGAAAAAAACAACAGCACTTTTAGTCCAAGCATCTCTGGTGCCGGCGCTGGCGCTCCAGGGGCGCCCGGCGCCGGTGCACCCGGCGCACCCGGCGGCGGGTAGGTGCCAGGGGGCGGGTAGGGGTAGCCTGGCGGTGCTGGAATCCTGGACATTTCTTGTTTTTTTTGTCAAATCCAAGCTGCTTGGTGGTCGAGCCACCCCTCTGAAAAATCTGAAAGTCAGTTGGGATCATGACATTCCCAACTGTTTCTGGAAAGTCATAAAAATGTTCCAAACCAGCCAACCAGCAAGAAACGTATTCACCAAAAAGAATCAGAATTTCTTGGGGATTCGAATTCGATGGGGCTATGCACTAAGGACATCAGCATGGGTGAAGTTTTTTGCACATCCCAATCGGATACGCCATGGATGGGCCCATACCTGGATTTCCACAACCCGGATAGCAGCCTGAAAATGAAGCATACCAGTACCCAAACAAATGCAGTGTTAATTTAAACATATTTTAACTATATATAATGCTTAACCATAAGATTTTGGGGTACCCTATTGGTAAGAACTTGGGGTGGGAATTCTTTACAGTGCATGGCTGTTTGACCAGCAAGACTTGGGTAAGCAAAACATATCCAGAGATATATCGAATCAAACTGGCAGATACGTCTACAGCACGTTTAGGAACCACCTAGACCATATGGCTTCGTGCTGCCGGCTTCTGCATGTTTTACCATGAATTGTGCAGCTGCAATCATGGGATCTGCTTACTCTGCACGTTTGATCAACCATCCTGGTTTTCTGAACAACAAACAGACACGAATCCGCTTGTTGGGACAATTTGAGGAACTTCCAGGGGACCTGTTGGTTTTTCGGTCAACATCACCCATGATTTTCCGTGTCACCGCCTGGCGGCGGATAATGTGGCGGCGGATAGCCGTGGGGCGGCGGGTAGTGCCCATGTGGAGGGGGGTAGCCTGCGAGCATCACGGGGATCATCGACCAATATGCGCAACACATGAGCAGTGTTCAAAAACCCTGTCATTTACTCCTGGTTGGCTAAGAACGGGATTCCCTGTTCTTGGATTATGATCATTGCCAATATTTTTATAGGCTAGTATAATCAAGCAACAGGGCTTTTGAACGCTGCATGGGCTATCTCGCTGGTTTGCCTGAACTGAGCTGTTCCATTAAACTTGAAGATATGATTCCTGCAGGGTCATGAAGATACCAGTGGCTAAACACCCAGCCCTGCGAGTAGGGAGTATACCCAACAATAAACCGAGCAATTGGAGATTGTTTATTCTAGTTCTCCCAAAAATATCCCACTAATATCCTATATCAATCCATACTCTCCTATTAATCTCCTATGGCATTGGGTTATTATCATATATTATCATCACCCCCATTTTTATCATAACTATCCTATAATTCTCTCCTATTTCAACCATCACTTCCAGTTTCTATGGGGTTTACCACATTTCAATGGATTGGTTTAGGGGAAAATCTAAACCGGAAACCATAGATTTTCCCATGAAGATCATGGGGCTTTCCTGTAAATTTTCCCTTAAACCAATCCATCCAACATTAGATGGTTAGATGGTATACCCATCCCAAAACCTTCGCTACCCCGCCTGGCGGCGCATAGGGATATCCCGGGGGCGGATAATGCGGATACCCCGGTGGGGGATAGTGCGGATAACCTGGCAGCATGGGGTGGAGAGCATTGACCATTTTAGGGGAATTGAAGCATTAAAAACAATGATTTTTTTCATCAATTTTAACCAATGACGTACGGAATGTCATGGATGTCTTTCCGAAAGATGTGGTATAGCCCAATTTATGGCAATGAACACAAGGGAAATCATGATAAGCCATGCGACCAATCCATAGGTAGCTTTTTCCGCAGGTGGGGTTCATGGATTGGGCTTAGCATTTTGTGGACATATTCTAAATATCGTTGGAACATAATCGCGCATCGATCTGACACATTTACACATTTGACTGTGAATCATGACCCAAAGAGGTCAGCGGTGTCAGGTCCAGCGGCGAATATTGATCCAGTTGCTATCCATGGCGCAATCCTAGTTGCAATCCTAGTGATATTTTGACGGTCCCAATAATCGAAAAGGAGGCATCATATGACCTTCCTTTCCCCAGCTTTGTTGCTTAGAACATCCTCAGTTGGTTTGTACTCCCATCTTCAACCTGACAAGCTACGAGTCAAGCATCATATCCGATATCCGAAGGCGACCCCGTGCCTGAAGTTCTACTGGCATTGATGCACATCCCATGTCCTACTTTCATCTACTTTAAATGACAGACAGGCCAATATCCAATTTACTATAGACTAGTTAATAAACTTTGCTAGGATATCCCCATGATTGCTATCCATATCCAGATTTTGCTTGGCACCGCCCCAATGGTTTGGTTTGAAACACCATTTCCATTCGAACAGTTCACTCCTCTGTCGTCCCTAAACCTGCTAGTTGCCTTCAGGGCAACTTGAATAAAACGACTCAAACGACCATCATGGGTTCCTCAGTTTTCGTCATAGTTTCATTCTTGGCGAGCAACACAGGCCCCTTAAACAATGTTTAAGGCCTCCAGCGTAGAAGCATCGAATCACCAAACATTGACCAACGACCCAAGTGAATCTCCACCACCTGGCGGTGGCATATGAGGATACGCCGGCGCTTCCGCACCTGGCGCGTTGAAAAGCACAGCTGGAAGGAACTTAACAAACTTCAATAGGTAAATCATCATGTTTATCATCTGTAAATGGGAGCCTTCCATAGCTATGCCCATTTTGTTTTATAACCAGAGGGTAAGACCAAGGGTGAAAGAAAAATATGGGATGTATGATCTTGGATGATCTTGGCAGTGTCTTCGTATATGGGCCCTCAGAACACATGGAATATATATATATTATAGAGATGTCTATTTTTTTTTTCGAAAACAGAGTATACCCTAAATCCAATGATCGACAACCATGCTCTCCACGAAAAAGCGCCATGCCGTTGGCCAATTCCCGTTTTCAGACACAAAAAAGCGGCCATTATGGTTAAACAGGGTTAAACATCATATTTTCGGGTTACCCTCTGGTAAACTAACATAGCTATTGGAAATGGCCATAGAAATAGTGGATTTTCCCATCATTTTTCATGGTGATTTTCCATAGTTATGTTTAGTCATTACCAGAGGGTAAATCACCATATCTTCACCCCAGAGCCAAAACGAGCTATGAGAATTTCGCCATATCGGCACCTGGTGCCGGCGGATACGCCGGCTGCTCGGGCGCCCCTGAGAAGTTAACTCGTGGGACGATCTGGGGATTCTGCCAGGTTTTTTTTTCACATCGCCAAGTCGTATTGGGAATATATTGAAGATATATTGAGGATACAATCATTTATAATGATATATAATGATATACAATGATATATAATAATATATATACTGTGTAATGATGTATACATGTATATGTATATATATATATCATCTTCAACACATACGGCTTTTCAAGTGACGGAAGACCCAAGTGTTACTACCATCCCATTTTTATGTGGGATCATCCCAGCCAACATTTGTTACGTTGATTTAGAAAAACTCCATGAAAACTACAGTTCTGTCTACAAAACATGGTTAACTTAGTGAGCACCACCTTGTATCTAGCGCTTCACATTGCCTTCTTACATGTAGAGATAGAATTACAAATGCCCGCACATGTACATGTCAAAAAGTTCATGCACCCGTGTAGGCACCCGTGGGAGTAGAATATGCAGCTTAGGTCTTGCAGTCTTGCTATTGTTCGATACACCTTATGCAAGAGGTTTGGGGTATGTCATTGTCATCTGCCATCCGCTGACAATTCTAGATCTGGCTCAAACCACAGCAAACAAAGCTCCGAGTGTCCAGCCAACATCAACCAACATTCTCTGTGCTAGAAACTATTGATGAGGGGTTCTCTGATACTTTTTGGGTGCACCAAAATCCGACGGTTGATGGTTATTATGATCCTCATGACAGTGGGAGTAAATAATCAAGAAACTGAAACGGCCCCATGGCTATGGAGAAAGCCATGATCTACAGTTAACCGCATAAAAACAGCGTCGATGACGCTGGCCGCAGGCCCTCGACCAATTGGCATGATACGGGCCTGACGTACTGCAACTGCTCCGGTGGCAGAAGATCTGGTGGACCAATGAAGGCCCACATAGACCCCGACGCATTCATCACTGCAAAGCACGTACCGTCGGCTCGCGGGCACGGGACGGTTTTGTTCGCCCCGGCCGGGGAAGGTGAGCTGGCCCCATGACCACCATGCCCCTTGCTCCCGCTCTCATCCACGGACAAGGAAATGACTTGCGGACGCAAATGCTTCCCCGGGGGCAAGCCGGCATAGGGAACCGCGGCCAGATGTTGAGCCGGGAAGGGCGAGAGCGAACGTGCCAGCTCATGCAACCCACCAAGACCGGAAACCTGCGCCCAAATTGCGGCCACGAGGCCCATCAGCATCAGTGCCAGAAGTGAAGTGGTACACAGCCAGGCCAAAATGATAAAATGGAAAACCTCTGACCAGATTCCGGTTCTCGATTTGAAGAAAAAAACTGTGTTCCCTCTTTAAAAAATGGGGATGTCCTATTCTTCCCTTGCATCCCTGAATTGGTTGCGAGAATTTTCATCGAGCATCCTCAACTTGGGGTTTCCGAACCTGGTTTGGCGCGACATTTTCTGGGTAGATCCCCATATTTTCAGGTCGGATTTCACCAACTTTTTGGTTGCTATAAATCTCTGGTAAACCAACAGTTTCCCAACTGGAACATCACGATTTTCGTGATTTTCATAAGTAAATCACGATAAATCAACTATCAATGGGCCATTTCTATATTTTTTTCTATGTTTACCAGAGGTCCATCTCACCGCTCCTGGCTGTGGCACTGGGCTGGCGACCTGGGCCACTGGGATGAAGAGTTTCCGACGAAAATCAGGGAAAATCGTCCACACATGGGGATTCTCATGCATAAATCGGGGACTCATTTCGGATCTTGCAACATCTACAGATCGATCATCTATCATCATCTATCTATAAATGGAGGCTTACATGGAAAACATCATAAAACATAACGATTTTTCGAAAGAGGAACACATATTTCTGAACATCAAAATCTTTCATGGAACCTCCCTTGCTGTTTTACTGGATTCACTGGGGCAAACAGCGCCGCAAGCACAGGATTCCTGAGGGTGAACCCTCCAAGTAAGTTGGTAAGTTGCTGTTTTTTCTTACCCATCTAAATGTAGATATATCATGATATATCTGCCCGACACTGAACAGATCCAACAGTTATAGTAACTATAGTACCTTTCGGTGTCATCAAACCTAGCGATGGAACATCCCCCAATTTGAAGATTCTCCCGCCATGTTGGATTTCCAAGGGGAGTTACTTGGAGGATCACCGTGAACCCAAACAACCATCTATAAACTTTGTGGGGTAATCCATTCACATCTTACATACATCTTACCAACTCATTAATGTGTTTATCCCCGAGGAACAAAAAGAGATTAAACTACTCGCATTAAAAGCCACAGGGGATTTCCATGAAGATTCATCATATTTCCCCACAACTTTGTGTGGGGTTCTTGTTTTTGATTCTGTATCCCGGGCTCCTTCTCCTCCCGCCGCCTCCCTCACACATACAACAACAATAATTTCACACACACACGAACTTAACATATAATAATTTCACATACAATACTTTCACACACACTAACGTCACACACACACAAACTTAACATACAATAATTTAACAGACAATAATTTCACACTAACTTCACACACACAACTTTGTCACATACCATCTCTCACATACAATAACTACACCCACACACACACACACACACACACACTCACACACACACAACTTTGTCACATACCATCTCTCACATACAATAACTACACACACACTTAACATAACTGTCGTTTTACAGTACTTTCACACACACACAAACTTAACATACAATAACTTCACACACACACAAACAACATACAATAATTTCACACTAACTTCACCCACACAAACTTAACATACAATAATTTAACATACAATACTTTCACACTAACTTCACACACACAAACTTAACATACTTTGCGTGGCATGCGTGGCACAACCTCACATCCACCTTCGTTTCACGTGGCAGGCGTGGCACAAACTCACATCCACCGTTGTTTTGCGTGGCAGGCGTGGCACTCATGGCACTGGGTGGCGCGCTTGGACTGGCTTGGTCGCCCGTGACGCCCGTGACGCCGCGGCACTTTGCGTGGCAGGCGTGGCACAACCTCACATCCACCTTCGTTTTGCGTGGCAAGCGTGGCACAAACTCACATCTACCGTCGTTTTGCGTGGCAGGCGTGGCACAGATGGCACTGGGTGGCGCGCTTGGACTGGCTTGGTCGCCCATGACGCCCGTGACGCCGCGGCACTTTGCGTGGCAGGCGTGGCACAACCTCACATCCACCTTCGTTTTGCGTGGCAGGCGTGGCACAATCTCAGATCCACCTTCGTTTCGCATGGCAGGCGTGGCACTCATGCACTGGGTGGCGCGCTTGGACTGGCTTGGTCGCCCGTGACGCCCGTGACGCCGCGGCATTTTGCGTGGCAGGCGTGGAACAACCTCACATCCACCTTCGTTTTGCGTGGCAGGCGTGGCACAATCTCACATCCACCATCGTTTCCCGTGGCAGGCGTGGCACTTATGGCACTGGGTGGCGCGCTTGGACTGGCTTGGTCGCCCGTGACGCCCGTGACGCCGCGGCACTTTGCGTGGCAGGCGTGGCACTTGGTGACTTCCACCTTCGTTTCACGTGGCAGGCGTGGCACTTGGTGACATCCACCTTCGTTTCGCGTGGCAGGCCTGGCACTTCGGGCGCGGTGCGCTTGGACTGGATTGGTTGCCGGTGACGCCGCGGCACTTTGCGTGGCAAGCGTGGCACTTGGCGACATTGACTTTCGTTTCACGTGGTAGGCGTGGCACTTGGTGACATCCACCTTTGTTTCGCGTGGCAAGCATGGTGCTTGGTGACATCATGTGACATCCACCTTCGTTTTGCGTGGCAGGCGTGGCACTTGGAGACATGCACCTTCGTTTTGTCACACACCATCTTTTACACACCATCTTTGACACACCATCTTTGACACACCATCTTTGACACACCATCTTTGACACACCATCTTTCACACCACTTTGTCACACACCATCTCTCACACACCGTCACAGACCATCTTTCACACACCATCTTTCACACACCACTTTGTCTCACACCATCTTTCACCACACCATCCTTCACGCACCACTTTGTCACACACCATCTTTCACACACCATCTTTCGCCAAACCATCTTTCACACACCATCTTTCACCACACCATATTTCCCAGTCACACCAACTTTGTCGCACACCATCTTTCACACACCAACTTTGTCACACACCATCTTTCACACACCTCTTTGTCACACCCCACCTTTCATACACCATCTTTCACACATCACATTGTCACACACCATCTTTCACACACCATCTTTCACACACCACTTTGTCACATACCATCTTTGACACACCGCTTTGTCACACACCACTTTGTCACACACCATCTTTCACACACCATCTTCCACACCACTTTGTCACATACCATCTTTCACACACCGTCACAGACCATCTTTCACACATCACATTGTCACACACCATCTTTCACACACCATCTTTCACACACCACTTTGTCACATACCATCTTTGACACACCGCTTTGTCACACACCACTTTGTCACACACCATCTTTCACACACAACTTTGTCGCACACCATCTTTCACCACACCATCTTTAACACACAACTTTGTCACACACCATCTTTCGCCAAACCATCTTTCACACACCACTTTGTCACACACCATATTTCCCACACAACTTTGTCACACGCTCTCTTTCACACACAACTTTCGCACACACCATCTTTCACACACCACTTTGTCACACACACTTTCTTTCTTAGTCACACACCAGCTTTCACATACAACTTTGTCACACACAACTTTGTTTTACTTCTCGATCCTGCACCACCTCCTTTGTCTTTCCTTCCTTCCCCGTCCCCGCTACAACATTTGGTGCTTATTATTGAAAGAAGTTGTCTTGTGGGGTTATCCGGTCCTTTAATTTTTGTAGCATGACCCGTTCATAGGGGATTTCACCATTTTATGTCCCATGATAATCCTATGAATATGGCTATGAGTCAAAACGTACCCTAGATACCCTAAAATAGCTGGTTTATGGATGGTTATTCCCCAGTCATATGCTAATTTCATAGGTTTTCACATCCCCTTAATATTTCACCGTTTTTTTTCCGCCTGCGGTGGTCCTGCGGGAGGTGCTGCTTGGGAGGCCGCCTCGGAGACGGGTTTCAAGGGCCAAAATGGTGATTTCATGAGGACTGAACCAACGAAAAAAAAAAGGGTGATATAGTGGGATATGGGGATAAACAAGGGAACATATGGGGATGGGTCAAAACCCTGGTACCTAGTGAACCCCAAAATAGCTGGTAAATGGATGTTCATCCCACTAAAAATGTATCTATAGGTATTGATCCATACCCATATTGGGAGTATATACAACATAGCAAGAACACTGTCAGATTTCTCAGTTTCAACATCTATCGTCCCACAGCCGTTTCGAATTGGTCATCCATGACGACTGGATGCCGCAGGGCTACCCCCATAACTTGTTCGAAACTTCCATATCAATTTATAGTTCATTGGATAGGTCATTTAGATGGGATTATTAATCCACAGTTTTTGTGTACACCCTGGATGTAATGGTTCTCCTTCATATATCAGTGAATCAACCTGAAATAGCTGGGTAATCTATCACTGTATATACCAATAAAAATCGCACTATTATCATTATCCCAGTATCATCTCATTATCACCTTCAGTGTAAAAATCCCACTATCAGTAGATTCACTGATATATGAGAGGGTACTATAATCCCACTATTATCCCATTATCTGGTTGGTGGTTTCAACCCCTCTGAAAAGTATTAATAAATGGGAAAGATTATCCCATATATTATGAAAAATAAGAAATGCTTGAAACCACCAACCAGTATATGTATATTATATATTATCAACCATAATCCCCATTGGCGTTTTGACATGTTTTTACGGTTTACCAACTCCTCCAACTATGATGGTACTATAATCCCACTATTATCCCATTATAATCCCAACCAGTCAGTGAATCTACCGCTGCTTTTGCTTGCTTGCCCCGGGTTTCCCAACATGTCTTTGCTGCCATCCCTCCAGCTCACGCGGCTGCGTCCATGTGGACTCTGCCGTGGCCTCGTGGGCAAAGAAAAACGCGTCGAGAATCAACAAATACTGGGAATTCTTAGGAAAAAAAACATGGTGTGATTTTTCAAGTTGAAATTTGTGAGAGGCTAGAAATCATCCAAAGAATGCGCTCCGTGTGTTTTATTTTGACTTATTTTGTGAATGCTGGGGAGTCAAAATAAGATTGATTCCAATTCTTGACTTGTTTTATTCTTTATCACATAAGTTGACTTGTTTTTGACTTGTGTCAATCAAGAATGTTGGTTGATCATCTTCCCATTCTTGAGTCAAATTTCCCAGGACGTCAGCGGTTTCCACAAGATGCCAGAGATTGACCGCCCATTTCCTCACGCTTTACTGAGACTTGAGAAGGAACCATTTTGGGCTCCGCAAACCCTTCCATGTCGATCTGCTGGATAATCGGCTACCCAACAAAGATATATGGGATACAACATATTACCTCACTCAACTTGTTCAGCATCAAACACTTTCAGCCAGTTTTCATCGGAGGGTTTGCGCACATATCAGCACATTGTACTCTTTAAATGTTTGACTGGTGAGTAGCCTTAATTTCCCCCTTCAAATCACCATTCTGGTTATTAACAACCCCAATTCCTGTATATCATTCAAATCCCCGTCTGTGTTATTCTAAATTGTAGTTCATATTTTCTTGACCAAAACAGAACACACCACTATATCTGTTTTTTTTGTTAGTTGTAGTCTCTCATCAAACGTGACTGGGCGATCCTCCATTTTGGACCATGAATTAATATTGAAACCTATGGTGACTTGGAGTACCCATATTTCAGGAAACACCCATCTGGGCAAATTATGATAATTCACTGATCTGACATGTTCAGCTATTTTGGGACAGTTACCCTAAGCCTAACCATCATGAAACAGGCTTACAGGCTTCGGGAGAACAGAGAGGTCGTTATAATTTGCCCAGACCCATATTAAAACATAGAAATATCCCATTCTATCCCCAGTTTCTCAGACCTCGTTGTAGTAGTACATCCCTTGCGCACATTTGTTCACTTGCCATGGCCTGAGGGTTTTCGCAAAGTTCGGAACCCAAGGGTGGATTGGAAAAGGTGGGAAGAGCCGATTTGTTGGATGTAGGATATATACCATTCATTGGGGTTATCCTATAGTTGTTCCAATATAGTCATCATTATCCCATACCATTATAATAAGATTACTGTAGGATATAGTTACAACCATTTCTATCATTGTACCACTAGTATATACTGTAGGATTGTCCCAGTAGTGCACCAAAACCATTGCTGTTATCCTAATTATATCATAGGTGTGATATCAGCAGGACATTTCGATCATCCCGCAACCGAAATCCGGCGGCAAAACCCGAACCATTTTTGAACATCATATCTATTCTTATCTATATATATATACAAATAGAGGTTTAATCTTTATTTGTGGAGCTTGAAGTACCGTAAGTTATTTTCGGTCAATCCCAGCATTGTCTATAAGTATTGCTGCCTACCCCATGATATATTCCCATGATTTTTCATGCTTCAAGCACCATTTGCTGCTGAAATCAGCATTTCTGACGCTCAAAATCCCCTGAAATCAGCATTTTTCTTGGTTAAGCCACCATTTTTTGGCCACATCCACTCCGTCCCTCACGGATTCTGTTGACCCCTGGATCTCCCTGACGGCTCCCTGTATATGATCTCAGACATCCCCGACCACGTCACCTGGGCTCTGGGAAACGCATATGCAACGATATTCTACATACGGTGTGTATATATATATATATACATATTATAGAATATATTACATATATATATATATATAGATATATATATAGATATATATATATATAACAGTATATATATATATATATATTCGATTTTTCTGGATCTATTGGAAGATAAAGTAACAACCATGGAACCAGAGAAGCAAGAAAAGTGGCTGCTGGTGTCTTATTAGGGCCCATATTTGTACCGGAAATGACCGCAATTTTTGACCAATGGGATTTGGATGGATTTGGCACCTGAAGATTCTCAATCTCCTGCATAGGCAACCCATCCTGTGTTGGTAGGAACACCACAATGCCTCTCGAGATTTCGTACTGGAATTGTTTCGAAAAGTGCATGCTGCCAATTGATGTCTAGTTTTCGGAAGTGGATTCCTTTAGCTCTTCTTTACCTGAAACACATTTGAAGCCGGGTGATTGCAATTCCCTGCTTCAATTTTGGAAGTTAAAATTTGTTGCACAGCCATCTGATTTGTGGCTGAGCCAATTGGAAGCCAAGTTTTTGTTGGAAAAAAAACCATCGATCGTTCGGAGACGGCTTTATCAAACAATGATAAATTCATCTAACTATAAATATAACTAAATATATCCACTATAACTGAACGTATATGGGGGTTTCCATAAATGGGTACTGGATGGTTTATAATGGAAAATCCTATTAACATGGATGATCTAAGGGTACCCCCACTATATGGAAACCTCCATTAATATCCATTAATATGATTTGAAACAATTCATGCTTGTGTAAGTGGCAGTACACTCGCCCCGCAAACGTCGGACCCTTCAGCTGGTGCCACGAATACCTGGAGATTGTGCCATGCTCACGGCCAAGTCCGCGACAAAAACTCAGCATCTGCATGTAGAACGAAAACTTCATACAATAATATCTGGTTGGTGGTTTGAACCCCTCTGAAAAATATTAATTAGTCAGTTGGGATTACTGTTCCCAATATATGGAAAAAAATGTTCCAAACCACCAACCAGATAATACAGTAAAAAGAACCTTATTTGGTCTACTACATAAGCAAAACGTGGAACATTGATGAAAATTGAGGCTTACGGTCAACAACCAAGGACGGAAACTATGGAATGGTATGAATGGCCCAGCATTTCCGAATGGACCACACATAGGTTACCAAACAACAAAGTAAGGATGCCGCAAATCATTGACAAACATCTGCAACGATATCAGGCATATTGCCACACTAAGGATGCAGGTGCTGTTGACCGATCCAAAATGTGATGGGCCAAGGCGGCCAAGAACCCGTGAAAACTGCTGGATTATTGGGATCCCCTGATTTTTACACTGAAATAGGTGGTGTTTGCTGCTGTTTCTTCATGGCAACCATCGATTCTCGATAGCTTAACTCCAATTTTTTGCAGGTACAATGTCCCCATTCTGTTGTAACATCTCCTTGTGTATAACATCTATATACATCTATGGCAGCATCTCTGCCTGATTAACTTGGATTTGCTTAAGGGGCTCAAACAAATCACATATTCACTTAATCGATTCCCCAAATTATTGATTTCATGACTTCCTATTGTGAACATCATAAAATCACCTTAACAGGTTAAACCACCACCAAAAAATCCGTTTGACTTGAGCGTCCAGACCCTGCCGGTGACGGGCTGTACCGAAGCTGAGCCAAAAGATGCGCCGTTTTGGGGATCTGGTTGCTGGCTGTGTCTGGAAACAAAGCCATACACCATCCAGTCATCACCATAAATAGGTGGTATAAATAAAGCATTCCCACATGGCTGGTTTATGACATTGTTTTACCCCCATTACCCCAAAACATGTTTTTACTTTCATGGTAAACATGATATGATAAAACAATATGAAAACATACCACTGGATTCAAAACACAGATTTGACTCCAGCAACCAGTTTTCAAACTGCAGGAATCAGTGCAAACAGGATCTGAAGTTTTGGGCTCGAAAACATCGACATGGGGCGGTTACTCAATTACTCCGAAATGGGATGGTTTCCCTACCAGAACAGAAAAGATCATGTTTTTATGGCTGAAATAAAGTTTGACCTATCACCATTGATGGTTTCAACCTGAAATTGTCACCCGCATGGTATCCTCAACATTTTGGGTGTCACCTCGGCACGTCTCTTTTTGGCCGCGCGCATGAAAAACATTGGAGAGACGTTGGAGAGGCCGCACCCCCACGATCGAACATGTAGTGGAAGCAGTGCACTGGTGGTTTCACCGACTGCATACAATGTGGGGCCCCCAAGATAGCTAAGTTGGTTTATAAGTCCAATAACTATGGTTTATGGTATTTATAACTATAGTTACTGGGGCTTATAAACCAACTTAGCTATCTTGGGGGCACCACATTGTAGCCATTTTGGTTTCACTGACTAAAACAACATAAAACACGATGCAAATCCATCTGTCCACCACTCCATCTTGAAACACCAGGGGCGGCTGGGCCGAAAATGGGGACTGAAAGGGGCGTTCAGTGCTTGGCGGTCAAAATTCGTGAGCCCCAGGCCCGTCTCCAGTGTTTTCCAACCGAAAGGGGAAGTTCAAGAGCTGGAAAGACATGGCTACCCGGCTACCCCGTTTTCATCTACATCAAAATAGAACTCGACACAAACAAATAAAAATCCACATTCCCCAAATTTGCGCAGAACATGTAGCTGTTGATTCAAATGCTATGTTCCATAGCTGAAATATCCCAGCTGAACTTCTTGTACCTCAGCAATCCCTGTGCCATGAGTCATGGGCTTTTCCATAGGCCGGTGGATGGAATTTCTCCATGTTTTCTTTTCAAAACACCAAGAAACCATAGCAAATATTGTACCCTCTGGTAAATTAACATGACGAACCTGGCAGATAGGGGTTGGAAGATTAGTGTCCATTAAAACTAGGCTATTTTCAGGGTCTATGTTAATTTACCAGAGGGTATCATATTCAGCAATTGGCTACCACTCATAAAACATCCGAAAAAAAACTTCATGATCTACACGCACCTCTCAGAGCTGAATCCCATGAAGCTTCAAAATTATGAATTTACTGACCCTTCCCTTACAGGGTGGCCAATTTGCCGGCTGGGTTACCCACTCAGGTTGCCTGCGGATGAACAGCCTGATGACTGGCCGAATCGAGAAATTCGAGGACACAATGGGCAAGTACGCTGAGAGTAAAACACAAATCAACAATCAAAATGGTGATGCATCTGATCAATAAATATGGGTATATGGCATACATGTAACATCATGTAACCATGAAATGTCGGAATACAAGCAACGAAAAAAGTGGATACTTGTGGGTCAACGTTTGACATTTTAGCGTCAGTGTACCACAGATGGACTGCACATGCTCCTGAGGTGCAAATTGATCTAATCAATGCCGAAATGGTCTAATTTTGAATTATTTGGAGTACCACCATTTTTGGAAACCTCCACATATAACCACTTGAAATATAATCAACCAAGTTTGAGACACCAACCTAAAGATAAGACTCAATTGGATAGATTGCTCTTCCACTATATCTGAGGTGCAAAATCACTGGGCGATTCTTACAAAGTTGTTCATCTGGAAAACACATAATCATTCACTAGCCTGAAATGTTCTGCTACTTTGCAATAATTACATCAATTCAAATCCGATCATTCCCCTGACGTGGCCACGTGAGGTCGTTAATTTATCCAGATACCCTTTAAATATCCATGAACATAGGGACCTCCCAGTTATAAGTTGGTTTATAAGCCCCAGTAACTATAGTTATAAATACCATAAACCAAAGCTATTGGACTTATAAACCAACTTAGCTATCTTGAGGGCCTCACATTGTATAGTTAGCTGACCATTGGTCGCTGCTCCCGGAGTTCTTCTCCAAACCGAAACGGGATGATCCCAAAGAGGCCCAGCCTCGCTGAAGCGGAAGCCCAACAACAGCCTAACGATCGAAATTGCGGCGACGAAAAATGGGGAGTTCACCATCCAAAAAAATGACCCCCTAATGCTATATAGAATATACAGTAATATATATATATATACATATATAATAAAATATAATATAATATAATATAACTTAATATAATAAAATATCATGTCATAAAATATAATATTTAAAATAATATTTAATATATAATATTTAATAAATATAATATATATATATATGTGTGTGTATATAAGTATAACTACACATATATACATATATAGTCATCCTGGAGTAGATAGAATCCAGTTTCGTAGGGGGCGTTTTTTTTGAAAAAACCCAGGGTTTTTTGACCCAATACTAAACTATATATTCGGACCCCCTAGATAGAATATTCCAAAATCTACTCCAGGATGCTCAAAATGTGTTTTATTTTCCTTTCCCTTTCAAAACCTTCCAATTTATTTTTTTCTTTCAAATTTTCCTTTTCAAACAGCTGCAAAAATAAACTTTGGATGGTAAGATCGTAGACGTAGATTCCTACTTTTCTCATTTCCTTTTCCTTTCACACTTTTCCATTTAAAAATCTGTAATTGTGAACTTTGGATGGTAAGATCGTGGATTCCAGCTTTTCTCATGCCATGTTCCTTTCAAAGTTTGATTCCTGCTTTTCTCATGTCCTTTTCCTGTCACAGTTTTCCATTCAAAAACCTTCAATTATGAACTTTGGATGGTAAGATCGTGCATTCCAATTTTTTTCCTTCCATTTTCCTTCCGAGTTTCCTTTTCAAACAGCTGCAAGAATGAACTTTGGATGGTAAGATCAGCTATTCCTACTTTTCTCATGCACTCTTCCTTTCAAACACAGTTTTCCGTTCAAAAACCTTCAATTATGAACTTTGGATGGCTTTTCTATACTTTTCTCATCTCCTTTTCCTTTCGCAGCTTTCTTTTCAAAAACCTGCAAGACTGAACTTTGAATGGTAAGATCGTGGATTCCTTCTTTTCTCATCCCATTTTCTTTTTGTTGCTTCTTTTCAAAAACCTGCAATTTCAACTTTGGATGGTAAGATCTTGGATTCCTACTTTTTTAATGCCATTTTCCTTTTAAAGTTTGCTTTCAAACAGCTCCAAGAATGAACTTTGGATGGGTAGATGTGGAGGAAGGGGCAGGGAACACCACAAATCCATGCTCAATTCCAAGCATCCTTTAAAAATTCAGTCTTTTCATTGTTCTAGAGGATATTCTATCTATAGTTTTGCCCAACTGTCCTAGCACAGCACTAGCAAAAATGAACTTTGGATGGTCGATCTTGGATTCCTACTTTTCTATACTTTTCTCATCTCCTTTTCCTTTCACGGCTTTCTATTCAAAAACCTGCAAGACTGAACTTTGAATGGTAAGATCGCGGATTCCTTCTTTTCTCATCCCATTTTCCTTTTGTTTTTTCTTTTCAAAAACCTGCAATTTCAACTTTGGATGGTAAGATCTTGGATTCCTACTTTTTAGATGTCATTTTCCTTTTAAAGTTTGCTTTCAAACAGCTCCAAGAATGAACTTTGGATGGGTAGATGTGGAGGAAGGGGCAGGGAGCACCACCAATACATGCTTAATCTTAATCCCAAACATCCTTTAAAAAATCAGTCTTTTCATGGTTCTAGAGGATATTCTATCTATAGTTTTGCCCAACTGTCCTAGCACAGTACTAGCACAAAATGAACTTTGGATGCTCGATCTTGGATTCCTACTTTTCTGTACTTTTCTCATCTCCTTTTCCTTTCACGGCTTTCTATTCAAAAACCTGCAAGACTGAACTTTGAATGGTAAGATCGTGGATTCCTTCTTTTCTCATCCCATTTTCTTTTTGTGGTTTCTTTTCAAAAACCTGCAATTTCAACTTTGGATGGTAAGATCTTGGATTCCTACTTTTTTAATGCCATTTTCTTTTTAAAGCTTGCTTTCAAACAGCTCCAAGAATGAACTTTGGATGGGTAGATGTGGAGGAAGGGGCAGGGAGCACCACAAATACATGCTTAATCCCAAACATCCTTTAAACATTCAGTCTTTTCATGGTTCTAGAGGATATTCTATCTATAGTTTTGCCCAACTGTCCTAGCACAGCACTAGCAAAAATGAACTTTGGATGGTCGATCTTGGGTTCCTACTTTTCTATACTTTTCTCGTCTCCTTTTCTTTTCACAGCTTTCTATTCAAAAACCTGCAAGACTGAACTTTGAATGGTAAGATCGTGGATTTCTTCTTTTCTCATCCCATTTTCCTTTTGTTGCTTCTTTTCAAAAACCTGCAATTTCAACTTTGGATGGTAAGATCCTGGATTCCTACTTTTTAATGCCATTTTCCTTTTAAAGTGTGCTTTCAAACAGCTCCAAGAATGAACTTTGGATGGGTAGATGTGGAGGAAGCGGCAGGGAACACCACAAATACATGCTCAACTCCAAGCATCCTTTAAAAATTCAGTCTTTTCATGGTTCTAGAGGATATTCTATCTATAGTTTTGCCCAACTGTCCTAGCACAGCACTAGCCAAAATGAACTTTGGATGGTCGATCTTGGATTCCTACTTTCTATACTTTTCTCATCTCCTTTTCCTTTCACAGCTTTCTATTCAAAAACCTGCAAGACTGAACTTTAAATGGTAAGATCGTGGATTCCTTCTTTTCTCATCCCATTTTCCTTTTGTGGTTTCTTTTCAAAACCTGCAATTTCAACTTTGGATGGTAAGATCTTGGATTCCTATTTGTTTAATGCCATTTTCTTTTTAAAGCTTGCTTTCAAACAGCTCCAAGAATGAACTTTGGATGGGTAGATGTGGAGGAAGGGGCAGGGAGCACCACAAATACATGCTTAATCCCAAACATCCTTAAAAAATTCAGTCTTTTCATGGTTCTAGAGGATATTCTATCTATACTTTTGCCCAACTGTCCTAGCACAGTACTAGCACGAATGAACTTTGGATGGTCGATCTTGGATTCCTACTTTTCTGTACTTTTCTCATCTCCTTTTCCTTTCACGGCTTTCTATTCAAAAACCTGCAAGACTGAACTTTAAATGGTAAGATCGTGGATTCCTTCTTTTCTCATCCCATTTTCCTTTCGTTGCTTCTTTTCAAAAACCTGCAATTTCAACTTTGGATGGTAAGATCTTGGATTCTTACTTTTTAGATGTCATTTTCCTTTTAAAGTTTGCTTTCAAACAGCTCCAAGAATGAACTTTGGATGGGTAGATGTGGAGGAAGGGGCAGGGAGCACCACAAATACATGCTTACTTAATCCCAAACATCCTTAAAAATTTCAGTCTTTTCATGGTTCTAGAGGATATTCTATCTATAGTTTTGCCCAACTGTCCTAGCACAGTACTAGCACAAATGAACTTTGGATGGTCGATCTTGGATTCCTACTTTTCTGTACTTTTCTCATCTCCTTTTCCTTTCACGGCTTTCTTTTCAAAAACCTGCAAGACTGAACTTTGAATGATAAGATCGTGGATTTCTTCTTTTCTCATCCCATTTTCCTTTCGTTGCTTCTTTTCAAAAACCTGCAATTTCAACTTTGGATGGTAAGATCTTGGATTCCTACTTTTTTAATGCCATTTTCTTTTTAAAGCTTGCTTTCAAACAGCTCCAAGAATGAACTTTGGATGGGTAGATGTGGAGGAAGGGGCAGGGAACACCACAAATACATGCTCAACTCCAAGCATCCTTTAAAAATTCAGTATTTTCATGGTTCTAGAGGATATTCTATCTATAGTTTTGCCCAACTGTCCTAGCACAGCACTAGCACAAATGAACTTTGGATGGTCGATCTTGGATTCCTACTTTTCTATACTTTTCTCATCTCCTTTTCCTTTCACAGCTTTCTATTCAAAAACCTGCAAGACTGAACTTTAAATGGCAAGATCGTGGATTCCTTCTTTTCTCATCCCATTTTCCTTTTGTGGTTTCTTTTCAAAAACCTGCAATTTCAACTTTGGATGGTGAGATCTCGGATTCCTATTTTTTTAATGCCATTTTCCTTTTAAAGCTTGCTTTCAAACAGCTCCAAGAATGAACTTTGGATGGGTAGATGTGGAGGAAGGGGCAGGGAACACCACAAATACATGCTTAATCCCAAACATCCTTTAAAAATTCAGTCTTTTCATGGTTCTAGAGGATATTCTATCTATAGTTTTGCCCAACTGTCCTAGCACAGCACTAGCACAAATGAACTTTGGATGGTCGATCTTGGATTCCTACTTTTCTGTACTTTTCTCATCTTTTCCTTTCACGGCTTTCTATTCAAAAGCCTGCAAGACTGAACTTTGAATGGTAAGATCGCGGATTTCTTCTTTTCTCATCCCATTTTCCTTTTGTTTTTTCTTTTCAAAAACCTGCAATTTCAACTTTGGATGGTAAGATCTTGGATTCCTACTTTTTTAATGCCATTTTCCTTTTAAAGCTTGCTTTCAAACAGCTCCAAGAATGAACTTTGGATGGGTAGATGTGGAGGAAGGGGCAGGGAGCACCACAAATACATGCTTAATCTTAATCCCAAACATCCTTTAAACATTCAGTCTTTTCATGGTTCTAGAGGATATTCTATCTATAGTTTTGCCCAACTGTCCTAGCACAGCACTAGCACAAATGAACTTTGGATGGTCGATCTTGGGTTCCTACTTTTCTATATTTTTCTCGTCTCCTCTTCTTTTCACAGCTTTCTATTCAAAAGCCTGCAAGATTGAACTTTCAATGGTAAGATCGTGGATTATTTCTTTTCTCATCCCATTTTCCTTTTGTGGTTTCTTTTCAAAAACCTGCAATTTCAACTTTGGATGGTAAGATCTTGGATTCCTACTTTTTTCATGCCATTTTCCTTTTAAAGTGTGCTTTCAAACAGCTCCAAGAATGAACTTTGGATGGGTAGATGTGGAGGAAGGGGCAGGGAACACCACAAATACATGCTCAACTCCAAGCATCCTTTAAAAATTCAGTCTTTTCATGGTTCTAGAGGATATTCTATCTATAGTTTTGCCCAACTGTCCTAGCACAGTACTAGCACAAAATGAACTTTGGATGGTCGATCTTGGATTCCTACTTTTCTGTACTTTTCTCATCTCCTTTTCCTTTCACGGCTTTCTTTTCAAAAACCTGCAAGACTGAACTTTAAATGGTAAGATCGTGGATTCCTTCTTTTCTCATCCCATTTTCCTTTTGTGGTTTCTTTTCAATACCTGCAATTTCAACTTTGGATGGTGAGATCTCGGATTCCTATTTTTTTAATGCCATTTTCCTTTTAAAGCTTGCTTTCAAACAGCTCCAAGAATGAACTTTGGATGGGTAGATGTGGAGGAAGGGGCAGGGAGCACCACAAATACATGCTTAATTCCAAGCATCCTTTAAAAATTCAGTCTTTTCATGGATCTAGAGGATATTCTATCTAGAGTTTGACTATCCAACCATACATATTATATTTACATATTTGATATCATTCACATATAAAGCATATGTTTCAATCATAGTAAACACCATACATATTATATCTACATATTTGATATCATTCACATACAAAGCATATATTTCACACAGAGTGCACCTTACACACTATAGTAGCACACTCGGTCGCTTTCCGGGGCGTCCCCCACATAGGGGGGTGATGACGGGATTCTGGAATCCCGTCACGTTTTTTGGCTATGCTCCCTTTACGGGGGAGCCGAGTTGTCAGCATCCCTGAAAAGGTCCCGGTTGGAAAAACAATCACATGTTGTCAAAGACAATTTTCTTAATTGGATTATACCCAGTGGTATTTAACAACATGTGCTATATCAATATATTATCCAAAGTGGTATTATAATTTGTGGATTCTGAAAATACCTTTTGGGCTGTATTCAAAACCACTGTTGGTTCATGATCATGTATATAGAGTTTAACTATCCAACAGTTTATATCTACGTTCGAATTCAAAATCTCCAGGAGGTCCGGTGAGCACACCAACTCAATTACAAAATTGCACATCTTCAATTATCAATTATCAATTTTGTAGGGATGATATTTGGACTCACACCCATTCCTTTATTGGGTTTGACTATTTGGGCATCCCGGGAACCAAAAATACCATTGCCAAAGAATCTACAACACATGGAATGGTTTTTGGAAACCTGCCGTTGTTAGCAGAATGCAGTAGGGAGGGGTCAGCACAGTGGTTGATACCATAGATAGAATATGAAGAATATAGAAGAATATGGGGATGGATCAAAACCTTCTGTCCCAATTACACCCAATTCTATACAGATTACTTTTTAAAGTAGCTGGTTTTGATCGATGTCCAAATTCAAAATCTCCAGGAGGTCCGGTGAGCACACCAACTCAATTACAAAATTGCACATCTTAAATAATCAACTATCAATTTTGTAAGGGATGATATTTGGACTCACACCCATTCCTTTATTGGGTTTGACTATTTGGGCATCCCGGGAACCAAAAATACCATTGCCAAAGAATCTACAACACATGGAATGGTTTTTGGAAACCTGCCGTTGTTAGCAGAATGCAGTAGGGAGGGGTCAGCACAGTGGTTGATACCATAGATAGAATATGAAGGAATATAGAAGAATATGGGGATGGATCAAAACCTTCTGTCCCAATTACACCCAATTCTATACAGATTACTTTTTAAAGTATCCGATTTTGATCGATGTCCAAATTCAAAATCTCCAGGAGGTCCGGTGAGCACACTGTAGCTAAATGGGTACGGGTCAAATTTGGGCCCAGCTCAATTTCAAAATTTCACATCTTAAAAAATCTATCAATTTTGGGGTGTGACAATTTGACCCACACCCATTCCTTTCTTGGATTTGACTATTGAATACCATTGCCAAAGGATCTATATTTCTGGGAACCACCAGCAACAGTGACAATTTCTTTGGAAGATTTTGGGCTGAAATTCGCATGCCAGAACCTAATACACCAGCATAATGACAACATTTGGTGGTCATTCCAAAGGCCCAAACAACCAAATCACAAGCTAAATGACCGCTTTTGTAATCATTTTAGAGGGACCGTTTTTTTTACCAATCATCGACCCGGATTTTTGAGCCATTTTGGGATTCTATCTATAGGTTTTTTTTGGACCGTTTTTTTTTTGAAATTCCAGAGATTCTATCTACTCCAGGATGACTATATATATATATACATATAAACATCAATATCTCTATTATGGGCTTATAGTATGGGTAGGACGGGGGCGCTGCCGGGGGAAGTGCGTTTTGACCCTGCAGGGCCAGTGTTTTATACATTTTGGGATGTCGGTGGCCGAATGGCTGACGAGATTTGTTTCCAAGACACACAAAATCCCAAACCCCTAAACCTAAATCTGACATGAAACCCGCAGTAAGCCTTGAAAGTAAAATCTCATAAAATGTAAAAACTGTGGTAAAAAAACTTAGACACCTTAAATGAAACCCTAGATAAACCCTAAACAAACCCTAAACAACCACCAAACAAACACCAAAGAGTTCGTGTCATGATAAACCTCTGGGCGGCACGACCTGGGGGTAACTATACATATATAACATCAATATATCTATTGCGTGGTTCGTAAATTTCTATTATTATTGGTGGTTGGTTGGTATGCCCTAAACCCAAACCCAAACCCATCATCAGGATCGTCAAGCATAATCATGGCAACTGGGGCCAACGTCCCATGTCCCACACACGTCCACAAGTCTCATTTTCGGGATACAGCAAGATTTCTCTACTGTGATGGGATGCATGGTGCTGAAGCAAAAGCACAAGTGTTGATCATCGGTGATGAGAGCCAGTGAGAAGACAGTCCCATTCCCCTTTGACTCTCGGCTACATTCTCCAGTGTCAAATGGTGGTAATATCAACTTAGCATCTCAATGTGTGTTTGCTACTATCCAAATCTTTGTAGACAATTCGGAACTCCCCTGTTAGTTAACCATGAGCCATGGCTCTTTTGCCAATGAACTCCTGATCATTGTTTGATTCCTTCTCCTTCTAGATTCTAGATGATTGAATTCCATGTGCGGTAAATTGTCCCGGCTCAGATAGTTTATGGTTTTTATGGTTGGTCTGGAGGAGATAAAGTATCCAACATGTATAATATAATCATATTGCATACTACATATACACACCATCTATACACGCTTATAAATTGTCAGCTGTTTATGCTCATCCCTTTCCCTCACAACACCCTTGGTGACTTAAACAAATCGGACCATCCCAAAAGCTGGAATCAAATCTCAACAAACAAAATAGCTACTAACAGATCAGTTTTCTTGGTTTTCCACTAAACATTGTTTGGGCTCTCATCCCCAAAAAGATAGAAACGTTACCTCCCCTTCTGCCGCTGTGGCCAAAGGACGCGGTGAGCTGTTTTTCGTCCTCCCAAGTCCTGCTAAAAAAGTGGGAAAATCAGCAGATTTTTGCTGGGTGAAATCACATCCAAACGGGATTCCCCTATCGGTGATATTGGGATTATATGGAATAATGGATGGGATCATAGATGGGATAATGGATGGTTATATGGGATCTGGTTGGTGGTTGAAAACCCCCTCTGAAAAATATGACGAATCGACAGTTCCATTCATCACTGGCAACTCATCCAATCCTTGATGGCCCAAGGACTATGTGGATCTGAAATGTGTCTGAAAATGGTGAATCATGGCCACCATACCTCAAAACATATGGCCATGATTGGCTGCAAAGATGATCATCTGACCAGATGATCCACAACAAACCAGGTTTAACCAGGTAATCAATCACTGGTGCTTTGTCTGAAAATAGGACAAAGCACCAAAAACCATTGGTCAATGATCATTTTCCCCATTCAATCCCATATGCTCCATGGTGCTGGTATATTTACCTACAAAACTGGGTGATTTGTAGGGTAAATCTTGGAAAATATTCCAGCACCATGGATCCCCATTCAATGACTAGTCTGACTGCGAAAAAACCTCATTGTCCACATGGAAAAATCGGGGAAAAATGGGAGGATTCGATGATATCGGGGAAAAATGGGAGGATTCGGCGATTTCATCATCGAATTTTCTGGCTTCGTTTCGAGCCGCGTTTTTGATATGAGGATTAGTACCACCTGGTTATGACTAACAGTTTGCCATGGAAAGATCCACCATTTTAAGAACGGTAAACCATCTGTAAATGGGCCATCTATACCATGGCTATGTTAAATAACCAGAGGGTAATTGGAATGATAAGCAACATAGCCAGCAATGATGTTTCTTGGATAGCAAATTCTCCCCAAATTATTGGAATAAAAAAAAGCCAATTGATCATTGGAATGATGTGACACTGATAAAATAACAGTAAGTAATCATATCTGGGAACATTATAATACTTCACTGATCCGGGATATAAGCTATTTTGGGATAGTTACCCCAAGCGCAACCATCAGTATAGGCTTCGGGAGAACAGTGAGGTCGTTATAATTTGTCCAGATCTATGTACTATGTAGTACCATCCTGATGGTTTAAGTATATTAATGTACTATATAATTTGTAGTATATATGTTATCTATCATTTTTAATGTATATATATATGTATATTTGTAGTATATATATATATATGTATATCAATGTACTATATATATATATCTTAATGTACATTATATTAAACATCAGCCAACAACGGCAGACATAGACCCCATCGGCACCTCACCGTCTCTTTGACGAATCCTGGGAGGAAAATTTCAGGACGGTCCACCATTTTTGGGTGATCTGCAATACCCATAGGATCCATGTATGCTATATATGGTAACATGTACCATCAATATACCCCAAATGTTAGCATATATACCATACATGGACCCTATGGGATAGTATATCAATATGATCTTCAATGATCAAGGTATTTTGGGAATGTTGCACCTCTGAATTGAAAAAAACATGGCTGCCATTTTTTTCCGCAGCGAAAGATTTGCGGAGGTGTTTATTGAAACACAGGTCATATGACTTGTGTGACTTGTGCAGGGAAGACAAGACAAATATAATCCTGTAGGGTATACGCCAATTTCATGAACGATCACGGATAAGGATTGAAATGTGGATGCACCAGTGTCAGATACCCATCCCAAAGGCTTCACCCGGCCCGTGGGGGCCCGAAACCTCCCAACTAGCCGCCTGCCGATCATTCGGACGGAAAACCATGTGTAAACCACATCTATGTAAACGTTTACACCAGGGTATCTCATATGGAGGCTTCCTAAGTCATGGGGGTACCCCAAAATCATCCAAGTCATTAGAGCATGACTTAGTATTGAATCCCATGGTTTTGGGGATCCCCCATGTCAAGAAAGCCTCATATGTACACTGGTTGGTGGTATACCTACCCCTCTGAAAAATATGAGTTCGTCAATGGGAAGGATGACATCCCATATATGAAATGGACAATAAAAAATGTTAACCACCAACCAGGTACATGGCTTCTAACTGGAGGTACTCCGGCTGCAACCCGTTTTTGGTGATCCGACCATCGGCCAAGCATCTCCGTTGCGTTTCTTCGCCCACGGAGGATTTCAAGTCCTGCGACGCCCCAAAGACAATAGAAAAGCGTCAATTCTTCACTATTGTTCAGAGATTTTAACAAATTCTATCTTAACTTAGGAAGTTGCTACAAATGAGAACAAAAAACCCATGATAACATGGATTCTTAATCATCTACTAGGTCTGGGATGCGTCCATGACAGGGAATTGGTCCTTGCCAAGAAGCCAAGAACATGTACTGGTCCAATTGAAGTCATAGGTAAAGAACCTGTGAAGTTGTCAGTTGCTTATGTAGGCAACCCAGAATTTATGGGACCCAAAGAAATCTCCCATCTGATGGTCTAGTTTGGTCAAGAGAACTCCCCCATGGACTTGGGGTACCCATTTGTCTAACATTGAAAGAGGAAAACACAATGTTCTCAGTTGCTCACTCAACATTCTTTGGTGCTGTCTTTGTGTTTGTTGCTACCGGTCCCGCTTTGACTAGTTCTGAATATCCGTGATGCTGGCTGATGGTATCCCATGATCATTTGTTTTTTCCTAAAATCATTGGCCAATATCTGACTAGATTGCCAAAGGGGTCCTCCCAATTTTGCTGGTAAAATTCATCTTTAATAAATCTATCAAAGACATTTGGTTAATCCCCCCATATTTCATCACAAAATCTTCTATAATCATCTGTCCTCGCTCTTGAATCGAGTAATCATCCATAATCATCCATAATCATCCATAATCAGCCACAATCATCAGAATCATCCATAATCATCCATAATCATCCAATAAGTCATGCATAAATCTTGAACAAATCCTATCTTCAATCTTCAGCTATTTTTTTGAAGATAGACTCTCATGGTTTATCCCCCCATTTATCATGTCCTCAAACAACAAAAACCCATCCTGCGCGAGGCGTTTCACCAAATGGGCGTGCTCCTAGGATCACGCGGGGTTTCCCGGGGAGTTTTCCCCATGGGGCGCCGGAGACTTAATGTCATGATCGTGAGCCAAAAGAAATTGCGGATATAACATTAGATTATTACATTAATTAGGATCATAGATCTAATTACTAACTACTAGTCAGGATCATTTAGATATAAGATCTAATATGATCATGGCCGTTTCCAACTACAAGCTTGAAAACAATGATTAATTAAACATGTGAAACAAATGTGAAAACAATGTGAAAATATGTGAACAAAATGCGAAACATGTGAAACATATATTTGGAACATGCATTTTAAAAAATGTGAAAAATTCATTTCAACAATGTGAAGACATGTGAAAAATGTGAAAAAAGTCTGAACAAATGTGGAAACATGTTGAAAAACAGGAAATTACATGTTTTAATACTTTTCCTATTTTGAACCAACAATAGTTTACGTTCATTGTGAACCTATTGACATGAATCATTGAATATGAATATATGCTTATGTGGAATCCTAATGTTTAAGTTTAATATTCTAAAATTTAAAACGGAACATGAAAAAAGAACCTATATCTGGAAAAAACGGAACAATGGAGCTAAGAAACAGGAACTTTTCAACTGCCTTTTGTTACCATTTTTCACATGTTTCCCATGTTATTCACATTTTTTCACATGTTTAAAACGCATGTTTTTCACATTTTTCTCCAAGCGCATTTCTAAACCACTTTTTTTCGCATGTTTTTTCACATTTTTCACAATCATGTGAAGAAATGTGAAAAAAAGAAAAGACATTTTGAACATGCGCTTGGAAACAATGAAAAATGCGTTTTGAAAATGCACTTGGAAAAACGTGAAAAAATGCGAAAAAAAAACATTTGAACATCCAGTTGGGAAGGTGGAGCTTTGATTTTTTGGGGTCGAGTTTTGCTGCAGTTACTTTGCTGCCTGCCCAACTTCTGCAGGTTGAAAATCCCAGGGGAGCAGTTCAAATCAATCGGAAGTGGACTGTGTAGATCGCAGACCTGTTTATATAATATATCATATCTATAGCAAAGCAATGACTGCCAGGAGCAAAAACATAAAATCAAATGCAGAAGGAAAAGAGAACAAAGCTTCAAATTGCTTAAACAAATACATTTTTCACATGTCAAAAATAATGCATGTTTAAAACACAGTTTTTTCACATGTGTTTCGCATTTTTAGTTTTCAAACTACCTACCAACCCTTCGAAGTAGCTCAGTTGGCCTTGATGAATCTAATAATTGTAGAAATCATTAGATCTTAAACATGATTACCCTCTGGTAATTTAACAGTTTGCTATTGAAAATGGCCATAGAAATAGTTGATCTACCCATTAATAGCATGGTGATTGTCCATAGCTATGTTAGTTTACCAGAGGGTAGGATCTTTTCTAAACCAGAAGCGGCCATAGACAATCTCCCTGGGATTTTGAAGATCCTGTTCCTGATTTTTTTCGTGTTCTCTTACAGTGAAGAACCGGCACCTCAACTCGAACACGCTTGGGGGAGTGGCCAACCAACCATGAAAAAAGCTGGTGCGAATTCAGTAGACGTGCTTGAGCATCACTGAAATATGCAATCTTTGCTGCTGAAACACAACAACGAATAGTTCTTTACCATGCCTGCTCTCAGATATCCTGTAAACCTATCTTGAGCTCTTTAGCATATAGTACCCCCCCAGAAAGCTAGAAGAGGTTCAATTTAGGTGCGACTTAAAAAAAGAACCCCAGTAGATCGCCAAGGTCCTTGGGAGTGCGACGCCCGTGTACCTGCACCTGGCACAAAACCACATGGCGCAGAGAAAACATCGATAGATTACTCAGCAAAAAGGTTGATTCGCTGAAATGCAGGTTTCCTAAAATAGGTTGTACATACTGTGGTTAGAATCCCATCTAAATCCCATCTAAATCCCATTGACTGTAGATATATGAGTGATATATGGAGGTTTCCGTTTCGTCATGGGGCCCTTAGTCATACCCAAGTCACGGATGACCATGACTTGGTATTGAAATGCATGGTGACTGGGAGATCCCCCTATTCTTGGAGAGCTCCAGGTGATGTTTCTATCATGTTTCTCTAGTTTCCCCTTGAAGAATTTGTGATTTTCGACTGCCCGGTTTGCTTGCTTGCTGGCAAAATGTCTTTCTTTTGTCCAACAAAACACGGTGATAGAATGAATGAGAATGCGGCTAACCGTTGTTTGATTCCCGAGCGTCGTACCTTGTAGGCAAATAAGATCAAATAAGGCTGTATTTTCTTCAGTTATGAACCACGACCAACACCTTCAAAAGGTTCTGACTTGAAATCTTGGGCGGGTCCCTTGAAACCAAGATACGGCTTGCTTTAGCCCAGATGGCTCCGTCATGATTCCAGTTCCTAGCCCGACAGTGACCTATTGCTTGCGTATATGTAAAAACAGACAGATAGATAGACTAATATGGCTACAAATAGCTCGACGATTACAGTACCCATATACATTGCATTACATTACATTACATTTACATTGCATTGCAGTACGCTACGGTACATAACAGACTTTACTCAACACAACACAACATTACCCAACATAACGCAGGACAAGACATGACAACGTTAAAGTACACTACCTTGCATTACATTCCAATTACACACACATATTGCACAACACAACCTGCAAAATTGCAATACTTTGCATTGCCTATTACATTGCATGGCATTGCATAGATATATGGCGTCAAGTATTGCATTAATATATGGCATTACTATATATGGCATTGCATATATATATAATTATATATATACCCTCTGGTAATTTAACATAGCTATGGAACATCACCATTCTTAATGGGAACATCAACTATAAATGCCAATGTTCAATAGCTTTTTGTATGTTTAACAGAGGGTGTGTGTATATATATATACCCCCAAAAACCTAACATGGGGATGGGTCAAGTCACCTTGTACCCCTGTTCAAAATCGCTGGGAGTGGGCTGGATGTTTCTCCCGCCTCCTTAGGAGGTTCCACCTTGGGCGGTTCCATCTTGCCCGCACGAGCCCTGCGCATACGAACGCCAGGGGACAGAACAAATGAACGGATTTAACCATCGAAAATGAGGTTTCATGGGATTTAAGCATTAAAAAATGATGTTTTGATGGGAATTCACCAACAAACATGGTCATTTAATGGAGTGAAAGCAATAAACATGGTGTTTGTAACCCAAAAAACGGGGATTCAAACAGAATAATATTGAAGCAGCAACCATAGGAGATATCAATGAATAATTGACTATAAATTTAAGGACACGTGGCTTCTTTTTTGAACACGTAGGGAAGATCTTTTCGATTGCTGATCTTCATTTTCCCCAACAACATTGCCCAAACATCGGGTCAATCCCCGATTAAAAAAATCAAGTGGAAAGCGTGGTACGTGGGAAACACACGGGCGTCCATACATTGCACTAGGTTGAACATAGTATGTTTCCGCCATGTGAACAGCAATAAAAAAAGGCGGCATGTAGAACTGATTTGAACATAGTTTTCGCTGTATGTGTATGAACTTTTGTGTAATCACTCTGGTTAAACTGGGAAAATTCAGAGGAGAATCTCAGTTTGGGTCAACTGAGGTTCGTTTTTCCCGAGGTGCTGGAGTCATGACTCCCCGAATCGATCCTCCCTAGGAGGGCACTGCTTCACTAAGTCAAAGCAAGATTCAGACTGGTTTTTCATGGAACACCCACGGTTTTTAGACCATATAGACCATGGTGTTTACCCTGGAGGATTTTGGTGGGATGAAGATCACATGTTACTTGGGGGATTTACCATACGTTACATCTTTAGACCATGCTAAACTTCAACAGCCTGGTGACATTTTTCGATCACAACGGCGATGTCTACCTCCGGTGACTTCACCAAGCATTGGGTGAAAGACAAGGATTTTACCCAATACAGGAAAAGAAGCGCTGTTTTTCAGGTGGTTTTCCAATCCCCATTTTTTTTTAATTTTTTTGAGGGGTTTCCCAAGGGTTTTCCAAGGGTTTCCCAAGGGTTTCCCAATGGTTCTCACTTTATCTGGCTGAATCGTAGTTCACTAACCTGAAAAATCTCTGGAACCCGCGGCCATGTGGGGATTCCCCTGAAGTTCACAATCATTTTCAGTGAGGAAAATGGCGTGAGGTCATGATCAAATTCATCCACATTTGTATATTATGTATATATATATATAAATATATATATAGTATAATATGTATATAAATATGTATATGTATATATATATGTATGTATGCACACACATATATATATACATATCATGTGATTTCCATTAAACATTCCTACTATTCTATGCCCACTATCGTTGGTTGGTAGCCTAATTTCCAGCAACTTTATTTTATGTGGTTACTGTAGAGCCAGGCACAGGTGTCCTTTGTCTGGCTTTCATGGCCACAGAGTGAGGTCCATAAAAGGTTCGATTCCTCAGTTTCGACTGGGGAAAGCCTCTGGCTTATTGTTCTTGCGAGTTGGTCAATACCCATTGATGTTTGACCATCTGGTTATTTAACATAGCCATGGAAAATCACCATGTTTAATAGGTAAACCATCTATAAATGGGCCATTTTCCATGCCCATGTTAAATAACCAGAGGGTATCTCTTTTGGGGATGAAGATCCATTTTGGGGGGATGAAGACCTAACATGGATGATTCCGCATGAGGTTTTCCATCGCCATATTCGTGATTCCGCAAGTTATGTTAGGCAAAACATCTTGTGAAACTGAGTGGGATTGGGATAGGCCATGCCAAAATCTCAAGTCACTGCTAATGCGAGGCCATTTCCACTTCTGTTCGCTTCGCAGTAGCTCATGTTGAAGCGGGGCTTGGGCTTCCAAGGAACATCAAAGTTCATCCAAGGCAGCAAGTGATCAATCATAGCGCAGATGGCATTTCCCTGAGTCCTTGGGATACCTCATTGAAAGCTTGGATCTCTGACTATGGGTATGAAGCACTTCCGACTCCTGTAAGCCAACTTTTGGCCCTAAAACCATTCATGAACTCTTTGAGAACGCATGCTGCAGTTGCTTGAGGTTGTAAACATTTTTTGCGCCACCTTTGCCAATCCCCCATGTCAACCCTGGTTCATCAATCGGGGGGTCTCCTCCCAAAGAGTGATGTCATCTACTAAAATGGTACCCCCTATCAACAGCCCCGGGGGGTTGTTATTCCGGGGTTGACATTCTCCAAGATATGCCATGCTATCACAATGTTCAAAAATGGACGAGCGCAGATGACCACCAGTCCGATCGCCGCTTGTTCTCTTGAGGATCCATAGGGATGAGCGGAGGAGGGGCGAACTGCGGGATTTCGAGATCTAAGCGCCAAGATGCGGCGATTTTGCCCTTTGTCTAAGATGATCCCAATTTTTGGATGGGAAAACTGATGCAAACCTGGCTGGATTTAGGGGGCTCCCAGCATTTCCAGGTGGACCTCGAGCCGAACCGAGAGTCTCATAGAGACGATCATCACCGTCGCTCCTGGGGAAAATCTGTCTCTGCGTAAACTGAAAATGGAAAAACATGTTTTTTTTTCATGAGGATTGAGATAATCAATCATTCATAATCCATTGGAATTGGGAGTACTGTATTTGCAGACAAACCCATATGGATAAGGAATGATATGGATATGTAGCTTGACATATCACCTCTTTCACAATTTTTGGTACTAACAATAACCACCATTGTACAACAGATGACCAAGATCTTGTGTGCAAAACGACCACGGATTCCAATTTCTCCAGAACACCAGCTTCCAGACCCCAAAGTCATTGAGGTCCGATGTTAGTTTTCCGATTTTTCACCACGTAACATGGGAAGTCATTTCAGACACATGATAATGATCCAGTCATTTGAAATGGTCGGCTATTTTGGGATAGTTACCCTCTGGTAAACTAACAGTTTGCTATTGAAAATTGCTATTTTAGTGAGTTTTCCCATGAAAATGATGATTATTTTCCATAGTTCTGTAAACGTTTACCAGAGAGTACCCCTTACATTCCCATCATTCCAATGACGTCAGGACGTTTTTGAGCCCAGTCACCGGATGTTCAGCTGATTCATCAGCGCCCCCAAACGCAACTCATCGCGACGTTGTTCCTGGTTGAAATGCCCATGAAATTGATTGGGGTGCTCGGTAAATTTTCCCTTCACTCCAATTCGAACAGTCGACTTGGGCTTGTACTACAGTTTTGGGTACATTCCCCCCTTTGCAGAGAGCTCGACAGTTATTTCCTGTCCGGAAATATGGATGTCTGCCTGATTGGTCATTTCCAGACTTCCATTTCAGGATATATCAACTAGCCATGAATATACACAGATGTACCAGCAGACGTGTTCGTGAAGGTTGGATGGTTTGTGTATCAACACCCAAGGAATAAAGCCTTGGATTCTGTTTTTTTTTGTGCGCTAAGCAAAACTTGGAGTACAGGCCGATTTATCCAGTTCCTGGTCTAAGTTTTCTCGTAAATGTAGGATTCAGCAACAATTTCCTCGAAGACCCCATGGGTTAACCCACTTTCCTTTGGCTGAATTGTGGCAGAATTATCTCCGGTGTCCTCAAACGAAAGTAATTCGCCAAGCTGAAAACAAGTTGATTGGAGCATATCCCCTTGAGAACAATCCTGGAAAAGTGGCGTCGCCGGGACGTCATGTGATTCACTAGATGCAAACATCCAGCAAAGACCAACCAGTTTAGTGGTTACAGCTGTTACATGCCTATCGTATCCAACATCTTTAATTGTAAAATCGCAATTTCTGATGGTGGATTTTAAAGACACACAGAAATTCAGGGTGACATAGATGATACCATTTTCTTGATCTTTCGCTATGGATGATCTTTCGCATGTTATAGCTATTGAACCAATGCTCGGAACTATACCGGAGTAGATGTGAAACAAGATCAGGATGTTATAGATTTTTATAGATTATAGTAACCCCCAAAAAGATCGAACAGCTTCAAAATCCCACTGTTTCTTGGGGGCTCCCGGATGATTTCGGGATACCGCCATTTGAGTAAACCCCCAACTAGTGAACATTTTGGGGGTTACTGCATAGTCACTGGATTGGTTTAAGGGGCAATTTTAACTGGAAATCTCGATATTTGATGGGAAAAACAATGGTTTCCAGTGAAGATTTTCCCGCTAAATCCTTCAACCAATCCAGTGATATAGATGATCCCAACAGAAAAACATCGAAATTCCCAGGCTGCCAAGGTACCATGAAGCCGCTGGCCTCCTGCAACCATTTCCTCTCCTGAGCAGTGGAAAAAAAGATGAGTGGATGGGAATCATTCTCCTGGATTTCGGGGAAAACTATGGAAAACTTATGCACAAAAAGGCTGAAACCAGCAAGTAGATTGATTTTGACTTTGAATCATTTTTTTCACCAAAAGTGAGAATATCATGAGGGATTGCAGGGAGAAGTGTGAGGATCCTTCAAGAATCGTCACGGGTGGATTTCCCTGGGAACCAAACTCATCCCATGTATAATTGGGGAGACGCCAACGGTGTTTGCGAACCACTTACGATTCTTGGGATGATCCTCCAGGCATGGCTCCAATCCAATGTATATCTGGTAGTTGAAACCATCCATTTTCCGGGAAATTCCACTTTTCCTCGTTCTAACTCCACTTTTTTGTTGATGAAGTTAAGCCCATTTTGAGGGCAAAACATGGTAACGCAATAATAAACCACCCATATTTTGATGCTCTATACTATACCACCAATAAACATTGCAAAATTGGGGGATGGTTTACCAATCCTTTTTTTTGGTCAATATCACCGATGAAAAAAACATTTTTGCAGAAGATTGCTAACGAATCCTCTCAATTTTCCTCTCGACATTATCAAGGGGGAAATATACACATTTTTATGGCCGTATGATGCTTGGTTGTGTTCCCATTGTTGTTGCTTAAGTCCAGGGAAATTTCGCAATGAATCCACATCTGGGCGGGAACATCATTGAAAAAGTATAGGATATTGCCTAATCAATATCCATGGTTGATGGATAGGGATCATACAAGATTGTTTGACTGGATTATGGATTCTCTTCGAGCCCAAAAGATAGAACAACTTTAATTCACATGAGTGTTTTAGGATTGGAAGTTGGAAGCAGTGTTCAAAACCCTTTGTTGTCTCTTTATGCTGGCTGGTTAAGAACGGATTTCACAGTTCATGGATTGCGATAATCCTCAGTGTAATATATATATAAGATATATTCAACACAACCACGGATAGTATAGTATAACCTCAGAACTAATCATCATGCAATCATCATTTATCAGATTATATCCCCATGTATTGGGTACAACCCCGAAGCAATCATCAACCGAGGCATCCCAGGCTATCCCGAGCGCCTGGTTCAATCTCTTCTCTCTGGCGTCATATTCGATGAAGGGGTTCTTGTCACGGTTTACCTGACAGCTTTCTGTTGTTGTTTTTTTTTCCTGGGATTTTCTTTAGAAAAACAACATGAGGATATGATAAGAAAAAACTGGGAGTTGATAAAGCAACATGGTGGTTACAAAAAGAGCTTCGAACATGGGGTTTTGTGAGCAAAACATCAGGATTCTAAATGGGGTTATTCAGATTGACAAGAATGGGCAGATTCAGCTAACCAAAAAGCATTTTTTTGGGGCATAGGAGTCGGATGGATGCTGCAGATGAGATGCAAAACGCTACAGTGTCCAAACTTTATGATCTATTTGGGGACTCCGAGAACCCGAAATGCGGAGTCAACACGCAACAGAAAGATATACAACTCATGCAGAAAGAAACATTGTTGATTGAGGGGTCTCATCCCCCCCAAAAAAAGGATATGGATTATGGCCATGCTTTGATACCCCGCAAAAAGATATTATCTGTTCGTAAGCATGTCTGTCCATTTATATATGGCAAAAGAGATCGTCGCTATCCAAGATTGAACCATGGATGGTTTCTGTCCTTCCAGATCAGTAGATGGGGCTTACCTGCAATTCAAACTGGATTATATAATGAAACCCCAATGAATGTTCGCAAAATCCATCCTCAACTCCAGTCTTTGTTGGTAAATACATACAGCTGTTTCTACCATTTTTTCTTTGTCATATCTTTTACTCTCCAGTAAACTATATAACAATCCGATTTCGAACCACACACACTTCTTCCTCTCTTCTCTCACTCTTCCCATCTCTGCTGATATTGTCTAAACTTCCTTGTATTATATTTGCTGGACAAAGTAAAGAATTAAACAAATGGATCACAGTGCAGATACCAAACATAATTTGAAATCACAAGGATGGAAACACCCAAAACATGATTTGGCGCTGCCCAAAGGCTGTTGATTTCTTCCTTGGCACATTGACACGGGTTCCGAATCCCGTCCTCTGGCTGAAACGTGGTATCTATCTGACTGCGTGTTGCCGACTCAAATGTTCGCAAGCATACTCAATTTCATCTGGTTGGTGGTATACCTACCCCTCTGAAAAATGTGAGTTCGTCAGTTGGGATGATTATTCCCCATATATGGAAAATCATAAAATTCATGTTCCAAACCACCAACCAGTCATTTTTCACACCGCCTCTTCACCCTATCTTCAATCTCATGACCCTCCAGACTGGTTCCAGTCACCCAGCCAGGAATCAACCGAACCAACCTGCCTGGTTGCCCTTCTCCAGAAATTACACGTGTCTAGTGTGCGAGTGTAGATATAGATGAAACGTTGGAATGATCTACCTTCATGGTGATTTTGCAATTTGCCATATCGGTTTCCTAATTTGCTGGTGTATCGCACTTCTTATTCATTTATAGTCGAATTAGCTTCCATATTCCAATTCTCTTCCAATGATACTCCACTGATTTACCAAAATTCTATTCAAGTGTCAAAGACAATTATCAAAAGTTAGTTGTTGGCTTGATCACATCCGCCGTTCCCATACACCATGGTTTCTGGGACGTGTTCTGTTGAAGGTTGGGCTTCAAACTCATTGGTGGCTTCATCATCTTTAGAAAGCATTCCATTGATATAAGGATGGGATGCCTTTCCAATCCCATTAAGTCCAACTAAATATTAAATCACCATTAGGCCATCATGAATTCACCTTAAATCACAACAAATCTAAGCCTTATCCGAATCCAGAATTTGGAGGATGGTCATCTGAGTCATCTGACTTAAGCCAATGAAAAACATGGAATAACCCTAGGAATTGGGCACTTCGGATCACCAGGGTTACTCTTCCCCAGCCTTCCGCCGCAAGGAGGGGGCGCTGCGCGGCCGCAAGTCATCCCTGCGTTTGGTCGACGGCGGTTTGACAAAACGCCGGAGATGGATGGGAAACCCTCGAACGAAATGGAGGCTTTAAAAGGAAAGCCATGTACTTTCATGGGTAATCTTCCATTTAATTCGATGATTTACCTATATTTACCATACTGAGCCATCTTTGACCTGCAGTGTCCCAGTTTGGAATGGCTAAGTTGGTAGACATAACTCCAATAGCTAGGCCAGCCAGGCTTTATGATACATACTAACCTATAGTTCATGGGGATAACATAAGCCAACAAACATAAGGCACCGCCTCGCAGCTGGTTCAGAAAACACCGACCATATGATTTTCAGCAATATTTCAGCAATATGGTTTCTCCTAGCTCCTCAGATCAAGAACATGCACCTGA